AGGCAACACAGACACCACAGGCCTTGGTGTCATCTATTAAGTTGGCGCTCGGCCCCATTTATGGTGTCTCAGCTACTACCTTTTGGTCAAATGCATAGGAACGACCGGTTTGTCGGCACCGATGGCAGTCGTCTCAGCAGCATCAAAGCGACGACTCTTGCCGCCACATGTCAAACGTTGTTGTTAGGAGTGGCGGAAACCAGCGTTGCCCGAATCTTGGTCGCATACACTAGTTCGTGGTCGTCACCGACAAGCAAGGCAACGGAACGCAAAACAACACAGAAACTGCAATAAGAGCTAAGCATCATCCACCACATATCGCGATTAAAAAGATCGGAGAAGAAACACCACGAGCCAAATACAAACAGAACGGGCGCCGGCTACAAGTTACCTACATATTCTGCAGACTGCAGGCCTTTGGGATCTCGAACATTTCCCACTGATGTCGGCATGCGGGCTAGCATCAGATTATCTTTCAGGCGTTGGGATCTATCGCAACTTATGCTTTACCGGGTCTTACAACGTTCGACTTGCCACCAGAGCCTACGACTGGCACACATAGGAGTTATCCTGAGGAGAAACATGACCACCTTGGAGGTCAACCCGCTTTGGACATAGGTCAGGACCACGACCTAACACATCACACTCGTCTCACAGAGATTGAGCTTGGAGAGGGATTGCCAAGTACAATTAAAAGACGAAGATCTGCTCGATCGCCGCGCGCGACAACTACTACATCAGCTTTTCAGTCGAGAGTGATTCTCAACAGAGTCGAAGATTTCGGGAGAGACATGGACGATGCTCTTATATCGACGAAATGACCATAAATGCACAATTTACGTTCGTTCGATTCCACAAATCCAATGACATCCGACCGCGACTCAAGTATCAAAAGCTCATATTCTGGTGTTCGCATACTGGACTACGGTATTCACCACACACGCTGGTATACTATCATTCTCTCGTCGCTTTGCGACGCTTAATTGTGTTACGCGACCATATAGGAACTCCAACGATACATCGACACAGCTATTTGGTCATTTACTATCAAATGTCACTACTACTTTGAACGCACGGTCAAACGAGCGGATGCTGTTGACAGATGTGAAACTACTTCTGGTATTAGGCTCGTGACTCAACAAGGACTGGGTTGTGGCAAACTATGGATTTCTGAGGCTAGTGGATTATGTACTTGCAAAGCTAGCAGGCACTTTTAGGAGGTCGATGTCGTCGACCGAGTCAATACAAATGCTCTGGGGTACGCAATGGCGGTAGCAACCGAATATGTCTGATCTGTACAAAAGTCTTCGACCAATTATTGAGTTGTCCCACGTTAATGTTGCCCTCTCGCTGTCGAGGAGATACTCATACCGATATGTGAGTCAATACCTCGAACCCGGGCAGAATCATCGCTCTGGCTGGTTGCGTGAAGCATCTGGCGATACACTTTTTGGTGGGCAGGATTTTTGGGTGAGAGTTTTGGGACTTCCCGAAAGGCGCGCCTGCCTAGGAAACTTTAATGTTCAGATGGTACGTCGCAATTCGCCAGCAGCAGCGAGACACAACGAGTCTGGTGGGGTTTTTGCGTGGTATGGCTTCTGGATGTTAGGCTCGTGGTTTTCGCTGGAAGACCTCCGCAAGTCTAAAGTGGGAGGGAAAGAACTCAAGAAGCGACTCAACTGGGAGGTGAGCTGGCGCACGATGCCATCACTACACATGATCCTCTACGATACTTGCATCCATGCATGGAACAGAGATAGTGCTGGTGTCGCGGCTCCCATCATGCCCACAGGATCTGACGCTCAACCACTGACACTCCCCCTGAGTGAAGATGGGCACTCCAGACATGACTTGTGATGGAAAAGAAACTTGTCACGAAGTATACAGTAGTAGAGTAAATAATTGAACGGGTCTGTTGTTCAATACTCCGAGACTATTCATTATAGCAGCTCTCAAGGGTTAGGTAAAACCTTCCATCAATTATTAGGGAGTCCCATGTTAATGTTGCCCTCTCGCTGTTGAGGAGATACTCATACCGATATGTGAGTCAATACGCTGGGGTTCTCTTGAGCTGTCGTGGAAAACAATATGAGAGATTTCATATTGAGCACCGTAGGTAGCGGTTCCAATCGGGTGACACAACCCTGCTTCTTTGTTGCCGTCGAGATGATCATCAATAATCAAACTCTGCCCGTTGCCTCAGGTCTCAATCACACATCTCCCACAAGTTCATCGACAAAACACCATCCCACGATCAGCCTCTCCTCAAGAGGCTGCCCTTTTGTGGTGGAAACTGGCTGCTGCTTACCTTCATGCAACAAATAGCCATCGTCACTCTGCGTCGTCGCAAAGGCAACATCCCTAGCCAGATCCACAAGCCTCTGCCACTGTCCTCTCGGCACCCTCTCGTGCCCGGGACGTCCCTCCAAGACATCCTCTACCCTCAGTCAGTATGTGATTACGTTTCCCCTACGCGAGAGCGCATGGAAATGTGCCGGGTCCAGCATCCCAGGCCGCTGCAGGGCGGGTGACGATGAAGGAGGCACCAGCAGCGAGTCGGGACGTGGAGAGGATGTCCTTGTCCCTGTATAGCGGGAACGGGGTTGCGCTCTCACAGATAGTTCTTTGGGCCAAGGTGATGTGTACATGTCGTGGCCTTGCCCTAGGTCCGGCCGAGCGTGGTTGCTGTGATGGTAGGCGGTCTGCCTCCTGTGTGAGTCTGCCCGATACACATCGTTCGCGTCTTCGAGACTCAGCACATCTGCTGTTGCGTATGGACAATCAGATTTTCTGTGGGTATGCCCATCGTCTTGCTACGACCTCACGGGTCGAAGCGGCAAATCCTTGGCGCGAGAAACCTTGTAGGCATCGTCTGATGGTGCTCATGGCAGAGGTCGGCTTGAAGGTGTCTGGGGGAACATGTCGTAGTATGAAGACATGTCTGCTTCCCATAGCATTTCGTTGTTGGCGAGCTCTTAGCTCTGCAATGTGGCCAACTGCGCGTCGAGAGGTTGAAGAAGGGTGACGAGCAGCGCGAGTGAAAGCTCAGAAGCGAGTCAATTAGTATCAAATGCAGAGCAGCAGTCGCTGCAGGTTTGATTATCTTGATGAATGGATGCTAGCTGCCGAAGTGTTTGAGCAACACGGTCACCCGCATACCACCCGTCGCAAACACAGCGCACGGCCATTTTGGCTTACCTTGCGCACGTACACCTTCAGCTGAAAGGGTAATTATGGTTCGCACATCATATTGGTGTGTTCGGTGTTCAGTGTTCAGTGTTCAGTGAGCAGTGAGCAGTGAAAGTTGTGTTGAGTCAATCGTCAAAGTTGTGATTCGACGAGACTTCGCTTACGCTGTGCAACAAGCGCCACATGTTCAGCTCGCTCGTATAAGAATACATCTGTTCGATAATGCATGCTCCCAAGGTATCGTAACGCCATGACAGACACAGCCTTTCCAGTTGTCCTGCTCAACCTAGCCTTGAGCGTATCCATTCCACCCACTTGGACAGGTCTTCCATCTGCTCCAGTACCTTGCCCAGGATTTCTCTGGTGACGCGGTCATTGTCGGTCTGGGCGATGATGTTCTCATCGGTCACGTCAACGATGCCGTTCTCCAATATCTGGAGAGTGATGTTCGCCCCTTGGTCCTTGAATGGAAATTTGACCTGGAAGTGCGGGATGGGGTGAACCCAGATGATAACGTCGATGCTTAGGTCGACCGCAGGGTCGACCGCAGCAGAAGCGCTGGCCGATGTCTTGGTTGCCTTGGTCAACCCCAAGAAAGCAGAAAGCTGGTCCTGCTCGCTGTCGCCGTCCGCGGCAGCCTTCTTGGGGAGAGTTGCTTCCTTCGTCTCCTTGCCAAAGCTGTTTTCGAGAAGCATCGATGTGAAAGCCCATTGTCTCAGGAGAGGTAGCATGTCGATCAGCTGCTTCGGATGCGAGAAGACCATCTCCTTCACCTCCATCGAGTAGATGTGCTTGTACACATACAATGAGTTAAGATGTGTCTTTTCGGAGAATTGTCTTTCCATGTCCATGACGGACACTTCACGTTGGCGCTGGATGACTCGGTTTTCGCTTGGGTCGTCTTGCAATGCTCCAGCCGGTGTAGGGAAGACAATCTGATCAAACGTTGTTTGTGGCGGGGGGCTCGGCAATGGCGCCCCCGTGTAAGTGTATAAGCGAGCCGCATCAGGCGATGACAGCACAATGGGCGGATCAAAGGTGATGAGGAATGAGACTTGAGGAGGCCCCCCCGTCGGTATGTCGCCCTCGAACATGGGCACTGAATTGTTCTTCGCCTCATCAGAAGCCGGTAACGACACGTGCTCCGGCTCTTGCCAGTCCAACGGGAAGGTCTTGGCATCACCGCCCATCCCATCATCCCGCACAATGTCCTTGCCCAGCCACTGGTCAGACACCCGCGCCGAGGGGAATGGATGCATTGGATCGAGTGGCGGTGGCAGTGGGCAGCAGCTGATATCGAGCTGCCATGTCTTGTGGTATTTTTGGATCGGGAGATGCCCCATTTCCTTCCAATACCGCAATGAAAGCCCGACCCGATCGTGGGCATGCATGACGGGGGCGCCATGCCTGGCACAGATGACTCTGGAGGGCGCGACATCGTCCGAGCACCCTTCTTCCCCTGCTCTTGCTAAGTCCCAATCATACAAAGCCTGCAGACTGGCGTGTAACCCTGCTATGGCAGCGCGACAGTCAAAAGCAGGCATGATGCTGAGCTTGTCTAACGTAGTTAAACGCTCAAGGTTGAGCGCAAATTTGTCCAGCGTTTTTGTCAATGGGCTTTGGTTGGGGGCCAGTAGCAAATCTTGCAACATGATCTTGCCCGCCGGTTCCATGCACTGAACAACCGCTTCTGACGACTCGGGAAATGTGAGGTTGACACTGTGAACAATGTTGTTGTCCATTGTGATCTCGATGGAGGTGCTCGATCCTGCTATGATGAGCATCCGTACCTTTCGACCGTCCGGTGCCGTGTCGTCCTCAGAAAGGCATTCGAATCCGTATCGTTGAGCTAGCCGTTCCAAGCCGGCCTCGCTCACGAAGCCTTTCTTCCTCTGCAAGAAATCAGTACGGCACGCTTCTGCAGTCAAGGCGCAGGACCTACGCCGAGTATCTCGAGAATGGCCTCTAGTCTGTTAAGCTTATCGTCATCCCTCGTGATGGACCTCATGTCCTGGAACCCCTCCATGGCCTCGTGGGTGGACATGTTCGCGGGGCCGCCCAAGCCAAGCGCAGCTGCGGTAGATGGACTATCGAATGCAAGGTTATGCGGCAATTGACCCAGTAAGCTCACAGCTGGCGACTTCTTAAACTGCTGAGGCGATGTCTTAGGTCCGCCGCGAGGAGAGAAGGCTGCATGTGCCGAGTTGGAGAAGGGCGTCGAGACTGGTGGTGTTGCGCCAGCTAGCTGAGAGGGCGTCGCGCCGGGAGCTTGGGAGGGCGTGCGGCCCTGCTGGGAGGCAGGGTGTTTGCCGGCGTTGGGTGCGTTGGGGGTCGACATGTTGACGGTGATTATGTTGAATGAAGCAAGGTGGTTTTGGTGCGAGTGCGTTGCGCTGCTTCGCTTCGCTTCGATTCGTTTGCACCTAAGCAAGATGGCGCGCCGCCGCGCGAGAGCTCTAGATGGACAATGGCATGTGATGGAGCAGCCGGACGACAGCTCCGGATAATGACCAAAGAGCGGGATAGAGGCTTTCTGCAAGTTCGTCGAGTTATCAATAAGACCGTGGTCGTGTTGCAAGGATCGCGCAGCTTTGTTCTCGTCGCGGAAGGTTGAAGAGCTCCGTTGCTTCCATGTCGCTACAGCAAGAGCGAAGCTTCAATGCCCCACCAAGAGGCGCTAAACCATTCAAAGCATGGCGTCTCGGGGCAACTGCAGCCTGCCTCACCCTGCAGACTGGGCTGACGCGATCAACGAGTTCCTGGACTCGAAAATCCTCATCGACTAGGACGGGAGCAACCACCAACGTCATGAGCGCCAGCCGCTTTGCGAGAAGCTCTCGAAGCCTTTGGTCACGGGGCGCGATCAACAGGGCCTGGGCACCACGTACAATTGGCATCTGCGTCGAGCCATGCCCGATCACGTTTGCTGAACGACGTGCAGTCCTGCAGGTGCTTCAGCGGGAGGCCCCTATTGAAGTATTCAAGCGATACCTGGTAAGGCATTTCAATGCAGACTCGGGACTTGCGCTGACTGGAGGAAGACGGAGGCGGATAAGTTCATTGCCGTCACGAAGACCACCGATGCCGCCGAGAGGTTGATAGCCTCATCTCCGAAGAGCTATACCGTGCAGACGCCGACGCAACCGAATCCCATATTCCTCGACCTCAAGAAGTCTAAACATACTCCAGACCCGGTCATCTCTGATACGATCATCTCTGATCCGGTTGAGTCTGATAGCAGTAGTCAGCGCCCAGAAGAGGCGACAACCTTCACTATCACAATCAGCCCAAAGAACAGCCAGCACGCGGACCAGGGGTTTTACGATCCGCTTCAGGGCTCATGGCCGCACCAGTTCACGGAATTCGACACCTATACATCATCCATGCTCAAGCAGTCCCTGCCCTCGAATATGGCTGCCACGGGCCTAGCGCATTGGGGCATGTTAGAGTCGGTCAAGAGGAAAGACACACACGAGCAAGAACGCATGGAAGCACGAAAATGGATCCCCAGACATATCCGCCAGGACAGGCTGATGTTTACAAGGCGGGAGGACCCATTGTCGGATGAGGACGCGCCGGCAGGACGAGAATCAGATCTCGACTAAGCGACACGTTCAGAGGGGCGACATTGTGGTTTCAAAGTCTAGGATCGCATCGACTCTGGAAGTGATGGGCAGATCTGAGGCGACTGTTTGCCTACACGCCGCATAGGTGCATTTGCCGACTACCTTGGCTCTGTGCTGATTTTGAGTCTGTTGAGACGTGAAGAGAGACCCAGGTCTTGAGACTGAACCTTGAGACCACCCGCGAGCAGAAGGTCATTGACGCAACGCAGTATCGTTGAACGTACGTGGCCGTGCGTACGTACAATACTCGTCTCCCCCCCACTATGGGAGAACCTGGCCTTGGGGGCTTCTGTCGGCGCATACGTCTACCCAGGCACGGGCATTTCTTTACTATCACCAAGATGCACGTCCTGTGGATGCACTCGAGGACCCTGATCAGCGGAGGATTGAACACACATGCAGCTTCATCGTTTGATCGTCCCCTCCAGAAGCAGACCGCTTCGGCGGAACCGAGCCCCAGAGCCAAAGGCTGCGCCACCGTCCACGTTAGACATTGTGGGTAATCAACGGCACCAACAACAACACTGCCCAGATCGGGCTCTGGCATGTCACAGTAGTGTGATGGAAAGTGGGAAACAGGCACGTAATTAGCCGACATTGAGGATTCAAGTGCGCGTACTTGGTAAACACCACGATCGGGAGGGCTCGTCCTACGTAGGATCGACAAGGGCTGTTTATTAGTCCCAATCAATCGCCATGCCAGCGAGACAGAACCTGTTGGACCAATCACTACAATACAACTGAAGGACACACAGAAGAATGCTTGTACCTGACGTAGCGCTACGCATACTGTGCAAGGATTGTTGTCAGGGTCTTCCGAGTCCTGTTTGGAGCATCTTCAATCTTGTCTCTCGACAGGGCGCTCACGCACAAGATCTGGGTGCTTTGATGAACCTCCCAAGACTCTATCTTGTTGATTGATTCTCCATCTCGGCTGATGGATTTTTCACCTCCAACTGGTGAAGAATGGCAGCGCAAACGATCGGCATTGCTGTCGTCTCCCTGCGAGTCCAGTCTCGGCTCCCCTTGAATGCCTCCCTAAACGGCAACTGATCGCAGCGACGGGGCCCACCCGGCTTGGACAGCCACGTCCGCCTACGTCACGGCCTCTGCGCACCGCCAAGTTCCCAGCGCAAACCGGTTCAACTCGAGAAGCTCGATGGCCGGGTCCGTGTCGCTACGCCCAAACGGGGTAAGGGTCCTTCACAATCGGCCGGGGTCATCTGGCAAGGCTATTCAGAGGGGCCCAGGGCGCAGAGCCAGAAGCTGCCGTGATGACGTTGTTGCCCCGAAATGGGACATCCAGGCGTCTCTCTCGTGGGGAACCAACAGGTTTAGCATCACGGCGCCCTTCCTTTAATAAGACCTGTTCTCCCTCGTTCCTATCCAGCCTTGTCTTGTCATTCAAACTTCCCCTTCCTTGTCTGCACGCACACAGAGGTGTCACTGCTCTCAGTTTTCTCTCTCGCAGCACCCAGCCAGCCAGCCTCACACACACACAGCACAACTCCCAGAAGGGCCCCCCCTGAAACAAAACAAGATGGCCGTCAGCATATTCTTACACTATGCGGGGACGGCGTTCCTTTTCATGGCCATGATCCTCACCATCGTGGTCGACATCTCAGCGCCTGTTGTCAAGGACATCTCATTCGTGAGCCTCGACCTGCCTGGCAACGCTGATGCCCAGTTTGGTGTGTTTGGCTACTGCTACCAGGGCGTCGTTGGATCCGAGTGAGTACATTGTTGCAACTGAGTCGACACGCTTGATGCTAATTATGATCAGATCTACCTGCTCCAGCGCCAGCATCGGCTACGATGCCGCCGGAGTCCTCGAGCGCGTGGATGACACCACTTTCAGCAACGTCCGTGCTGACGGAACCAAGGCTCTCACCAACGTCTTCGTGCTGCACCCCGTGGGCACCGGTGTCCTTTTCGTCGCTTTCCTCCTCAGCCTGATTGCCAAGTCCACCGTTGGCGGCATCCTTGCCACGCTCGCGGCCGCCGTCGCCACGGTGATCAACATTGTCGCCGTCGCAGTGGACTTTGTCGTCTTCAGTGTCCTCCTCGACGAGGTGAAGAAGGGTACTGGCGATGGAAGCTACGGGCCTGCCATCTACATTGCCCTTGTGGCCGCCATTCTCTCCCTCATCTCCACCGTCCTCATGTTCGTGACGTGCTGCGCTGGTCGCCGCCGTCGTCGTCGCGAGTCCAGGAAGATGGCCCAGTACTAAGCTAATCAATCTTTACGGGCACACCACCTACGGTCAGAACTACATGAACACCATCAACAACAACGAAAGTTACGACACATGACTGAACGTTCAACGGGGAAGTGGAGGGGGCAGTGAAGCGTGTGGCAGAACGAGACTGTGCTTTTAAGATATACCAGCGTCCTTATGATATCCAGTGCGATAATAGCCGGGTAATACGGTATATATAATAATCAATCAACTTCAATTTTAGTCAATTTTTAGTCAATTTGTCCTGCTATGACTATGTACATGACATGACCACGTAATGTATCATACGAAGCTTTGTAGCGTTAAAGCCTTGCTTACCTACGAGGGGATCGCGTTTGTCCATGACGGCTCAAAAACGGCTCGCTGACCGGTCAAAGACTGCCGGGAACGTCATACAACGGTCTTAATATTCGTGACCGTCACGGCCGATATAGGAAAGAGCACCTTCTCTATTCGCTGAACTTCACTCGAATCTAGCGGCCGAAAGGAGCCTCTACGAAAAGATCTAGAATAGCTATCTTATTAAGGAAAGGCCGCCTAGAGGAGCTTTCGAAAAGAACGCGATTAGAGCTATTTTTAGCCCGAAAGGTCGAGGTTTGAGCAAACTAGCTTTTCGGGCTGTTCACACGAACACGTCTTGGATCACTAAAACGGTCGCATGACGACTAGCCGTCTTGAGAAAACGCGATCCCCTCGTAGGTACTTATACTGCTGTGTCTTGTTGGTGGAAAGTACCTGTAATTAAGGCGTCTGCCCACATCCGTACAGAAGGGACGCAACTTACAGAGTCGAACAACACAGCCAAAGGAAATCCCATCTATTACATTATTGCATGTCATCTCGTCGTGAGAGACGCAAACTGAACCCCGACACCAATGATGAAAGAAATTTACAGGAAATCAAATCAAGGTTGCATGAAAATGTCTCGCTCGTCAACGCCGCTCCCAAGGTGTAGTTTTTTTCTCTTTCTTTTCAGATAGATCTTTTCAAACAGATCTGTGCCAACATGGCAGATTCCCAGTATCTATTGTACTATCCAACCGACCGTGAGCGTTTGCTGCCGGGCGAAATGGGTCCCGCACGCTGATACAACTCCATCCTCCTGTGTCGAAGGCGAAGGTAGGCCGAAAAGACAATCGTATCTTGCCGACTCAAATACTTTGCAGAAGCCAGAAGGCTGCTCCAAGCACGAAGCTCAGAATGGAAACGCTCTGCTCAGCAGCGCCAGCCGTCGGGACCTTGGGGGAAGGCGAGACAGGGCCGCCAGGCACAGGCACAGGCTGGGGGACCTTGGGCTGTCCAGGGATGAAGGGCTGCCCGGGCTGCTGAGGAACCTGAGGTCGGCCCGGGACGGACGGCTGCTGAGGAACCTGGGGCTGTCCAGGAACAGAGGGCTGCTGAGGCTGTCCAGGAACCTGAGGCTGGCCAGGGGCGGTCACGTTAGGCGAGGACGGCACGATGGGCCGAGGGACCGGCTGCACAGGCGCTGGAGGCTGAGGGAACGTCTGGTTCTTGGTTGGGAGCTGGGGCACACCAGGCTGCGAGGGAACACCAGGCTGCGAGGGGACACCAGGCTGCGAAAGGACACCAGGCTGCGAGGGGACACCAGGCTGCATAGGAACCGGAGGCCGAGGGAACGTCTGGTTCTGCGTAGGAGGCAGAGGAACTCCAGGCTGCACGGGAACTCCAGGCTGCACGGGAACTCCAGGCTGCACGGGGGCTCCAGGCTGCACAGGGGCTCCAGGCTGCACGGGGGCTCCAGGCTGCACAGGGACTCCAGGCTGTACAGGAACTGGAGGCCGAGGGAAGGTCTGGTTCTGGACAGGAGGTAGAGGAACGCCAGGCTGCACGGGAACGCCAGGCTGCACGGGAACGCCAGGCTGCACGGGAACGCCAGGCTGCACGGGGGCTCCAGGCTGCACAGGGACTCCAGGCTGTACAGGAACTGGAGGCCGAGGGAAGGTCTGGTTCTGGACAGGAGGCAGAGGAACGCCAGGCTGGATAGGAACACCAGGCTGCACAGGAACTCCAGGCTGCACAGGAACTCCAGGCTGCACAGGAACTCCAGGCTGCACAGGAACTCCAGGCTGCACAGGAACTCCAGGCTGCACAGGAACCGGAGGCCGAGGGAACGTCTGGTTCTGCGTAGGAGGCAGAGGCACTCCAGGCTGCACGGGGACGACAGGCTGCACAGGAGCTGGAGGCTGAGGAATCGGCCGCACAGGAACCGGAGGCTGAGGGAATGTCTGGTTTTTGGTGGGCGGCAGAGGAACCGGCAGGACAGGAACGGGAGGACGAGGCACCGTCTGGTTCTTGACCGGGAAGGGGGGCGCCTGGACGATGACAACCTCGACTTCCTTGATGATTTGCTCGACGATCTGAGGACGCTCGACGATCTTCTCAATGATCTGGGGACGCTCAATGATCTTCTCGATGATCTCGGGGCGCTCAATGATCACCTCCTTGATGATAGGGATCTCGACGAACTTCTCGATGATCTCCTTCTCAACCTGGGGGCACTTCACGATGACCTCCTTAATCGTCTCGATAATCTTCTCCTCGACAATGATCTCCTTCTCGGGCCTGGCGGCCTCCTGGTGAATCAGCTCCACCTGGACCTTGCCCTTGGTCTCGGCGCACTGCTCCTGGCAGACCTTGTTCTTAGGAGCGCACTTCTGTCGGCAGTCGGTGTTGACGGCGATCTTCTTGTCGCCCATTTGGACTACTTCCACAACGTCAGAGTCCTTGCTTTTGTTGTCGACAAAGATCTCGACATCAGGCTTTGGCTCGTCGGGGTTGTTGCCGTGAAGACCCTGAATGTGAACAACACCCTCGCTGTCTTGGTGGAAGCGTGGACCCTCGGGCTCGGTCTTCTGCTTCTTGCCCTTGTCGCTGAACCGCTCGACCTCCACAAAGTCGCTCGAGGTCTGGCCCTTGTTGCGCTGGGGCTTGTTGGTCTCGCCATCCTGCTCGTCCTCGTCTCCAAAGATTTCGATCTCGATGGTGTCGGTCTGGTCAGACTCCTGGTCCTTCTCACGCTGGCCGTCGCCGCGGTGCTTGTTCTCAAACACCTCGACCTCAACGTTGTCCTGGTTCTTGAACCCTCCGGTCTGGTGCTTGTTGCCATGGGCATCCTTGCGCTGTCCGTTCTCAAACACCTCGACCTGGACGTTGTCTTGCTTCTTGAACTCTCCGGTCTGGTGCTTGTTGTCATCGTCGCCCTTGCGGTTCTTGTTCTCGAAAACCTCGACCTGGACGTTGTCCTGGTTCTTGAACTCTCCGGTCTGGTGCTTGTTGCCATGGTCGCCTTTACGGTTATTGTTCTCAAACACCTCGACCTGGACGTTGTCCTGGCTCTTGGACTCTCCGTCTTGGGGCTTGTTTCCCCAGGTGTTAAAGCGATGCTTGTTCTCATACACCTCAGACTCAATTTTGTCGTTGCTCTTCGAGTGACCGTTGTTGTTGCTGTGCTTGTTTTCGTGGCTCTTGTGGCGATGCTCGTCTCCGAACCACTCAATCTCAACTTTGCCTTCGTCTTCCGAGCTCTCCTGTCCGTCGTTGTGCTTCTCCTTGTTCTTGTTCTTATTTCCTTCGCTGTTTTTGCGGTGCTCGTTCTCGAACAACTCGATCTCAACCTTGTTCTGGTCGTCGGACTTCTTGCAATCCTTGCATTCGGCGTTGTGCTTGTTTTTCTTGCCGAATTCGAGGGCGTACGTTTCCTTCTCGTCGTGTCCCTGGGCAATGACGCCAGTAGACAGGGCCGCGATGGCCACAGCGGCAGAGAAACGCATTTTGAAAAAAGGGGGTAAACGAATGAACAAGTTTTGAAAGGCAACTCTTGTGGGACGGGGAGAGGATGTATTGCAGTCTTGCCACATATACGCCTGCAATCTCCTACTAAATAACTCGTGTGGTCACTCTCGACGATTAGATCTCGAGCAGCGTTGAGTAACTTTCTTTTTTTGGGGTAGGGCAGAGTCACAAGGTGACCTAGCGTCCGCATGTCGAACAGGCATCGTGGGCGGTGGTCTGTGGCGGGCCAGACATCACATTGCCGAAGGATAATTATGATGGTTTGGTACGATGACGTCGAATAACCTTGTGGAGTATTAGCCAACGATAACGAGTATCGGCTATGGATACTTCCCAAGCAGCGTCTATAATGTGCACATGAACCGTGTTGGAATCCGGAGACACGTAAAGGCTTGGCTTGATCGACGATGGGGTTGGAAATCCAATTAAAAGTTCTGCAGTACCGCCGTGTTGCCAATTGTCCAGTATGTTAACATTGTTGGGGCTGTCCTCGAAGAAGCTCCGCCTAGCAATCTCGCCAGCTGCTGGCGTGGCTGCCTCTAGGAGACACCACGCAAACCAAGCTTCGGCCCGCTTGCCCTAGACCGCCTCCGTGACGCCGTGCAACCCGTTATTGTTATTCTTCAGGGAGACCCGAGAACAAACCGAACCGCATGCGATGGGACTGCTAGCAGTTAGTCAAACTGGTGCATTGTTCGTTTCCTGTTCAGCACTTACAAACGGAAGCTTGGGGATGACCACGCCGAGCACAGCTAGGAAATTGATCACAAAGTACGCAAGATCGTAATGCGTGTAGTGCGTGCTGAGGAGAAAGAGAACCACCGGCACGCTGAGCAGGAACTTCTTTGTAGGTGTGTACTGAGCGCCGTTGTCGATTTGCTCCCACATGTTGAGGTTGTCGAAGGCCCCGCTGTTAAAGTCAAAGGGCACGCCGCGGACATAGTGGAACATGATGTAGGAGCCGATCATGTATGTGATGTTGGTCATTGTCCATGATGTTTCTTGCGAAACTCCTGGGATGACATCGTAGAAGATCTTCAAGCATGCAATGAGCACAATGTGAATTGTCCAAGCACCTTTGGCGTTTGTCCAGTTAGCGTTCAAGTTTGGTAGGGCCGCCTGATCACTGATCTGCTCGAGTGTCTCGGGAGGCTCGTGATAGACTTGGAGAATGCTGCTGGAGCGCCGTCTCCGGCCCCCCGAGTCCTTGTTGCGATCTGCCATGTCGAGGTATGCGCTGCCGGTGCCGGTGCCAGTGCCGTTGCCGCTGCCGCCACTGGTGCGCGTGCGTTGAGACTCGCTGCCCGCGTCAAAAGTGACGGTGCGTTGAAGGAGGATTGGGGAAGACAGCTTGGCGGTGTTGCGGGGTGTCAAGCAGGGTAAGATGTCGTGTGAGGTAGGGTTCGAGCTGAGCACGCGAGTCAGGGGTCGATTGCGAGAGACTCTGTAGTTGTTGCTCGGGCTCGTGTAACGGAGGTGTCGTCAAGCTCGCTAGGAATCTGCGGCGTCTGCCTCAGCAATGGCAGATGGGTGGTATTCGTCTCGAGACGGTCCGGTCGGCTGTAGGCCAGCAAGCGAGCTGCCCCTGATGATGTCAGGAAGTACGGAGATCGACAGGTTGGATGGAGGCTGATGAGGAGGGACGGTGGCAATTGCGAGTGAAAGGAGAATAAGCAATGCGCGTCTTGGGGCAGAAAGAATGCTAGCGGAAAACGTATGTCTGTATGTCAGGGTCGTCTCTCTCTGTCTTCTGGTGAGGTGAACAGTGTAACGGTGGATGGAAATATGGAAGGACGAGAACGTAAGGTAAGTTAGGGCCGGACAAAACAGACCGGACTTCAATCTGCCTGGTAATTACCTGGTCCAGAAGATGCCAGCGGCGGCGGACCCCATAGTGGGAACGACTCGGAGTAAGGGTCTGGGGGGCAGCTGCGACAGAACGATGATGCCGCAATCTACTAGCGCCTCCCGGTCAAAACTCAAGCGGTAGCTGTTAAGGAGCTCTCCTCTATTTTTGTCCGCTGCCATGCCTACCAGTCCACCTCAGCTAGAGACCAATCATTGCCTTTCCTTTCATCGCGTAATAAGCCGCATGTTCATGTTGCTTGGATGCTGCCATGACCACATCCATTGTTTCTTTCACTCTCTGTCAACTTGCCTAATAGCGACACCACTGTCGCTGTACATACTCATAATACTGGCAGCGGCTCCGCTGAGGACGGTACTCGGGAGGCTGTGCAAAAGTGATACGAGCTTTGGTTTTTCGTACCTCAGGGAGGCCACGTGAAGGACCCTTAATTGGGGCTAATCTCCGGAATTTCGGGGTAGAGACGCTCGAACGTCAATGCTCACATAGCAGGCTATGATTGGTCGCGATGGGTTTTCATTCAAGATCAAGTCTTTACGACGGGTTGCAATGATCGCAGATCACGCCGGCATCATCTTTGCTCATTGAGATTGCTTAACATCGGTCTCTAGGGCACTGCATCGAGTAGAAGGCCTGCTGCATGTGTTGTTGCATTATTCAACCAACCGCGCGACTCTTCCACGAGGACTGGACAGGCTTGATTGCACTTTCCCTCCACCAATTCATCTCGTCTCACGCAAGTGAGTGACCTAACAGGCTCATCGTACCTTACCTCCTCATCTTCCCTTATCTCACCTTACCTCACAACATGGCCTCCAAGGATGCAGATTTTGGCGACGTCATAGCCATCGACTCATCCTCTGGCGAGGAAGAGCCGGCGAAATCTCAGCTCGCCATGAAGAAGCGCTCACTACGCAACTCGAATCTCTCAGAACCCCGTCGGGAATCAAAACGTCTCAAGAAGAACGCTGAGAGCGCCGCTCGGGGGCAAGACGACATGGCCGCCGGCGATGACCTGATGCTGTCAGAGGAATCGGAACGCGACGGGGGCGCGGACGCGGCTGAGAAAAGCGACCAGCCCGCTGGCCAGACGAAACTCACCAACAAAGAGAAGAAGGAGCAGCGCAAAGACCTCAACAAGGGCAAGTCTGACTTTGATCCAATCATCCTGGACGACCCGCCCATCTATGTTATTCGAGGGTTGGCGGTTGAACTTCCAACATACAGAAAATTCAAGGGTGGCAATGCGCACACCTGGGAGCAAAAGGTTCCTCAGTGGGTTGACCTCTGCTGTCGAATGAATGCTGCCATGCTCCCTGGCTTGACCGTCGAAGACCTGCTCTCGGGGCACGCAGAATACATTAACACCGTCAAAGACAAGGGCTCCAAGGGTGCCAAGAGGCGATTGAAGCAAGTGATCACGGCTTCGAAGAAGGACAGTGCTTTCAAGAACAGATTCACGAGATCGTGGCCTGAACTTGGCACAAATGTGGATCGCTCGGACAAGTCTCCGTCTCGGTTTTACGAGTACAAGTCAGAAGCACAGGACAACAATGGAGGTTCTGGCGACAACGGTCGAGGGCCCGTGCCTAGTAGCGCGTCCGCGCCAATTGAACTTGAAGACGATAGCGAGGCTGAGTATGAGCCAAATTTCCACACCGAACAGCCCACACAAGCACTGGGCTCTGCGTCTGTGGCGAACCCGACAGCTAGTCCGCCAAATGGACACCATGCACCCAATGGTGACGCGAATGATGCGCGTGACCGTGACACGGCGGACCTGCAGCAGCAACACACCTACTTCCCGTCCGCTTCGGATCCGTCAAATATGTGCCTATCGTGTGGACAAGAAGGACATTCTAGGTCCAGGTGTCCCCACTCAACGTGTCGCTTTTGCAACGGGGGTGGCCACTGGGACTACGCCTGTCCATCTCGGGTTCGGTGCGGCAAATGTCGACAGCAGGGTCATACCAAGGCCGAGTGCCAGGAGAAGTTGGCTTTGACGAAGAGTGAGGGGTTGGCATGTGGTTTCTGCAACTCCACCGACCATCTCGAGGAGAATTGCACAGAGATCTGGCGCTCGTTCGCCCCACGGCAAGACAAAACCAACAAGGTGGTCTTTATAGCGCCATCTTGCTCACTGTGCGGCAGCGACAAACACTATCGGATGGAATGCGCTTCGAGAAAGGTCACAGACAAGGGAAATCCAACGTGGTCCTTGGCAAACTGCAACATGTACATTGACAAGGACTGCGACCAGCGCGCCATTGAGCACGAGGCTGCACAGAACGCAAACAAGGGCGCGGCACGGCGACAGGAAGTGCGCATCAAGGGTCATGCCGCGAGGAGTGGCAACATTGTGCACTATTCCGACGACGAGGATTCCGAGGTTGAATTCTTGGGCAAGAAGCCACCCCAGAGGAGGGCCCCCATTGGCAACATCCGCATGGCCAGCAATATCCAGATGCCTGCGCAGCCAGTGGATTCGTTCCGCGGTCAGCCACCCCTTCCGCCCGGACCGCCGCCCCCAACCTTTGGAAGAGGAGGTCCACCAGTCGGGGCCAGAGGGCAGGATTCGCTTCCACCCAGGCCGCCTCGCCGGGACTATGGGCCTCCGCCTTCAGGAGCTGGAAGAGGAGGGGGCAGAGGTGGACGCGGCGGGAGAGGTGCAGGGAGAGGTGGTGGTGGTGGTGGTGGTGGGAGAGGCAGGGGACGAGGCAGGAACTGAACGATTGGGTGACAATGTACAGTATCGAGTCGCGCTTTGGTGATACTAGCGCGTAAGTGAGGGTTTATACCACCCCTCGATCGAAACGCGACCTTGGAGAGGCGAAATCACAAGTTGAACTTGGTTGGCTTCCCGCCCTTGAATGACATGGAGTGTGAGCCTGCAGACTCTGCGCCATAATTTGCAGGCATGAATCAAAACGACGACCTTGATGCAGATACGGAGGCAGCTACGCTATGTATGTTGACTACTGACATCTAGTTTCATGGCATGGTGTCAGTTAATCGCCTGCATTTGCCTGCATTTGCCTGTACTATGTGTCTATAGGGTATGCAAGCATGGAAGGATCGGCAACCTGTAAGCCTTGATTGACTCACAAGTTTCGATACGCGATAATTGTGGCGGCTTGGCACAGATTTGTTGAGCGCACTGTATCTAGCAGCAGTTGGACGAGAGGTTCTTGGTAAGTAGTCCCAGGGGCAATGGCTGGTTTCAAATTATAGTACGGCATAACATGGTAGCCATCTGGGAGCCCTAGAGTTCTAAAATTTCACATATGCTGAAACCGACCTATACGCACGGAAAGAGTAGACATCCAGTATTAGCGACTGACTCTTGTGTGTTTTTTCTGGTGCAGGGCTGTTGTTGACTTTATCATAGAAGTGAGGTTGACTCATTGACGCGTCAAAGCCTTCGCACGACGCGTTGTCGAGAGCAGTCACAGCAGAAGCCCGATTTCTTCCTGGAGGCATAGATGTCAGAAGTTGATCTTGTCACAAGGAGAGCTTTGAAGAAACAATATAGTCGTGGCTTCAATATAGACTAGATCATTACTTACTTACCTTCGTATTAGCCTTATCGTTAACTTTAAATGAGCCTATCCTAATTTTGGAGTTTCTTTCCTGCTGCTCAGGTCAGGGCCCCAATGAGGAAAGTATACGTCGCGGTGATGGTTTTCGGCCCGCGCCTCACCGCGTCCGAGAGACGTCCAGCGCGTCGGCGATCATGCTTTTCAGAGGCTGTGATTGGGTCAGTCAAGTCACGTCCACCACACCACGTCGCGCGCTCGACTCCCAACCTCGCATCCCCCACGAACAAGATTCTCCGCATTCATGCAAGTCTGCGCAGGAGAAACATTGTTTCACTGGCCAGGATGCTCTCCCGCATGCGACACATGGCTACCCAGCCAGTCATGTCCCGACACACGGTCGAGACGCGGCATATATGTGTACATTGACTGCAAGCTCTCAACCACTAGTTGGTGTCCTAGCAGATGGGCATCGTGGCGAGGCCAAAGAATACCATGATGGAGAGGGAGAGGATGGGATATATCAGCCTTGCGGCCTGAGTTTTTGGGACCTGCAGATGTCAAACTTATTGTTCCCGGTCAGACTGCTAGCACTGCACACAACCAAGTCCATTCTCGCGTCTCTTGACATCAAACGTTCCACCTCAAGCTCTTTAAACCACCACCACGAAATGCAGTCATGGTCTCCAACACTGAGTCTCAACTTTCAGCGTTGCTGAGAAGCCCGCGCTTCAAAGAGGCGTTTCTGCCATGCCTTTCGCCATCAGACCTCTGCGCCCTGAGGACGACCTCAAAGACAAACTCGGCCCTGCTTACAAAGGATATCTTCACCAGAGTCCACGTCTCCTTCACGGCCCATTCATTCACAAAACAATCCCGCCTCAACGCTCTGGCCAGAATAGGCGGCCATGTTGAACACCTCACGTTCCATTTTCCGCACTCTGAGGCCACCTTCCTCCCTCCGCTCATCCACCCTCAAAGCGGCAAGGAGATTCACTTTCTATACACGCCACACACGAGCATGACCTCGTGCCTAACCCGTCCCAAGTACGCCAACTCGGAATTGGGTGACATCCTCACAGCCCAATACCCACCCCTCTTCCACTCGGCAACCAATGTCCCGTCCTTCATCCATGCACTCAAAGTCCTGCCCAACATGCGCCATCTCACGGTGAGGTGCCCAGGGCAGGACAAGCGAGAGCGCTACAGGAGGAACATTGTGGACTACGCGCTCATCTCCCTGCGCATCGCCATTGAGCGTGCGCCTCTGGAGAAGCTCCACAAGCTGAGCTTGTCGAGTCTGCATCCATCAGCACTAAACTACCTCCGCCATGTCCCTGGCTTTGGGTCGTTACCCTCAAGCGGGAGGAGATGGCGCCAGATCACGAAGCTCAACATGTCCATGGAAGCATGGGAGTTCCACTCCTCTAGTCCCGGCTTGGACCATCTGAAGATCCTGGACGACTACATCCGTCACCTTGCTCCTCAGTTGGAGAAGCTCAGCTTCACATGGCTCGGACCCAAAGGCCCTTGTCCCATTGCTTTGAGCGCGGACCCGCTCTTTGCCTCGGCCAAATCGTTCAAGAAGCTGTTCCACGAGGTTACGAGTCCCATGTCGCCTCTCCCAGCACGACCGACCAGGAAGGACATGTTCTTCCCTAAACTCAAATACCTTCAGATCAGGAACGCCAGCATGCAAGCAGAGAAGCTCAGGGACGTCATTGAAAGACATCGCGACAATGTGCGCGAGTTCGACTTTAGAGAAGTTGTCCTCCTCAATAAGGGGGATTGGGATGACGCCTTGAGCCCCTTGGAGGATGGATGGTCCAGGCGCTCCATGAGCGTGCACAGTTCCGAAAGGAGCGGCTACACGGAAAGCACCGTGGTGGACGATGACTACAGTGATCTTCCCAGCCCCAGCGCGGCCGTGGAAGCCGCCAGTCGTGAGTTGATGGACATTGCTGGCTTCAGTGATGAGGAGAGGAGTACACTATCGTTTGGTACTACGGCATCTGACATGGAACCCGTGAGAGAGGAGGGAGAGGAGACGGAAGGCGTGTCGACGAACGTGAGGCGCAGGAGAAGACGCAGACGCAGGCACCACGTCGAAGAGGAGGAAACCATCCACCGCTCCAAGATCTCCCTCTCTTCACTTTCATTCAGGAGCAAGTCCTCGCAACCCAAGCTGAGACCCTCGCAATCGTCTCTCAAATCCCAGAAACCACGTCACCAGCCTAGCGAAGCCTCGCTGCAGTCAGTACGGCCTCGACCACCGAGCCCAATTGTGGACACGGCCATCACCCTGCCCATACTGAACAACGGATCGCAACCTGTGCTCCTGCAACCGACAGTGTACAATCCTGCAGCGCCGGGAGAAGAGGACATATCCCCTGTTCAACGAAACATGGAGCAAGAAGCACAGCACGCATTGCTCGCGCAAGATGCATCGGCCCGCTGCTCTGCTTTACGAAAGGCCAAAGCTGCCGTGCTACAGAAGCTGTCCCGCGAATTCTGCGCCAACGCAGCAAAGAGGACGTACGGGGGAGGCAGCGCGGTGGCAGCGTGCAGGATGATGACCAACCATAATGAGCCTCGGTCTTGTGCTGTCGAGGTCCTCGAAGACCGGAGGGGTCTCGATCGAGGCGGGAGCATCATGGTGCCCTTGATGTTCAGCCGGGCATGAGGAACGCTTACCAGCCCTGGTGATGATGAGGATCATGTATTCACTCTTTACGATTTTTCTTGTACACGACCTTATGACCTTTTAATGAAACATTCTTTACGAACGATCTTGACCTTGCTTCGTTCTTCTGTTGACTCACTGGCTTTCCTTGATGATCTGCTCCAATGCCTTCACGTAGTCCTTCACTTCCTTGGCGCCAGTCAATGTCAAATCCCTCCTTTTTCCTTCAACTATAACCACGGGGACTGCCTCGATATCACGAGCTACCTGCTGCAATGTGCGCTTTAGCTCGGGCTCCCCCATTGACGGGTCGCGGATAACCCCCCGAGCGTCTTGCTCTGGAACACCTGCATCCATGCAGGCGCCAAGTATGGTGTCTTCTTCACCAGGATGCTGTCCCAGGGTCCAGTATCTCTTGTAGAGACTGCCGACAATCTTGCCCGCAGTCTCGCTGCCCCGATCGCGTTGCATCGTCTGAATGACACGATGGGCTGGCGTCGTGTCACCCGTCATGCCTTCGTAGTGAACGTCCACACCCTCGCTGTTGAAAAGTGTCCTCATGCGCTCCTCAAAAGCAGCCAGCGCCAAGGAATTATCCATATACTTGTGGTGGAGGAGCCATTCTCGCCTGTCCACATTCGCGGGAAGGTCGGGTTGAAGGATGAACGGGGTGTATGAGGTACTGAATGTCACTTCAGTGGTATCCACGGCGGACAGGGCCTTGTCTAGCCTAGGAGGTGTGAGCGACACAATTGGTAGCACTATGAATTGAAAGATTCACCTTAGCTTGGCCAGATATGTCCTGGTGATGTTAGGAGCTTGAGGTTATCTCGGGGAGCACTGGGCGCGTACGTACCACGGGCAGATGATATCGAAGATGAAAGTTACTTGCAATTCGTACATTGTTTGCTGCAAGTCCAAAAGTTCAATGGTAGAAGTATGCGTGATAGAAAGTCGCATTTGAATGGTCGTCACGACGAGCGATATCCAAATACTGAAGGCGTCATCGTGCGGGGGCCCGGATGACCTACAATGATTCCCCTAGAGACCACCAGGAGCATCAAACTTGGCGCCTCAAACACGTTGTGTTTATATTCTCTTCTCTAGTCAAAAGTGACCTTTGTTCCTGTCGACTTGACAACCGCACCCGTCAAGCGAGCCACGTCAATGTCCTGAGCCTCGCGCATGGGCTTCCCACCCACGGCGTCCTTCCGATGTGCCCTCCCAGGACCATTTTCTCTCTTGGGCTGCACAGTCTTGCCATCGCCGTCCTTTGGCGCGTCCTTGCCGAACCGCTTCTTATATCTTGAAGCATCATCCTCCGCCAGCTCCAGCTTCAGCTCGCGGCCCAACATGCGGTTCACCCACCACTTTGTGGTCTTATACTTCCTCTTGCTCTCCCTCTCCTCCTCATCCCCCGAGTCCTCGTTGAAGTCCTCTTCCGTCTCGATGGGTTCCCGGAGCTTGACGAAACCCTTGACCGCCCACGCGGCCGCTTCAGGTTCCTTGAACTTGACCCAGCCGTACCCTTTACACTTTCCACTGTCCTCGAACTGAGCCACCTTGACGAACTCGATCTCGCCGCACTTCTCAAATTGACGGTACACGTCCTCTTCGGTGGTCTGGAAACTCATGTTGCCGACAAAGATCTTTCGGCTGGCTTCAGCCACTTTCTTGAATGCGTCACCCTGGTCTTGTAGCTCTTCTGCGCCCTCAGCTGGCTTCGCCGGCCGCCCTTCGTAGGATGTCGAATCTTTGATCAGGAGTTTCCGCCCTATCCACTCGGTCTCCGACAGCGCGATAGCGGCCACCTTTTGGCCAAGGTCTGCAAAATCGACATACGCAAAGCCCTTGTTCCGTGCACCGTAGCCATCGCCCTTGTCCTTGTTCATAGGCAGCTTCACTCTGGTGATACCCTCCTCAGTAATGACACCGCCCGAATTCTCCACCAGCCATTGTTTGAGCTCCTGTGGTGTGACGGTGAAACGCAGGTTGCCAATCCAGACACCGTGCTCGCCCCGTGGCTGCTCCTTAGGCGCGTCGTCCTCGAGATCGTCCTTGGTAAGATCGCGGTCGTCGTCTCGTTTCTTGGGCGCGGTCGCAGACTTTCCCTTTTTGAGCGCACGCTTGGCTCTTTTCGAAGGGGGCTCAGGCGCGGCGAGATCGACCTCGAGTTCTTCGACGGATGCCTTGCGTTTTGACCGTGTTGTCGAGTCTGTAGTGCTGGCCGTAGTGGTATCGGGCTGGGTTTCTGGCACTTGTTCCGCAGCAGCCTTTGCGGCTTTGCGTGCGCGTTTCTCTTCTTTGCTGGACATTCTGGCTTCTCAAGGTTTGGGGAATAATTACCCTTTGCGAGTTGATCGTGGTACGTAGTAATAATAGTCCAGAGCAATCAATCAGATGCGGCAGGAAATTTTCTGGCGATTGGCACCCTCGATAAGCGATAAGTAGCCGCCATGGGCTTTGTGGGGGTGCCGCATGACATGCTTCACGTGGTGAGAAACTTGCTACGTATTCGATGCTTTGTGGGTGCCATCTTTGGCGAAAGCTGGGAAACATATGATTAGAATCTTGGCCGAAGCTTTCTAGTAGTCTTTGAACCATGCATGGCGACATCTAATGCGCGCGGACGGTCAAATGTTGACGATAAACCTTTGGTCGGTGTGGCCTTGGTCGGTAGAAGATGAAAAGTCGCAAAGACATTTCTCGATTCACGACGCTGCATGTCCCAGTTCATAATTAAACCGAGATTGATGGGTTCTCTGCCAATTCGTATCGTCAAAGTGACAACACTCTTCCCATTGAAACGAACTGAATCATGCAGCACGAAATGCGAAATGTTGGATCAATGCACTCTCATCTTATCACGTGTGACTGCTTGGCTCGAGTCGGCCGTGGGCTCCACATGTGCCGCCGCCGCCTCTGTCTCTTTGTTTCTGATCCATTCATCGTGCCACTTCTGTCAGCAAAACAACTATCACTGTTGCAGCCTCTGTCGTTTGTAGTGCTGTGACTGTCATCTTCGCCCTCGTCTGCCGAATCGTTGTCACGAAGGAAGAAATAAAGACTTTGTGCCGGACCCGCCCGCTGGACTACCGAACAATACCTTGCAAGCCTTTTCAGCCCAAAGCCGACGGACCTTGTTACTCCTCACGCCCACACATCCTCCTCATCCGGGAGGCTGACGACACCGCTCGGCAACCACCGCATCACCTGCGAGCTAGACATTGCCCAAGGACGGCAGCGTCGGATTGTACAGCAAGCTTTTTGCTACATTCATCTGGTCGCTTTGTATGACCATTTTGCCTTGCGGCTGCGGCGCTTCTCTCCAAACATGAACGTTTTACTCTCGCCACAGCCGCACGTCCTACCTCACTACCACGAGAGCCCTCGCCAGTCACCGCAGCGAGGTGGTACGTCTAGGCTGTTCCTTCAGCAGACGCCGGATGCTGACTCTGCAACGATAGAATCTCCACTGCACGCCATGTCGAACCGAAAGCGAAAAGCCGACGACGATGGCGATGAGGCCATGTCAACGTCTCCGTCCATCTCCCATCGACCTCTTGCACGCCCGTCCAAGAAGGTGCGCAACAACGATGCTCTCGGCAGGTCCTTGAGGCTGCCACGTCTCCTGGAGACCCTGGATGCCGATCAGCTGCGAACGGTTCTGCAGCATATCTGCGAGCAGCACAGGGAGATCGGCCAGGAAGTCGAGTCCCAGGCACCTCGCCCATCCGTGGAATGTGCCATCAATGTTCTACAGGGCTACCAAGACAGGCTCAAGGCCGCAGCACCGTACGGGGATACTAGCCCAGAGTACACCTATCATCGAGTGAGGGAGAACTTGCTCGCGCTACTCGACGCTCTCTCGGACTTCACTCCTCAGTTCCTCCCTCCCATCGAGATGCAAGCTTCACTCTCTCTTCAATTTCTGGATGCCGCCACCAACTTCATTCACGAGCTGCCCGACCTGGAACTGCAAACCTACCGCCACCACAAAGAGAACGCATACGAGGAGATCTCGAAAGCCTGGGCACTGGTCATCAACGAGGCTTCGAAAAAGGCTGGAGGCTTCAACCTGCACTCGAGTGGCTGGGATGCCACACTGAACCGCCACAACTCCCGCTCAGACGGGCGGTTAGCCACCGCCGTGGCAGCCATGGGCGAGAACGTCGGGTGGATCAAGCAGAACTCGCAAGCAGCTGATCAAAACTCGATTCTCAACCAGCTCATGTCTGGTTCATACGGCAGTCCCGTTCGCGTGGGGCCATGGTAGCGCCATCGCCCATGCTTTCACAATGGTTGGCCGAATCACCAGTAAACAAGACGCACGGCCTTTTACGACGTCACGACGACTCTGCTTCCGTCATTTTTGCACATTCCCACCCGGCGTTCACTCGGTCTCATGCATAGATTGGAGAGGTACATCACTCTGACCGGTCGGAAATGACTTTACGGGCGTTGCACTGTATTCACGATGTACCAATTTGGTCGTCAGATGGCATTCAGCGGGTTCCTTTATATCAGAATTGTTTGTAGCCAGCTCCCTGTTGGCGTTCCTTTGTAGCTAGCAAGACATTTTACATCAGTTGGTGTGTTCACCTGTGCAAGTGAGTTGTATGGATGTGGCCGGACGGTCATACTCGAGTGCAATAGACTCTGAATATTGTGTACGTGGACACTGACATATAGTAGACACAGCATTGTACGGAGGACGCTCTCACAAGTAACTTCCTGCCAAGGCACTGGGCATATTGTGGACAAGTGAATGTAAGTGAGGCAGGAGCGACTGGAGTGTGTCGGTAATGCAGATGGGCGTCGCCGGGCGGTCACGTGTTTTGGTGACACCACTCGCGCCGCCCCTCGACCGTGAACGCGCCTGCCTCGCTGGCTGTTGTTGACGCTGAATGACAATGCTCTATGTGTCACTTTGAACAATAGCACTGACAGCGTACCACCATACTGTCTGCAAAGCGGAACTGCCTCAAGATTTTCATACTCGCCAATCATCCATGAGAGTATAATCCCGACATTACCCAATATGCCTGCGTAAGTACTCGCCCTCAACGCGTCATTCACGGCCGCGACGGACGTTGCTAACCTTTATCTAGCCCAGGCCAGCAGCACCAATCATGGCAAAACCCATACGACGAGCCTAAACCCCGCATGTCTTTGTGGACTGCGCAAGAGATTGCTACCATTGCCTCGAAACTCGACAAGCAGCTTGGCCCCGAATACATCTCTGCTCGCGCTGGCCCCGGTGGTCAACGCGTGCACTACCTGACCGCAGAAAAGTGCATTACCCTCGCGAACGAGGTCTTTGGCTTCAATGGCTGGTCATCGAGCATACAAAACATTCAAGTGGACTTCGCGGACGAGAACCCTCAAACATCTCGCGTGAGCATCGGGCTGTCAGTCATTGTCCGCATCACGTTGCGTGATGGGACCTACCACGAGGACATCGGCTATGGCAGCATCGAGAATGCCAAGGGAAAGGCCATGGCTTTTGAAAAAGCAAAGAAGGAAGGCACAACAGACGGGCTCAAACGTGCACTACGAAGTTTCGGAAACGTTCTGGGGAACTGCATCTATGATCAAGACTATGTGAAGCAGGTGGTCAAACACAAGGCACAGCCTGTGAAGAAGTTTGATCCCAACAATCTTCATCGGCACTCGGACTTCAAGGAGGATGTCAAGGTGGATGAACCAGCAAAGGCGCCTGCGGCACCAGCAGCTGCGATGCCAGCACCACAGATACCGCCCCCTCAGGCTCGGCCCAAGATGGAGGCGTCAGAGTCGTTCGAGGATTTCCTTGGAGGTATGCTGTCCTCAGATGGCTTTGAAGAGCTGTAGGCTAAGTTCAATGTTACAGAGCTCGATGAGGCGGACTTTTGCGTGCCTGAAGACGGTCATCCCGATGAAATAGTGCTTCCAGGCCCGCCTGAGCCTGCACCGCGACCCATGCAGCCGAATACCTCAAATCGCCAGCCGCAGACGCCGAATCAACCGGCGCCAGCGAGGCCGCAACAACAGGCGCAACCACAGCAGAATCGTCCGGTGCCACCGGCACCACCACATCAACAGCCACGCCAAGGGGCCCCTACTGCCGCGCCAGCGGCCGTGCCCGAAACCGTCGGCTTTTTCTCCGCGAAAGCTGTTAGCCAGCTTCCCGAAGCCAGTATCCAAGGTGAGGGCGAGTCTCTCCTGGCTCCTCGCGGGCAGCAGGCTTTCAATCCTAAGCTTGAAAGCCCGTCGATCCGCAAAACACCCGGCATTGATCATAGCGCCTCGAAACCATTGTCTCGCAGCGGGCAGCATGTTCCTCCGAGTAGTAGCCAGGCTCAGACATCCAACGCCGGCAGCTTCACGCCAGTACGTCCGGGTCAACCGAGAACAGCAAATGCGGTGAACCCCGGGCTGGACCACGCAAGGCGGATCGGAGCGCCTGGAGGGCCGGGTAGTCCCCTTGGCAATCGCGGGTCGTTCCGTCAGCCGACAATGATGAAGAGGCCGCAACCTGAAGGAGGCCGTCCAGCTTTGGCAGACCTTCCTGCCAATGCGAATGGCAACCCCCAAAATGGGATCGATGACATGGATGCGAAGAGGCAGAAGACGGCTTGATCAAATGGTATCGTCATTAATGTCCTAGGCGTTGTATGGGTTATGAGCAATGTTACGTTTGGCGCTGGTAGTGCTTGGGCCATGTCATTTGGAATGATATACAATTGTTCTTGTTCTCGTGATGTCTAATGTACAACAAAATGTAGTCTTCCCATTATTTACTGGCATTCAGTCTCCTTAATCCTTCCTGAGCTTGCCGAGAGCCTGCCTTGAAATCGAGCTTCTTGCACAGGTCGATACTTTGGGTATACTTCTTCTTGGCGAGTTCCTTCTTCCCTTGCATGGCTGCCACATCGCCCCAGTTGCATAAAGCCACGGCACACGCTTCGTCGCACTCGTCTGTCTTGTCATCACCCTTGACGTCCTTGGCATGGACGTAGGCATTTTGGGCCCAGTTGGCTGCGGCCTCGAGGCAGTCTTTCCTGGTGTTGGGCATGCTCGAATCGAAAATGGTCTTCAAGGACTCTGTCTCGCTCAGAGACGATTCAGTGGGGGAGTAGAGGGGGTGCTGGGCAAAACAGGCAGCGAGGTTGTTCATGATGACAGCCCTGTGGCAGGGGCTCTCGCAGTTCCGTAGACCTTGGAAGAATAGCGGAATGGCAAGATGGAATTCACCCTTTTTCTCGTAGTTTCGCCCCAGGGACTCCATCATTGCGCCAACCTCGGTTGGTGTCATCCAGCTTGTTTCGCCGGGTCGCGGTTTACCGCTCTCTCGTCGGCGACGGAACTCCTTGAGCGTCGACTCGACGGCGTAGACGAGGTGCTCGTGTGAAGCATCGGGGTCTAGGACATGCTGCGAGGCGTACAGCTCACCGAGCTTGACCGACGTGGAGATGGCCTTCTGCAGGAGTCTTTCCCGTCGGCGCCACATGGTTTCGGGCGTATCGTCGTTCTGGGCGAGGTACATCTTGGAGGTGTCGGTTCCCTCGGGGAGTAGAGATGGTTTGGGCGCGTCCTTGAGATAGCCCTTGTCGTCGATTTTGTCTGAGTTCTTCTCCATTTCGCCGATCCACTCGAGACATTCTTTGCGGATGTTCTCGAGGACCTCGATGCTCTGCCCAAAGTTGCCCTGCTTCTCCAGCCAGAAAGCCACCATGATCCTGATGCCCAGGACCTCGTCTGACCAAATGTCCATGTTCAGCTGTCTCGTCTGCGCCATGGCGCGCCGGTAGAACTTGAGCGCGCGCTCAGGATCGGGGGTTATGGTGGTGTAGTAGATGGCTCGACGCAGTGAGGTGGCGACCGGCTCCGGGTAGCGACTAATCTGTGGGTTGAAGAAAGTCTTGTAGAAGAGATAGAGCTGACTTGTCACGAGCGCGAACGTAACGACGGTCCTGGAGCAAAGAGTCAGCCTGGGCTTTCGACCGCCAAAAGCACGTGTTTCCTCACAGCACTATGAGGGCAGCAAAGGCAACGGGGTTCCCGCGGAAGAAGGTGCGTATTTTTTGCTTGTTCGACACATGCGCCGCATTGCGAAAGCTGACTGTCAAGACGCGACCTAGGAATTGGCGGAATGTGAGCTTGGGCATGGGCGGTTGCCGACGACCCTCGTGGTGGTTGTTGCCATCGTGCTGGTCCGAGTACAATCGACGTTGCTGAGGGAGAGACACTATGGCGCGGACGTTGAGACTCGATGCACGCCATTGTAGGGTGAGTGAGATGACGCCGAGACGCGACGCTTGCAGGCACTGGGAGCCAAGTGGCCGCAGCGAGGCTGTGGCTGTGAGCGACATCCTGGCGTTGAATTTAGTCGCTTGTCAGGCAGGGCCCAGTCGCTGGTCCAAGAAATCGAAGTTCACGATGACGATGGCGCGGTTGATTAAACCTCCGCATGAATAAGCAATCCACAGCTTCTCATTGGCTGCCTGCTCGAGCTTCCAACGTGGGGGTGGGGAACCGTGGAGAGAGGTCTGAAGCCGAGGGACACGATGTGGCAGTTCAGCTTCCTATCTCACTTTCAGCCACTCCACGTACCTATAGTCCCATCGTACCAGGCATCATGTCAGGAAAGTTTGAGCCCAAGACTCCTGTCAACCTCGACCCTCCGAAGGACGACCCTATCTCGCCCGAAGAGCTGGCCAAGGCAAACGGTACGTCCAAGCTGCCCCTCCAAGTTGTGAAGCCTGCAACCAGCTAACCTCACATTACAGGCGAAGACGGTGGGAAATGTTATGTGGCCATCAAGGTGCGTGGAACTCACGCGTGATAAGATCAGAAGAGCTCATTTTCTCCAGGGCAAGGTGTATGATGTGACTGGCAACAAAGCGTACCAGCCTGGTGGCTCATATCACGGTACGGAATAGTCTCAACCCCCCAGGGCAAGCCTCTAACGACAATCAGTCTTTGCAGGCAAGGACGCTTCGAGAGCTCTTGGGAAGACATCTACAAAGGAATACGATGTAAGCGCCGATTGGTCCGATCTTGACGACAAGGAGAAGGGCACATTGAACGACTGGGTGACCTTCTTTTCTAAGCGCTACAATGTCGTTGGCGTAGTGGAGGGCGCTACAAACATGGAGTAATTCTTACTGTACTCACAATAGACAGCCAGGCGCAACAAGCTTTCTATACGATGATCTCCCGTGTGTTCACGTCGTCAGTGAACTCGACAGGTTTTCTTGTCAATGGAAGAAGGATCGTACATGTGGAACAATCTTCATCAACGCCCCATCCACTGTGGCGCTGCTCGAATTACATCTCTGTTTCCAAAGGCCAATGAATTAGCTGAATAGGTACACGAGTCTCAGATATCGACATATCATGCAATGACGGAGCTCGAAGACACGCCGTGTTGACCCATTTCAGGGCAGATCCGGTTGCAGTGACTGGTGATTTAACTTGTGTTGTATATCTATTGCAGCGTAAGCTGGTCTTCCGGTGGGCAATCGATAGGGCTGAGAGCCAACCCTCATACAAGGACGAGGTCAGGAGGAAAGAGAAAAGTAGGCCTGTGGCCAGGAGTGACTCCGGTTGCGGGAGCAGGGGAGCAAGCCTGGCCGTGCCGTCGGGTTGCATGAGCACTGGCAGAACGTGTACGTAGTAGTCAGACGGGGAACCTGCTAGATGCGGACTACGCAGTATGATTCGGTAACGCCTCTGACCGGTATCAACGACAGATTTGTCGACACGTCGACCATCTGCGGCCAGGTGTTCGGATGATAGCGCGCGCGTGTGCGTGTCAAGCCCCCAACTACATGTGTCGTCGGGCACCTGCAGCTACGCGCAGGTGGCAGCACGCCGACAGCGGGCTGGCAGCCGTGAGTCATTGGATGAGACTGACGGACCAGGGAAGACGATCGCATTGTGCACATTGCTTGACCGCAAGTGTTGATACGTACCAGGGTCGTGAAGGAGAGGATTCGTTGTCAGAACGAGCGTTGTAGGCTATGAGAGCTGTTGGTGCTGAGCAGCTCGCGGCTCGCGACCTTCTGTAACTGACCACAGAATCAGTCGTCTAATAAGCGAGAGCTTGTCTTAGGCGACCCCTGTCCGTCGCCCATCTTGCAGCTTGCCACACCCAGCACGACGGCCACATCGCGTCGGCTCACTCCTTGGCCATACGTTTTGGGGACAACTCGGTCACACTGAGCACGCACATTTGCATGTAGCGTAAAAAGTCAGGTGCGCAATCAGCAAGCGGTGTGAACGCGTTGCGCCCAAGTTTCGGGGCGAATTGTACAAGCCTCCCATCAATCCGAGAAACATGGAGCGGCGATGTGGTGATGAGTTAGTTGGGAGAAAGGGGATTGGACTGGATGCCTTGCAGGGGAAATTCAGCCCAGCAGAACGTCTGATGATGTCGACGAATTGTGGCTTGTGATTGGCGGATCTGCTGAATCATCCGTGTAAATGCGGGGCAGAATGCGAACCACCTGCAAAGCACTGTGACTGTGAGCTCGATACCGAGTTGGGCCAGCTGCCCAGTCCCTGGAGCCTAGACAGGCCACAGGCGGGCGGCAGGAGGTAACTGGGCACCTAATCACCTATGACTGTCCTCAAGTCTTGGTAGGTGTTGAGCCGCATTTGTCCAAGAAAGTGAGGCGGCTCCATGTCACTCATGGACCAGCTCGTGCCATGTCGCCGCCCCCGAGCCGCTGTCGAAACCCTCTCATCCCTGAACCTTGATTCTTTACCATTCACTTCCCTATGCTCAGCTTAAAGGAATGAGAGAACTTCTTTACAGTTTGCGGCAGGTCTCACTAACACGAACTGTTCTCGCCGAATCATACAGTCGCTTTCATCGCCACCCCTCAGCTTCGACCGGGGCGCAACACGCAGCGCTGGTCTGCATCTATCCTGGAAAGGTCTTCCTAGACGAGTCTAAGGTCTGATCACGACTCGGAAATCCTAGTTCACGTCCTTTCAAAAGACGGAGCCAGTCACTCACCAGTTGGCTCCCCTGCTTTGAGGGATCAAAGTGCCCAAAAGTCACCATCAAGTGGCCAAGATGGAGGGCTGGTCGATGCAGATCAACCCCTCGGAGCCCTTCGCCCCCGGAGACTTGGAGGGCGGCAGTATTCCTGGTCCAGATGTTCAACGATGGCTGGGCCACGAGCGTCCTTTCCACAGCAACCTGACACCTCTTGGGTTCAATCCGCCAGAGCCTGTCTACTCCCTCAGCTTCGGCCCGAATACCTCGGACTGGCATCACAATGGTATGCCATCAGACTGTGATACAGACCCCGTGGACTCCGGCTATGGCAGTGTTATGCAATCATCCTCGGAGCCAATGGAGCATGCGACGCCGCACCGCAGCCCATACCTCAACCTTTCCAACGAGGTGGGAGATCAGCTGGCGGGATTCCTTCTGGGCGGATCGGAACGCCATCTGATGCAGAACCAAAACCGCCAAGTTGGCCAGTCTCAGTGCCCATACCCTCCACTCCCACAGCAGTACCAGCAGTACCAGCACCGAGACCAGTTCCAGTATCAGCAGCAGCCTCACCAGCAATCCCAATATCAGCACCGAATCCAACAGCGGCAGCAGATACAACACCACCAACCGCATGAGCCGGAAAAGCAGGATCGGACTTTTAGTTCCATGGGTGACACCGAATTCTGGTGTCATTCGTGCAATAAAGCAGTCAAGACCAAGTCGGAACTGAAGTAAGCCTCGCCCATTCGTGCTACAGGGTGTTGCGACTGACCAGACCAGGAAGCATGAGGATCGCCACAGACTACCACACAAATGCGTGGTGCCCGGCTGCAAAAGAGGAGACAAGGGATTTGCGTCTGTCAATGACCTAAACCGCCACCTCATGACTGTCCACCGCCGGCATGACTTGGGAAAAACGTATCGGTGCAACATTGATCAGTGCTCAAAGAAGGAAAAACCCTGGAACCGGTCTGACAATTTCCGACAACACCTGTTGCGCATACACGGCTTGGAATTAAAGCCTGGTCAAGGTTTATCAAGTTTCTTGTACCAGTATGTGCCCCCGCGTGAGTCAAGGAGGCGTAGCTGACAATTTAATCAGGAGCCCAGATACATCCACTCCCCACACCGTTCAAATAGAGAGGGAGCATTGGGTGCATGATCCAGAATCGGTCGATGGGCCCAGAGACGACGCCCTGGCAAGATCCCATGCAGAGGCACAATTCACTGATCCCTCGACGAGTATCCTAACCGCCGAATCCTCGAACCCTGAGCCGTCCATGGCTGGCCAAGCTTTCGACTCACTCGCGGGACAGTGGGAAAACGAGCCAACCCCCTACTTTGAGTTTGACACGCACGAACCGCAAGTCTCCCCAGAAGGGCAGCAGCTGAGCCAAGACATAGACGATTCCTTGGATAGCGATGAACGGAGTGACGAACAAAAGATCGAGATGCTAAGCAGATGGCCGAAGAGTATGCTTCGCAAAGCCCTCGCTTCTGCCTCCGCTGATGACACAGGGAGAGGTCCCCTGTCCGGGGCCCATGGCGTCAAGCCCAAATGCGATGAATGCCACAAGGAGTTCAACAGACCTTGCGAGCTGAAGTAAGGGCCCAACCTCCATCTGGACGTCACCCCCGCATACTGATTGTCCTGGCCAGGAAACACATGAAGCGTCACGATCGGCCTTATGCCTGTACCGTTTGTTTCAAGCGGTTCGGGAGCAAGAACGACTGGAAGCGACACGAGGGCACCCAGCATGAGATCAAGGAGCTTTGGCACTGCGACCTTGGCTGCCACAAAGGCTTCACCCACCGCGAAGCGCTCGAGACCCATCTGCACGCCACGCACAAAGACTTGGAAGAGGCGTCCGTCGAGGCGAAACTGGCCAACAACCGCACCGGACTGCACGGCAAGCCGGCGTTCTGGTGCGGCTTCTGTGGAAAGTTGTTGACGGTCGCGCCGGGAAAGAAGTCGGACGTGGAGCGGGCCGATCACATTGATAATCATTTCATGGGACGGGACAGCTACGAGCTGGGTATCATTGAAGAATGGGAGCAGATGGAGGATTGCTACGACTACGTTCCTGATGTTGGGTTCAAGCGGAAGAGGAACGGCGTGGATGCGCCAGAGAGCTCGAGGCCGGCGAAGCAGCCTAACAGCAACAGGCGTTCATGATGACACGAATAACGAGAATACTTATGATGATGCAAAATCACCTTGGGCGAGGCGTTTGTGCTTTTCCACGTGGAGAAAGCAGCCACACCTACACAGTTGTGGCTCGTGACCAACTTTCTTCTCTTGTCACGACTGGAGGAACTGCACTCTGGAGCCTGTGATACTCGAGCTGTAATATCGATTCTTGTCTGTGCTTTGCGGCCCAGGCGCCTGGTTCGCATGAGCCAGGTGGCCCTGGCCTACTACCTCTTGGCCTGCTGGTCACTGTTGCACAGGACAGCAGTAGTCGGCTCCCCAACATCCAGTCACCAGGGGCCCGGGGGGTCCAGCGCGTCGTAATTCCACGGAGGCGGAACGGCCTTGCCAGGGGTGGCTGATGGCTCCAAGTCAAGTTTCTGACTGGATGTCCAAAGATGCACCCACCCAGTCAAGCCAAGCCAGCCCGCTCGAGGCTCATCACAAAGCACGGAGGCGTAGGTTGTACGGTGAACTTAATTACGCTACTTAGCGAGCAATGTTATGCCTACTAGTACCTACTTTGGCGTCACCCACATTACGTACCTAATTAGTGGCCGCCCACCCCTGCCACGGCTTGCGTTCCAGGAATCCGGTCACGTAGGTACGGTAGGCTGGTGCGGGCCCTGTCGTTGTGAGTTGTGACTGACGACAACCGAGTCTGTATGTGATGGCTCCGCGGGGCTGGGTGCCGTTCCCAACCTGGTGAGCTGAGCCGGATTTGCAACAAGTTGCAGGATTGTCGACAGGGTCTTCGGCACACGGGGTGACGGGGGGTCACCACTGCAGTCACCAGATCACCAGACGCTGAGTCGCTCTTTACAGTGCGTATCGAGACGGAGGCTCACCCAGCTTCACTCGACGCAAGCAGCTGCGGTTGATGATGAACCCGTGTAATCTGCACGAGATGGGACCCAGTGCAGCGCGCGCTGCGATGCGACGGAGGCAGGGTGCATCAGACCAACAGCCAACACGACACACCCACCCATGCCCGTCGACATTGGGAGTTGCATTAGCACCGTGGATGAGCCATAATTGTCGCAGCCGGAGGCGAGGATTCTCAAATCCAAAATGGCGATTATTTTGCACACGCGCTGGGTATCAGTGCGTTTATGGCGCCTGTCGTGTTCCCTGAGCCATGGGTGGGTGCGTGACCTGGTTGGGTCGGTAAGTTGTAACTTGGGTTGCCCATGGATGATGACGGGTGATTGGATTCGAGCAGACATGCCAAGTCGACCGTTAAGGTACGCTTCCAACAGCGCCAGAGTGTTAAGACACACGTTGCCGAAAACCCTACGTGCGATATACCCAACCTTCCAGGCACTTGTGTGTCTGTGGCGTGGTTTCAGCATTGCTGAATGCTCACTGCAGATGCAGAACCTCCTAGGTACGTAGAAGCACGTGCCGCAGCATAAGGCTGACCTAGCACGATCGGCTGCCGCGAGCAGAGCTGGATGGTGGGATTAGGATCGACGAGGTATAGGCCGAGTGCATCTGCTAGGTAACTTACCGAACAACGATCGAAGCCCATGCGGAGCAGTCAATGTTCTGCAATCTCACCTCCAACTCATGGTGTGGGAACTGGTGATGTGACTGATAGTACTTTCGTCGTGACAGACCCCTGGATTGTTCAACGCGACTATTAGCAAACAGTGACCCAAACTGTATCCGTCCCCGCTTGAGTGTGATCGACGCCCAGATCACGCAAGGACGCGTTCATCTCGCCTTCCCCAGGACAGCAGATGCTCGACCAGCCTTTTGCCACAGCGTTGTGACTTTCGAGTAGGCAGACCCGCAAACTCAGGCGTCAGCGTGCGCCGAGGTACGTACGTCTCCATGTCGTCTTTGCGCATACGAACATGAAATGGTTGCAACTTGCGCCGCAGCACGGTTGCTTTTTACGGTGGAGGGGTCACTGTAACCACTGATCACCCCAGACAAGGGCATAGTCAAGGTCTGGTTACTGCAAGGTAAGGTACGGATGAGGTAGGTACAGCCTGGGTCCGGCGCCTGCCAGATACCGTGTACATACATGTAGGTTCGGGCCGCACTTTCCCATGGCCAAGAGTCCAAGACACCAGTCACGCTACTGATCTTTTCCGTACCTGACAGTGGTACTTTGAATGGGGGCGTCTGGGTCCGGCAGACGGTCGAAAGTTTCCGGAGCCAGCGCTAAGGAGCTCAGAAGCTACCAGGTACGGATAGACTGGTTACCATCCAGTCTTTGGAAGTTTGGATGGTGGCCTGGGTAGTAGTACTCACTGAGTCACTATTACCATGCCTCGTACGTACCAGGTAATCAATCAAATAGCCCCCGACAATGACGAGTCGACTGGACGCACTGGATAACCCCATGATGCTCATTTAGTCGACATGCCGCTGCAAAGTACCTTAGTTAGTACCTTGCGCAAACCCTCAGTGCAGCACCTAGGCTGTGCCCTCCTGCCAGCATAGCTTGGTATTGGAACTTTGGAAGATGGCAAGTTACCTTAGGTACATGTATTGGGGAAGACATCATCGCGCACCTCCTTGCATCATCAGTAAGGTATCGGTTAGACCTGTCAGACGGGACCAGCTCGATGCCATCTGTCACCACTCACCAAGGGATTCGTACCTACGTATACTAGGCAACAAATATGTAAAAATGATAGTCTCTGCATCTGTGTCAACTTGTGCCCAGCACAACAGGCCGCCGACATGGATGGATCATGGGTGCCACACTGCCACTGTGTGCCCGGCCTTTTGCAGGGCTTACCCCTGTCTCATCTCAAGTCCTATTCGTCGTCGGGGTAAGACAGACTCAGCCCATTGCTATCTAATTAAGCCTTTCTTTTTATGAACTAGGACATGGGCTCCCTAGTCCTTGCATACACATCTTCAGTGAGCGCTTTGAGAGCGGCAGCCTGGGACCACGACGACCTGATCGCTGGACCTAGCGACCCTGGCTAGGGCCCAGGTGCCTCGTCCATTCAGATTTCTTCATCCGGCTTGGCTTGCGTTACCGAGCGACCGGTGAACATGAGCATCAGTCAGGACCAACAGCATATTCTGTCATTGCCTTCTTCTGCACATGAGATCCGCCTTGCATGGCTGGTCCTGATGATGGCGAATCAGGTGCGCTGGGTCGTTTTCCCCCCAGCCTGGGTGGTTGGATTTGGCAGATCTTCTCACTTCTCTCCCCTCGTCGTCTGCCCCCAGCGGCGTGTCTGGCAACAGTCGTACATAGGTGCTTCACACTTTCGCAAGCGGCACCGAGAGCTAATTAATCCTGGCTCACCCAGAGGGGCCAGCCGCTGCATGTACCGATTGCCTAAGCATCCTTGTCTGACCAGCTGGGGTTGCGGTCATCAGCGCTTCTGCCAATGCGGCCTCACAAGGGACGACTGAACTTGAGGCTCTGCGGACTCTTGGGTCTCCGAACGAGCGAGGGAAAATTTGGTCCGGGCGTGGTCTTTGCTCGCCCCTGGGGCGCTCAAAGAGATGGGCTCCCAGAGTCCAGAGGTGCTGCTCTCCTTGTTCATCTAACGGCTCTTGTAGTAATAGTATGCACCTCGAGTCCGCCAACCATCGACCCTTTGAGTTTGACAACCTGGTCCTACGTGCCCTTCTTCAACTCTAGTTGATCTCGAGCGTTTTCTATCCCGCGTCTCCCCAGGATCTGTGTTGTACAACTATATGACAAGCGAGGTCATCCTCATCAGGAGAAGCCCTCTTGCCAGCACGAAGAACACTCCTCCGAACATTGCGGCCAACAGCTTGCCAAAATTGTAACATGGGCTATCACGGCACGCCCACCCAGCAATACTTCCTCTCTCCCCCCTCCGGTAACACACAATCTCGAGGGGTTAGTGGCCACGGCCCTGATACTTCTGTCCATACCGACAACAACGATCAGGTCCAAAGAGCCCAGTACAGTATCGAAGATCCCTGGCTTCATGGAAACCAGCACATTCACATGAACCAAACCACGCAACACTACTTTGACGGCGACTTCAATGCTTCCACACCAGCATCATCCCTGGCTCACGGCAGCATGGAACCCTACATCTCGTTCGAAACAGATCCGTCACTGGTAATGACGCCCGGTGACACGCCATTCATGTCGTCTTCCGCCATCGGTCACGATCTGGCGTGCAACGCTGGCTCTGGTAGCTTGAGCCCGCTGTCTTTGCCTGGCGGCTTTTGCTCTTCAGTCCACTCTGTTGCCTGGGCGTTCCCGCAGAGCTACACGGAAAACGTTGAGTCGTTGGCTGGCATTCTCATGCCCTATGGGCAGAACTGCGACTACTTGAACCCGCTGCCGGTGATGAGCACATCTTCAAACTCTGACATGGGATCGCCTCGATTGCTTTCACCTCGACCACAACCATCGGGCCAACACCTCGCCCAGTATTCGCAGCCAGAGGATGCTGCGTCCAGCCCGCGAGCGAAGCGCAAACCGATGTCAACCTCTACGCATGAAAGCATGCCCAAAAAGTCCAGAACCAAACGCGCACGCCACGACGCACGACCAGCAAATCAGCCAAAAGAGCCCGAGAACCGTATCACAGAACCGTCATCCGCGTCTCCTGCACCTCCTCTCGATCTGAAGTGTCCCCATTGCGAGGTCGCGTACCGAGACCAGTCCGCCTTTGACAAACACCTGGACACCCACATACGACCATTCATCTGCGTTTTCCACTACGCCGGGTGCACACGGACATTCGCCAAGAAGAACGAGTGGAAACGCCACGTGCTGAAGCAGCACATCTGCCTCGAGTACTACCACTGCGACTACATGCAATGTGCGGCCGGAACACGATCGTCGACCAGTAGTCGCCCCAAAGCCCTGCCTGCTCACGGTCGAATCTTCCGACGTAAGGATCTACACATGCAGCACGTCCGTCGGATGCACTTGTCAGAGGACATCAACGACCGCCAGGCCCAGGCCGAGATGGCGAGTCTGCAGCAACAAGCTATGCGTACACGGTGCCAGCTCCCTCGGCGGATGGTCTGCCCGGCCGAGAACTGCCATCACGTCTTTTGCGGCGACAAGGCCTGGGACGAGAGGATGGAGCATGCTGCACAACACCTCTGGGCGGCCAAGAAGGGGCTGGAGCCCGAGGTTAAGTTTGGCGGTTCCCACGACACCTGTCTCAGCGAATGGGCCGAGAGACCGGACGTCGACGTCGTGAGGAGAGTTCCGGGGGGCTGGGCATTGAACAATCCCTTGCAGGACTGCGATGAGGCGGCCCGCTGCAGTCCCAGCTCGAGCAGTTGCGAGGAGGATGCCGAGGGAGAGCCAGCCTAGTCATCGACGTGTGATTGTGATGGGACATGCTGTGTGATCTTTTGGAAGGCGTTGCTGCACGACAGAAAGGGTTGCCTACATGAACACTGAAAGGACATTCAACAGGAACCTAGTCTGTGTCTATCTCTGAAACCTACATTAGTCCGTTTCGAAATTCGAACAACGCAGCCATGCCTTCAGCTGAGAGCAATCTTCAGCCTCATATCTCCGCACTCCGACGTTTCTCGGCCGATCCAGTGATATCCAAGCAAAGGACTGTGCCCTAGAACAGTCCTTGAACATCGGTGCCGAATATTATCGCGCCTCCCTCGGCGGCATGATAATGCTGCATCGCCTGCGTTTGGATGGACCTTCACCTCGACCACCTGCAGCTAAGGACATTTATGCAGGTAATCTGCCTTAGACATACCCTTTGCAGGGGGCGTAACATTGACCGCATTTGTTGAGCCCTCGTTCAAGGTGGTCCTAGGCGCTGTGCAGGAGTTGCGTGCGAATAAACACTGAATTTTCAAACTATACTCTAGCTTGAGACAGGCCCATAGGGCATCCCATGGTTAATACATATGCCCCCTATGCCGTTCGGGCAAACATGATTCTCGCTGCCAACTCGAGAGATAGAGGGCTGTCCAACAACAAGTCCGCCTCAACGAACCAAATTCTAAAGTACAATGGTAGAAAGAATGGGGGATTCCACAATGCGCAATACAACAAGCGATCATACAATAATGCAAAGCAAAATACCTTTCTTTTGTCGGCCATCGGAGCCTCAAGGCAAACAGCAGCCGTCTGCATGTGATGTCGAAATCCATAGAGGCATAGTCGCTTTCAAATGATATCGCTAGAAGAGTCTTCGTGAAGCTGAAACTTCAAAGGGCTACACAGAAGTGGCCTCGGGAACCACAGTGCTAGGTTCATCCTTGGTGACAGGGGGCGAAGTCTTCCCGGCAGGTACAGCTTCAGGCGGGCGCGTGATCCTCACCTTGGCCACGTTGCGCTGGCTGCGGCGCTGTTGCCTGAGCTTACACTGCGCAGCATATCCGGGCTCATTGGCCTTGCGCCATTCAATGTAAGCTTCGTAGGCCTGCTGATCACTCGGATCAGGTCGACGAGGCTTGGGAACGGGGGCCGGGTTGGAAAATGCAGGAGCCGTCGGGTTCATGGTATGCAATGCTGGAGGTGTAAAATTTGTAGGCGGCCCGGGTTGAATTGGACTCGTCAGTGGGCTCGAGAGTCCTGCCAACCAATTCATTCTATTGAATGGGTTCGGCGTTGGGAAGTTGTACGGCATCTGGCCAGGAGCCCATGTAGCGTTGTAGTTTGGAAACTGAAACGGCGTCGCATTGAAAGCAGGACCTGGACTGCCCATGTTTCTGTAAAGACCATTGGCAGCAGCCATTGCCATCATTGGTAGTGAGGCATTGAAAGGATGCTGGCTGGTCAGTGCAGCGCCTGGATCGATGAAGTTCACCGGGTCCAGAGCCTTATCTGCTGACGTCTCCCGAGTCTGACTGTCTTTCACAAACAATTCCTTAATTGGCATGGGTCGAAAGCTCCTCAAACTTTCCTCCTGTTCTTTCCTCTGTTGTTGTTCCTTCTTAAGTGAAAAAGAAAGGAACTCTCGCGCCTTGGGGTTGAGATTCTCACTCTCTTTAGTAGTCAGTCCTGTTGAATCGGCCAATGAAGACAGTGTATAATTATCTCCTTTGCGCATGGAAGCATAACCGGAATCATCGGAGTTGGTCATGCGTGCATCATGAGGCTGACCATGGGCGGATGTGTGCTGCTTGGGACCTTTGCCATGCAGCTTCTCGAGCATCTTGGCGTATTTGTCGTCTCTGACTGTGTGGTGATGCATCGTTTCAGAGAAACGCACACTGCCCCAGCCTGAGTCGAGAGTGGAACCATTGCCTCTTCGCGGCATGCCTGGGGACTGATGCGCGTAGCTAGGCAATGTGGGAGGATCTGAAGAAAACTGACCCCATCCGCCAAAGCTAGACTCTGTCCCCTCGCGGCTTCTTGAGTTGACATCAGAGTACACAGGGGCATGGCCTGCGTGCTTCTCAGAAGCTGGGTCGGTGAAGGTGACGTTGGGGATGATAGCAGGGCGCTTCGCAGGCCTCATCCGATAAGGAGTTGTATCCACAGCTTGAAGCGCTGCATGAAACTGTTCGCTTTGAGCATCAGGTGACACATCTTGGCGATGCCAAAGTCGCTTGTGGGAGTCCAAGGGCGCTGGCTTGAGCTCGACAAAGTGCGAGTGATCGTTTTTGGAGTCGGCCTTCCCTGGGCGACGCACCTCCATGAGGCTCAAAGGTCGCGCGTCAGGACTGGGTAGGGCCTTGTGGCTCATTAGCTCGCACAAGAATCGAGCTTCGTCGTCTTGCATGTCGTCTTGTCCCTGCCAGCTAGTGTATCGAGGCGAGCGCGTAGTATCGCAGGTCGACTTGACTTCTGAGTGAGATGGTTGCCGGACGGCGTAGAAGGATGGAGACGACGACAAATCACAATGCTCAGGTCCACTTGGAGACTTGTGTGCATGCCTGTGCTGCACATGCTCGGCATATTCAGGCTTATGACGCTCAGGTGCTGTTTCGATGCTGAGAGGGTCGGTATTTGCTGATTCGGAGTTGTTGACAGCACTTCCACCCCCCTTTCGACGCCAGTCAGGGTTGCGCATGGCCATCCGGTACTTTGAGATGATGTTTGCTCCATCGGAGTGACCATCGTCTTGTGGTTTCGGAAGAGCTTGCGCATTCTGATCGACGGGGCCCAAAGTCTCCCGGCGAGATCGTGGAGGCGAGCCGCTCACCAGTGCTCCGGCCACTGTGACAAGGTTAGAGATGTTGTAACTTATTGTGCGAGAACCCACTTTGAGTTTGTGATTGCCGCATAGGCAAACGTGGATGAACGCGTTTCTTTTGCAGTTGCTTGCACAGCCTGTGGCGTATGGAACGCGTTGTGAGGAGAATAGCGAGTCAAGGTGAGTACCCAAGCTATAGAGCCTTTGGTGCAGTTTGATACGTGAGCAGGGGGAAGTATCATGCGTTTGAGGAGTTCTTTGGGCAGGGGTCTCTGGAGCTTTCTCGGGGCAGGTTGCTGGCGCGGCGTGGTAGCTAGCTGGTTGTGGTCGTGCTGGTGAAACAAGTCGCTGGGGGAGGCAACGCTTTCTGTCTATGCCCTAATGCTGTGCATGAACGGTGTGCCTAAATGGAAGCGCGGTGAAGTTCCAAAAACGCAGTGTTGTTGGGAGAAACAAACAGTGACCAGAGTTGAGGCGCGATAGAAGCTCACGTCGTGGGCCCACGCGATAGCATGAGTGTTTACAAACACGCTGACTGGACCCCATGCCGGCACCGCTCCTGCCTCCAGTTGATCGGACCTCAAGTAGTGCCGTTCCTTGCTTCTGGGCTAGACTCCATGTCTTCAGCGCGAAGTAGGCGAGCGATACGGGACTGCCAGGGGCGAGGCTGCTGTTGCCACTGGCGTCTGCAATCATCAGTTGAAGGAAAGCTCCAGTCGTTACTGCTGCCCCTCTTGACTGCGTCCGTCTGGTAACATAAGACTCCACCTTGAGTGAACTCGGATGGAAGAAGCCTGACTGGAATTCAGAAAAGTTGATGATGCGACAAATAGGTGGGCTTAGTTCTATGAGAACATGGAGCATGTCATGTCATGAAGGCAGTGAGAGTGGAAGGTCATTATAACGGACCGTAGAGCCGTGTATTGGCCCTGGAATAAAGGACTAACCCGCTGATATACAAAATTGTGCTCTGTCGTCTCCCCTGGTTGCAGCTCATGGGCCAACTAGGCCTGGTATGTTTGACCCGACATGTATGCGGTGAATGCTTTCTGGAAAAGGGGGTCAGAGATATCCTAATGTGCATTCGGCCTCACTTACAGGGTTTCTCGTCTGAATGAACACGGTGCCAGGCCCGGTGAACTTGCACACCAAGCCCTCTCCAGCGGCGAAGCCGGCGATGATGCCACCAGAGGTGACACGTTCCATCACGTACTTGCAGTTCCACGCAATGAGATGGCCATTGTCCACAATGTACTTTTCTCCCTCAGCCATCTAGATCAGTCAATTAGCATCCTCACCATAATCAGGCATCGCCATGACTCACATCTTTGCGGATAATGGCACCGAAACTGGTGATCCACAGCAAGCCTTTGCCGCTAATCTTGTGCACCCATAGTCCCTCGCCGCCAAACATTGCTTTGCTGAGACCTTGCCGCTTGTAGTCCTTGATTATACCCTGCGTCGAAGCGAGATAGGCGTCTTGGCCCACGGACCAATGCTCAGTGCCAGTAAGTCGCACACTTGTAATGTCACCCAGCATGCCTGGCGCCAGGAGCAGCTCGCCAGGTCCGATAAAGGTGGACGTTCCAATGTCCGACCCAGCAACCATTTTCTTCAAGCTGAACTTGACGGCTCCCTTGTTTGTGATTGTAGGCGTCATGGCAATCATGACGCCGGGCTTGGCTTCGAGGGGGCAGCCCATGGCGAGCTGCACGGTGAGTATCGTATTGCAGTCGCGGTGACTGATGCGATAGCTGCCGCCGTTGAAGGTGCCCACGTCATCGGAGGTTGCTGCTGCACCGACGAAATGCTCGGCTGGTGGCGCCCCAGCTACCAGATTGCTCGGCTGGCTGGTATTGAGGGGCGATTGTTGGACGGCAGTCACAGGCGCTTGCGCAGGTCCGCCTGGGATCCCGAGCTGCTCTTGCTCATGACCTTGCTTCTCCTGGGGATAGCCAGAATCGGTTGTGGGATACGTAGGCGGTATGTCGGCTTGGGACAACGATTGTTGCAGCGGTTGTGGCCGTTGCTGTAGGCTGTCGGTGGTCGAGGCGGGGCGCTGGGGGATGCTTGACTGTGATATCCTGTGTTGCCTCTGGGGCGTTTGCGTGTGGGCGGGTGACTGACCGGGCGGTGTTGGATACTGCCCTTGCCCAGACTGCCGCAGCGACGGCGATGGTATGTGTTGAGGAGGGGGTGGGTAGTAGCCTCCTTGCGAGGGCGCAGGCGATGCATGGGGATGCGACTGGGGAGGTGGCGGATAATGCGCAGCCCCTTGGCTCGGAGTCGACTGATGTTGTATGCCTGGGGGAGGTGGGTAGTTTGGGCCAGGAGATGAGGTACTCCCAGGCGGAGGGGGGTAGTTGGCATGTTGCTGCTGGCCAGGCGATGCTTGCGTGGGCGGCGACGGGTAGAATTCAGTTCGATTCGCAGGAGGAGACATGGGACCGGGACCAGGAGGAGCGGCATACTGTCTGTGCTGCTGCTGCTGTTGCTGCTGCTGTTGCTGCTGCTGTTGCTGCTGGGGAGGTGGAGGGTAGGCTACCGGATGTTAGACTCGATCGTAAAGGTGAGGCCAAGGTATCGCCTGTTGCGACTCGCGCGCCGCACATACATTGAGAGCTGCCAGATCCCGGAGGAGCTGCGCCGAGTTAGTATGGACAACCTGCTTCAGCATAATGAAACCCACGCGGATAATGCTGTTGGGAAGCCATGTCAGACAGATGAGATCCAAGACTCGGATCGATATTTCAGCCCGAGGGAACCCAAGGTGAGGGTTTGGAGATTCCTCGAGATGTCGGTGTTGGATCCCCGCACAATGCCAAGGAACGGGATTGGCCGTGTGGGACGTGCAGCTCTTGATGAGATCCCCGAGAGAGCTTGATGACCAGGACGATTCTGCGACGAGATGATGAAGATGGACGTAGTTGGGCAGTGTTGCGGACGAGAATGCGACGAGAGATGGGGAAATAAAAAGAGGATGACAGCATCGGGGAGCTTCAGCAAGCTGGCCATCTTTCCTGCTCGCTCCACCTGGTCAAAATAGCCGCCGCTGCGGGGCTCCCTACGACCAAGCATCTGTCAGGGTCCAGGTTCCACCCAGTCGAGTCGAATCCCGAGCGCTTGCACCTGTCTGGTTGCTGCTGGCCAGATGCGCGATGCTGGACAGTAAACAAAAGGGGTTCAAGGGGCCGTCATGGCGGCGACGAAGGCCTAAGGCAGGTTTTTCAAGGGCAGACACCTTACCCAAGACTGCAAATAGAAAGGATCAAGATATATAAGCCATAATTATATATATATTTACATTAGCATTGGCCCAATCAGGCCGAGTCGCAGGTCTCCATGGCTCACCGGCTCAGTGACCCCAACACAATGCGATGCTGTCGCCCGATTAGCCCCTTTACTAGCGTGTCGCTCATGACAAACAGATCTCACGCAGAATCAGGTGCGGTAAAACCATGCCATTTTGTCGCTATGTAGCCGCGTCAGCAGCGCGAGCTTATGGGAATTGATGAAGAATCGTTGGACAAAAAGGGCCTGGCCCGTCAGCACAGATTTTGGAGTTGGTTTCTCCGAATGTCAGGCCATGTCTCCAGCATACTAGGCATACTCGATAGCAAGACCATGCCTAATGAAAAACCCCGTGTATACTCAATCGCTAAGCCTCTGTTATCGAACGAGATGTGATGTTTACTCTTGCAAGTTCTAGAAAGGTAATTATCGCAGACAATGCCAAATATGGCAGGGTTAGGGATACCGTAAGTTCTCGACAAAGTCGCTAGCGCTGGTCTGTCTTGGCTGACCAGGATCCCTGTTCGAAGTGGTGCCAATCAATCAGTGGCTACTGCGCTACATCGATCCTTATAGGCCTGAGTTCTGCACAGGGCTAGGGTGAGGTCTGTACGTTCGCACAGGCACAGATGCATACCACTAAACTAAAGGAGGCTAGATTTTGACCACCAGCGCTAGCGACTTTGTCGAGAACTTACGATAGGTTAGACTGCATGCGCGGATGCAGGAGCCGAATACTTGATCCACTTGCTTGCATAGTGCACTGACAGTGGCCGATCAGCGTGCCCAAAATGAGAGCATCACCGCCAGCGCGTAGCTACAAGGAATAATATATATCGGCTAGGCGAGGATACAACTCTGCCAAATGTAGTAAATCGCCTCGCCACCATTCCAGTCAAACATCGAACTCAAGTCCTCCAGTGCGCATCTCGTCCAAGGGCGGCAGTGGCGAGGAACTCGCGCCTCGGGCGGTTCCGGGTGGTCGAAAGGTTCCAGGTCGTCTGGAACTTTGGAATACACCACCCTGAAATAAAAGCCTTCGAGAAGGTCTCGTTCGGATCGCAAGGCTCGACGAACCTACCCAAAGTCAATCGCTTGCTAATAGCCTGGGGGCTAGCGGGCATCCAAGCTTGATTTTTTCTCCGTGTGAATGTGATGCCAGTGCCCGTTGTGTGCCCAGTCGCTAATTAGTTGACGGATTCACTCGTGTGGCGTGATGGCTCGCCAATAGCCAGTCGCGGGAGACGGACAGTGCAATGCGATGCCCGTGTGACAAGGCGAGTCCCAGGCGCCTATCTTTGAGCAAGTTAAGTCACATTTGTAGTATACTTCGTACGAATTCGCAGAAGAGACGACAAAGATGGCCCGACGCGCTGGACTCTTACCAACATTGTCCGAGTATCCGAATGTAACGCTGCAGGCCACCAATGCCACTAATGAAGACTGGACGGGGATGTCCACACCACTGGGCACTGGCGGCCGTGATGGTCCATGGACAGGGTGCGGTCCACGAGCTTGGTTGGGCTTGCTTGTCTTGTCCATGTGCAGCGGCAGAGGGCGAGGGGTTCCATTCGTTCGTCCCACTTGGCTTGCACCGCGCGACGGTCACTTTGAGCACTCGCCAACAGTAGCTTCCAGTCGTTTTCGAACGTTTCTACTGGTTACTTTTCTCAGGAGCGCAAACACCGAGAGACCACGACCGCATTCTCTTCATGTTGTCACCGCGGAAAATTGTAGAAGCCAAGTTAGTTCAGAAATGGTGACATGGAAGCCATTGGGCACGCTAGGCCCATCCGGCCCGGCTGGGAGCCACCTGTTCGTCGGGCCACGCTGCTGGGCCCAGGCACCTTAACCCAGGCTAGGTCACGCCTAGAGTGGCTTGGTGCTTTGATCTAGTGAGTTTACAGCCTGATCATTGGCGGCACAGGGCAAGCTGACACCCGCTACAGACCCGCCGTGCAACCTTCAAGTTATCGATGGACCATGATCGATCCATGAACATAATGCCTGGTAATGGCGACTGGAGCCCGCAGCTAGATAGAGCCTTGTTTCCGCGACCGTGGATCTGACCTAGGCTTTGCGCTGCCGCTTCACTCTTCTCGTTTACTATTTCCCAAATCTTGCCAGAAGATTGACATCAACAGCGCCCACATGACTGTGCAAGTTCTCCCACAGTCGTCGCTAGCTTCGACGCTGAAGGAAGGCGGACGCGATGGCTGACCAACAAGCTGGCGGGCAAGGCCAGGAGCCATTCGACAGGAACACGCTCGCCGCGGAAATCATCCATCCGTGGCTCCAATCAATCGTTCCAGATAATTTACCTTCCGACGACGCCGAATTTCATCACCACGAGAGGGTTTTGCCTTCGTCGCCCTCAGCAGCCAGGTTGCTGGAAGCTAGGCAACGACGACGCTCCCAGCCCGTGGAGCGCCTCGCGCAGCGCATGAAACGCCAGAGCCTCATCCAGCAGTCCCCCAGAAACGTCGGGACCAGCTCAGACCTCGCCCATGACGCACCAGCACTTGCAGAGCATCTTTGTGCCACAAAGCACAAGAGACCAGAGGCCGACTCTGAAACGACGTCTGCACAAGGTCACAATCCTGCGGCGCTGCACACGAATGAGCCCATCGCCGCCGACAAAAGCGAAATGGACGTGGAGGAGACCATACGCAGAGGACTCGCAGTACCAGGAATGCTCAGAAAATCGACAGATGAGGACAATGGCGACGAATTGTTCACATTTCTACCTTTTCGGAGATCGGCCGACGCGGCTGCCAGGTGTCCTACCGTGGTTCGCAACAGGCCTCGCATGCGTCGAAGAAAACGACGCAAGGTCGAGGGATGTCTAAGCAAAGATGCCGCGCCTGGTTGAGACGAGGTCCGGCTTTGTGAAAGTTTTGCAAGTTTCGACGGAAGCGTTCGCCTCTTCTTTGCCCTCATGTTCACGGAACGTACGCAGGTCCAGATTCTCTGGCATGGCCTTAAAGAAGGCTGAGGCTGAGGCGATTGTGTAAATCAGCAGCAAATGCCATGGCTCGGCAATACTCGAGCAAATCAGCCCCGCCATGTCGCAGACTGGCAATGAACACGCACAGCTAGCGACACGATCCCGGAGCTGCTTGGACTCGTCAGCCAGGCTCGTGGCGGTCAGGCCATGCGCCGTGCGCTCGGTGTCACGCATGCGATGCACACAAAGCTGAACTTCCGAAACTCGAGCGGCACTGTACATACCGCGGATGCTTCGCCGGCTGCGCTCGCTGACCCTCATCAGCAAGTGGTCAGGAGTGGATCATGGGTATGAAATGGCGAGGCGAGTACTCGGACGTGTGTTTGCCGCATTTCTGGGCGATCCCTAGTGAGGCGAGGCAGGGTAGCTCCGGGTCTCCTCATAGTCATGTGGAAGAGGATCGCATACAGGCACCGAACGGACAGTCAGTGCAGGCCATCAATGTAGCCTGTCTGACACACGAAGGCCGACTCGCGTTGGCATGGTGATGGTACCTGATGATCACACCGGGAGACACGCGGCTCAAAGGGCGAACAAGATCATGTCTCACAAAGCATGTCTAGGTATGCCTGCCGCAACAACGGACAATTCCATTCTTGGACCCAATGTTGAGCCATGGTAATGCAATTGAGCGTATGGATCGAAGGATTCAGAACACTGATCTATGGCCATCGATGAGGCATCCAGTCAAATCCATGACCAGTGTATGGTCCTCGGAGTCCATACCAGGCCTAACGTCCTTGAACATTTGCCACTCTTTACAGAAATCCAAGTATTGCGATCGGAGTTGCTCATAGCTTTTGCCATCGTTCTGCTTAGCACCTTGTGGGGGTAAGCAAAGTACATGTGGGAGATCGCGATCAAGCATGTATGAAGTAGTCCATCCTAGCGAACGCGGGCGTAGATAAGACTCACAGTGACAGCTTCAACACCTACGACGCGTTCCAAGTATAAGAAGGATTATGATTGAGCACATGAGAAGCTACCTTGAACGAGTGCGAATAGAATCAGCGTGATGTCTCCGGCGTAGGTGCCTCACTTCAAGCGGCAGGCCGAGTTGTACTTCGGGTTCTCAAGCCAAGTCGTGCTAGGGAAATCAGCTTGGTTGATTGTGACAATCGTATCCTTGGAGGAAGCTCTGAAGTCGGTGTTTCTACCTACTCAGCTCGTTAAAGCGAAAGTACAAACGCTATTGAGTGGATATGATCCTGTCAGGGCTTATGGCAAGCAGCCAACATGTTCATCTTTGCCAACCTCGTGCCTACTTCTCCACCCTTCCTCCATCTATCGTAACTGTACCGACGCAGACGGTTTATTAGAGTAGCACACTAGTCCGTGTTGTAGACGGGCAGGCGCGGGAGCTCGGCAAGACCATCGTCAGCCGCATCGCATCGTCTGCAGAAGCTCGGCGAACATCGCGCCAGACTCCGTGAGAGAACAACGTTTTGACCACTCGGGTATGTTCTGAGTATGAGTTTGCAGTACCAAGCATTCATTCTGTCGGTGTGGCTAATTCTGAATTGGACTGCTTCCCTTGTTTTGCGCACACCGGGCATCTCACGTTCTGTTCACTGGAATGCAGCGGCGCACATCAATGTCGGTACATTCCAAGTCACCAGCGCAGCCAGTGCCGTTGGCCACGGGCGTTCTTAGTTGCCATTGCGACCCGTCGCGCAATGTTGCGGTCGCATGAGACACAATTCCATCTTGGGTTCCTTCTCATGTTTTGCGCTTCTTAATGTCGACGACTTGCTGCTGCGCTCAACTTACACGGCCGCCTTCCTGGATGCACCCCATGAATGCTTCATCGCAACGTTCACTCGATTAAACCGGAATTCTTCAGTATCGCTAAGCAGACTTCAAGCAGCCTCACCAGATTGAGCGACTGCGAGAGCGTGCGCCCGACTCGCTACCCTCGAGCAAGATGGCGTTCTGGGACACTCAGCAGCAGTATCGCGCAGATGCCCCATTGGAGCGCGAGTTTCTATGGCAGGATCATGACAATGTCGCAGCTGATGATTCGACCGATTTCCTGGGGCAGTTTCTCGACTTGGATGGCACTGGAGCCTTTGCGCCGACGTCGACGACGAACGCGTCTGCCGACGTATTGGCTGGGGACTATGAAGTACCGAGGATGCCTGAAGGGCTGATGTCCTCAGCGCCTCCTGAAAGCAATGGGTCTTCGACGACGGCCGATGAGATCGATTGCCTGTCGAGCAGCTCGCATGTTGGGCCAGCTTCCTCGGCCAGCTACGACATCGACCCTGCCCAGCTGTCTGCCGGTTACGATCAGACAAGCTTCATCCTCGAACCGCCCCAATGGGCTAATACTGGCCGCGGGTCTCTTTCAGATACTGAACTGCCGCGCATGGAGGGCATGACACTGAGCTCGCCGACCAAGCTCAAGTACACATCCATGTCGCAACCCTCGTCCCCAACACCGCCCAACACGGTTGTCCGAAAGACGACCAGTCACAAGATCAAGGAAGCCTTCCATTCTACAATTCGCAAAGCGACGGGGAAGAGTAGGCCAAAAACTCGAAAGCCAGAGCCTATCGATCGCCCAGGTTCTCCCGTGGGCGAACCCCTACCTCTGCAAGCTCCCAGACAACGACCGCGTGCTATGGCCAAGGTGCGACAGCGACAGCAATCGTATACATCCGATGCGGGACAGCAGCAGACTTCCTCATCGTGGAACTTTGTGCAGGGCGCCTGCGATGATCCCTTCAATGATATTCCACCCCTGCCTCCAGCCAATGCTCTGCAATACTTCAACCAGGGCCCTATCAGCCCAGGACATCGATCCCCAGACATCAAGAGTGAGCACAGCTCGCAGTACTCTGAGAATGTCCAGTCTTACCAGGTGCCCCCTGATATGGCGTGGCAGCAGCAGCAGCAGCAGCAGCAGCAAGGACACCAACAGAGCCAGCGCCAAGCCATGAGCAACGTGCCGCAACAACAAGTCGAGTGGAACGGATCGGACATGATGTCTGGCGATGCCAGCTGGTGGGCTGCCAACGGCGCCAACGTCAATGGGCAGTTTGCGGACCAAAATAACGCCCATGTCAACATGGCGATGCATGCGCATCAGACCCAGTTGCCGTATGAATATCAAAACCAGGTCCCGGACACGGCCGCCTCAGGGCTTATGATCCAGATACCCCAAGCCCAGCAACATCACCACCAACAACACCAGGCCGCAGTCGGCAGCGCCTTGACTCTGGACGCGCAAACCACCCTTCCACCACCTCCCCCGATCCCAGCGACCGAACGACCCCATCGACCACCGCGCGCCCCCTCCTCTGGCGCCAGGCATCTCTCATGCTCACCCGTACACAAGAACAGGGCACCCTCCGCCTCCCCGACACGTGGTACACCAAGCTCCACGCAGAAGCGCCACAGCTCGGGTGGTTCCGTGGCCTCGAACCGCAGTGCCTCGGGTCGTCTCCCGGCCAGCATGCCCGGTACCCCCTGCAGCGTGAAGAAGAGGCGATCGCGCGACGTCAGCGGTGGCGGCAGCGGCATGTCGGGCGCGTCCGCCGGCGAGATCGGCTTTGTCAACTTCACGCCCAACGACGGCGGTATGCTCATGGGCGGCGTCGCCCCGAGCGGCAGCTCCAAGACAAAGGCGCGCCGTGAGAAGGAGGCGCTCGATCGACGACGGAAGTTGAGTGAAGCAGCCATCAAGGCTGTGGCCGCAGCAGGCGGCGATGTTGATCGACTCATTGAGCAAGGTTTCTTTTTCTGACAAGCGGAATCCGCGCGCGCACGCCCGTCTTTGAATATCCCAGGTACTTGATCCAAGTCCCTAACAGACAGTCTTTAGCAGCAATCTTTTCCTTGGTCTATCCTGCCTTTCATCCTCTATAGTTCCTCACATCATGGCACACTGGCCTGTACTTCAAAGCTTGGTCTGGTCTCACTGTTTCCTTGCGTGTTGGCGACGCTGATTTCCAATGGGCGTTTATATCGGTTGACGGTTCGGGGGCCTGTAATATTGTAGAGGCGACACCAGACTATGATAATTCTCAGCAAAAAAACATGGAGACGTGGCTGTTGAAAATTTAACAATATTGTAATTCATCCTTGCCGTTCGCTATAATCACAGACAAGCGAACCAACCAACTAAAACAGTGACTCTAAATGGAAGAAATTTCAATGAGCGCAACGCAAGCGTCATCCACAAGCTGTCCAAGCCTGAAGCCTGTGGCCATATATATGTACAGCCCCCTATCCATCCTTTGTGGAAACCGAACGCCGGTGTAATAACTGATTTTCGCAGACGCGGTGGTCGCAACGTGACGAACCCTAGTTGATGCGGAGCATCGCAGCATAGTGCCCAACGAGCTCCCTAGGATGGGTATCGGCGAAAGTGTACAAATCACACAAAAGTCCAAAAACCGAGGTGGTGTACCGATTTTGGCTTGTACTCGTCTAGTCGTAACCAGCACCACGCTGCCATGGACTTTTTGAAAAGTTAGCTTGGGTGACATACAACTAGCATTGATGATTTCAAAACATACCTAGCATTGTTTGCTCGCGAGGGCGGGCTTTGGTTGTGAGCTGACCGCATGGCCGGGCTTGCATTGTTCTGCCCCCGGCTCTGCTGCTGGCTCAGTGAGGTCGCTGACGCGCCAAAGGGGCTTGGCGATGCGGAACGGAATGGGCTCTCGGGCCTGTTGGCAGGGAAGAGAGGCATGGAGGGGTTGATGGGCGACCTCGGTGCGTCCAAGGCCGAGGAATCGGTGCGGCGACGCATGCTGTCCGAAGACAAGGACTCATTGTCGTCATCAAGATCGAGGTGAGACTTGTAGCCGCTCTTGTCTCCACGAGCGGTCGCCGCCAGGGCGTCCAGCTCGGTGGTGGTGTTGAGCTGGGTCTGCGACTTCATGAATGAGGCGCGGTCGTCAGCCATGACATGGTAACGAGCATCGGGATTCTTGCGGAAGAAGATGACCGTTGTCGAGATGATGACCATGAGAAGCAGGATAAGCGAAAAGGCCGCGTTGAGGATGAAAAGAACAACGCCGACGACACCCACAACCAAGCCGGGCGCGCCAAACACATTAGTGAAGATCAACAGGAAGATGCTGTTGAGGAAGTTGACAACACAAATGGCAATGTTGAACGAGTTGGTGCTCTTGTCCATCCAGGGGCGCAGGACCGATGCGCCGATCAGAGCGGCAACCTCGATGATGATAAGGCCAATGGCCTGCGCGACGCCGCTGTGCTGACCCAGTGCCACGAAGGCAGCCTTGACAAAGGTGTAGACCAGGACGGGCACAATAAAGTAGTAAGCCGAGGCGCGGAACTGGATGTAAAGGAAGCCCCACTTGTTCAGCGCCTGGGGATCCGAGAAGAGAATGTAGGCCGGGTTGCGATGCATTGCTACAGAACGACGCGCAATGCTGATGACCTTCCAGGTGCCCCATGCGAGCGTCGCGATCATCCCGAGCATGAAGAAGACAGCCAGCACGACAATGGCGGGTGAGTCGATCTGAGTGAATTCCCACAAGCTGAGGATGGTGATCTGGGGGAATCCAATGAGAGTGGCACGGAAGAGGATGCCCTTGAGGACTGTGATCCATCCATTGCGGAATTCAAGGAATTTCTCGCTCGACATCCACTTCTGCTTCACGGCCAGCTCGAGAGTACCCTTGAAAATGGCGACGGCAAGTGTTGTGAAGACGATGAAGAGAATGAAGAATGTCAGACCGGTCATGAACAGGTTGGTCGTCTCAATGCCCATCCGGAAAGCCACACGCTGGATACCGTAGACAAGGTAGCTGCCGTTGCTAAGCTCGATGTTCTGGCGCTTGGCAATGTGCGAAACAGCGGTAGAGGCAGCGTCGGCGGACATGGCAAGACCACGTTTGAACAAGCTCAGGCCAGTCTCGAGGGTGGACATGTCACGCTTCCGGACTTGGACAGAGTATGTTCGCAGCGAGTCGAAAAGGGTCGCAGGGTCGCCGCCAGTCGCGCGCTGGTACCAGGTGAAGATGTCCTGCATGAAAGGCACCTGGATGATGCCCATGGACCACTGGAAGTTCTGCGTCCAAGCTTGAACGATGGGGGGCAGAGGCACAGCGGTGAGACCAACAATTGCCTGGGCCTGGAAGTATCCGAAAAGCGAGAGCGAGTTGGCCGCAATGTGCGAGGCAGCATTCGAGTGTCCGAGGCCGGACATGACAGCAGACGAAACGAGAGCAAGGCCTGCGATGATGGCCGTGGCCCATTTCACGCCAATCAAGTCGACGGTCTTGGTGTTGGAGAACCCAGCCTCAAGACACGCCACGCTTTCGCCCGTCTCGGTCATATTGACAAACACCCTGACCTTGGCGTCGAGGTCGGGAATAGTGTAGGCGATGCCAGGAATGAGACTAGCCGCGCTCTCGGGCACAGGAATCGGGAATCCAAAGTCGTTGTTGCCTGTCTGCATGGGGCAAAGACCTTGCAACTCCGTGTCGCAAGGGTCTAGCACCTGGCGAACTACCTCAAGACCATAGGCTGTGATGGCAAGGTCGAATTTGACGTAGCCCTTAACCGAGGACGTGGCAGCCATTTCTATCTTGGCACTGTTGTTACCCGGCGTGTACTGGACGTGGAAGAGGGAGGCTGAGAAATCCGAGTCTTTCTGGCAGGTGCTCAGCGCTTTGGAGATAAGCATCCTCTCGGCATCGGCGAACGAGGCCATCGTTGCCAATGCAGAGAGAAGTGATGCCTTTGAAGGCCACCGCATCTTGATGATTGTATGCGGTCGTCGTCTTTGTCGTGATTGGCGCTGTCCTCGTTGATCGCAAGCGATTGGCGACCGTCAAAAAGAGTCGACTAGCGAGAGCAGCAGTCGACGCAGCGCCGGGAGCTTCCGCAGACGTTGTTCAACGACGACACGGCGAGTCGATGCAGTTGTGTGAGAACGAGCGAAGCGTTTGGAGCGATCGATGACGACGGTGCGTTGCCAGAGTCCAAGCAAGCGGGATTGCGGCGGGTGAGTCGTTCTATCGTCGCTGTCGCTGAAAGTCGCGGTGAAGAATAAGCGAGTGTTGGTTGAGTTGGGGGAAAAACGAGAGAAGAGACAAGGGAGGAAATGGGTCGACGCCGGATCGAGTGGGAATGCGACTTGATTGAATCGAATTTGAGTTCAAGTCGAGCGGGAGAAAGACTGGAGTGGTAAGGTAAGGTATGGGAGAATGATGAATGCAGGTCCGGCACAGTCGAACGGGGGCGACAGTACGGATAGGCCAGCAGACTGGCTGGAGTTTTGGGTGTCTGGGCCAAATTGGTTGGCTGGGCGGGTGGGCACTGCTGGCGCAGCTTGATCAATTGCTCAGTGCGGTTGGTCCAGTCCCTCCCACAAGGACAAGGAACCACTACCACCTTGGCTTTTTGCGACCCAGACAGCTACGGGGTATAAAGTAAAGGATATTTAGCGAGCGGACAAGCGGAATCGCCTGGATGATGAGCTGCCGAGTCGAGTGAGAGTGAAGGTGAGGAGGGAGAGGGAGAGAGCTGTTGCACGAGATTGAGAGAGACGCTGCTAATTACCTGACCAGGTGCTTGATCGACCTTTCGCCTGGACGCGCAGTCAGACAGACCCGAAACAGTCGAGCCACCTTGGTGCTGGAATGTCCGCACGCATCCATTACGACGCCTGATCTGTTAGCGCCCCCCTGAGCAATCCAGTAGCGCGGGGACCCGAAGGCTGTGCACTACTTCTTTCGCCACCAAGCCACCTCGGGAGACCAAGTACCTCCAGCGGCCTGCAAGTCCACGGCCCCGCCATCTCGTATCCGCACTAATAGACACTCTAGACCCTCCCGGTGTGCCCCCTGACAACCGTCAATGCCCTCTCGCAACATGAACTGTTGAACTAGACGATAATAAGTATTTACACTACTATTCTGCATACGGAGCAATTCGAGCGGCGTGCTGAACCCGCTGGCCTGCAGGTAAGGTACGTAGCATATTGCATGATTGGCATAAGCGCCTGACAATGCCATCTACCCGCCAGCCATTCTCGAGTTTCAACAGCGTCCACTTGTGCAACAAGACCACGCAACATGAGTCTCAACCTCGAGCTTCCTCATATAACAAGAATGATTCCATGCCAGTGAAGCAACAGGTCTTAGCTCGCCTACTTTTTAATGTCATGTTAGCAAGAGCTTGCAGCCCTTTGGGTTGTATAAATGCGCTGGATCGGGAACGATCTTGCACTGCCTCGCTGCGTTTCACATAGCAGTCTGCCGGGCGGCATTTCTGTGCTGCCAATTCTTGGCTTCTAATTATCGATTGCGTGTTCATTGATTCTAGGCGTCTGGGTCGTAGAGTTTGCAGGGACCACTAACAAGTGAGGAGGACGCATTCTAGTGGCTTGGAACGTATAGTACACAGATGAACTGGCCAGGATGATAGGCTACAACTTATTAGGTGCGTTCGCAGCTTGATTACTTTGTGCACGAGTATACGTATCCGTAGACACGAACCATTTCAGTTGCGTGGTGTGGCATTTGCAGCGGAAAATATGACACTTCCGTACAGTTACGATATTCAGATATACGATATTTTATTTCTCGTGCCAGCAATTAATGTGTCAAAAACTGCCGACTTCGCTACGAAACTTTGGCTCTCGGAGCAATTTAGGAATCACCAAGAGAGACAAAGTAAATTCCCATGTTGGTCGTTGGGCAGGATACTGATAAAATCTGCACGATGAACCTAACTCAGATATTGTAAAGTGCTTAAATGCGTAGGGTAGTCTAGAGCTTTGTCAATCGACAGGCGGACCCTCCGGGTGCCTGCCTGCCTTGGGCCCCGACGTCGCGACCCCACCACAAGCACATGATCATCACTTATCACATGTAAAAGTAGCGGCTAGGCAACAATTGATTGTTAGGAGAATGACAGAGAGACAACATGCTAGGCCGGCCTTCATCAGTCCAATGTCCATATCCACTACTATCTGTTTATATGTAAAGGGCAAAGGATTTGATGATAGCAAGCCTCGCAGACCGCATTCAGCGCGGACGCGTGTGTCGTCATGATGCCCCATATCGATAAGGAAGATACGTTCACGCCAATCACAGGCTCTAACTTGCCGGCTACAGGGGTCTCTGGCTCCCACAGCGGGACCCGCCTGACATTGTCCAGCTGGGCCGCCGCCAACAGCGTGATCACAACCTCAGGTCACGGTCTGGCAGCATGAGTCGTCCTACAAACTGTTCGATGAGTCCTTGTTGCCCTGCGCAGAGGAGTCAGCAAGCGTCCAGGTAGCCTGTTTTCTTTGCCATGCATTCGTAGACATTCCAACATCTCACAACAAAAGCACATGCCAAAACCGATGGCTCCAGAAGCCGTGGCTTAGCTAAAAGCAAATATCGCCCGCGCACGCCAAACTATCACGCAGCGCCCTGCCGGAGAAAAAAACGTCTAATTGTGTATACTCGACATCGCAACTTCGGCTTTGTATCCGTGTCGACTGCCAAACGATGGCGCCAGAGGTCACAGCGCCCGCGAGGCCAGGCTCGCCCCCGACGAATCGTCGTATCACTAGGAGAGCCGAGACGAAGCGGCGCGAATATGATACGAACATGCCCGAACGCCTGCGAGATAGCGATGAGTCGTCGGGAGACGACGAGGATTCCGAACGAGCATCAACACTACCAATGAACATGAACCAAAGCATCTTTGGCCTGATAGCCGCCGCTGGGTCAAGGGTGGACTTCAACGAGAGATTCGACGACAGTAGCAGTGACGAGGATGCTGAAGGGACTGGCGATGGGGAGAGGCACCGGGAACATGAGGACCTGTCACGAACGACCATATTCCAGCCTCCGTCCAGAACAGAGAAGCAGGGCCGCAGTCACCGTCGCAGGGTGTCAGGGCGCAGGGGCCTTCTTAAGTCACTGCCCTCGTTGCCGCGCCTAATGTCGAAATCCAAAAGCGCCCCAGGGAAGCTGCCTCCGCACGGTGAAACTTTGGACGAAAGCGAGGACAATGAAACTGGCAATCTTGCCAGGCCACCTGCTATTGAACTCACACGAACGGTTTCGACCGACAGGCTGCCACCGGTCATGAGTCGGATGCTTGAAGCGCATGCCGAAATGGCGAGCCGGTCCAGCTTCGACGCGCCCGATGTAACAAAGGGCAGCGATGTCGACGATGATGATAATGATGCTGTTCTTCTCGCGAATCGAATGATGGAGATCTTCGAATTCGACGAACCGGAGTTGGTCATCGAGGAGTATCCTTGCTGGCTGCTGCAGAGCGTTCTGCTGCAAGGGTATCTGTACATCACAGAGAAGCACATTTGCTTCTATGCGTACGTGCCTAGGACGGTGGTGAGTCTCACACCCCAGTGCCATGTTCCCCAACTGACGGTGAGCAGAATCAAGTTCTCAAATCCGGCTTCCTGGCCAAGACAGGAAAGCGAAATCCTCGATACACTCGATTCTACTTTCGGCTCAAAGGTGACGTGCTCTCTTACTATCGCGACACCCAGAACCAGTATTTTCCGCACGGGCAGATCGACCTCAGATACGGCATCTCTGCATCCAGCACCGATAAAGACAAGGATGGCATGAGCTTCGAAGTCGTGACGCGCCATCGTACCTACAGGTTCCGTGCCGACAGCGAGGCCAGTGCACAGGAATGGGTGAAGACCCTACAGCGAGTCATCTTCAGAAGTCACAACGAGGGCAACAGCGTAAAGATCGCGCTACCTATCGCGAACATTATGGACGTGGAAGAAGTACACATGACAGACTTCGCCGAGACCTGCAAAATCCGCGTTATTGACAACGATGAGACATGGGCCATGGACGAATACTTCTTCTCCTTTTTCAAGCTTGGTCAGGAGGCCATTGATGTTTTGAAGATCATGGTGGAGGAACGGGGCGCCGACCAGAGGAAATCCCACGATGGATCTGAACGATCCGACGTGCTCAAGGCACCTGCTCCATCTTCACAGCCCAGGGGGGATAAGACGGCCAGCACTGCCCCCCGTTTGCAAGTCTCGACGGTCAAGTCAACTCTATACCCATTGCCTCCGCAGTCGCCACGCGGCACAAGCCCTATTGCGAGCCCAGACGCATCCCGGAAATCAAGCTTGGATGCTTTTCGTTGTATTGGCAGGCGAAGTCTCGACACGGCGGGCGCCCCGCGCGATGCTCGTCCTCACAGCAGGGGCTTTAGCGGCAGCAGCAGGTCCAGGAGTCATTCTCGACAAGGTGGCTCCAGAACGCCTCAGCCACTTCAGTCGCCGATCGCATCTTCAGAGTCCTATCTACAATCGTCAGTTGAGGATCCAAGCTTTTCGAACCTGGGCGCTTCATCCCTAGAAGATCCCTCAGCTAGTCAGCTTCTCACCGACAGTGCTGTCTTCCGCCAGAGCCCGACCGTGCCACGGTCCACGGACGGCCATGCTTCGAATGCTTCGAAGAGCCGGGAGGCCCATGCTAGGGAGCAGCTTGCACCTTTGGCTACGTACTCGGGCCTATCGAGCCAGCACAATACACAGCATGAACAGATTGGCGACAAGGCACAGCCCCCAACACCAACCTTGCAAAGTATTTCACAGATGGGGGGCTCATCGCTTCAACGAGCTAGTGCTTTTGTTGACTATCTCGATCGCACCCGCCAGAAGATGAGTTCGCTCTTGGCGACTGAATCCATGGGATATGTGGAAAAGGTGCACGGCATGTGGCAAGGGAAACGCAAGCATTATGACGACCCTGCCGCGGTAAGGCCTGACGACGATGACGGCGACCTCGAGAAGGACTCTGAAGGCAAATTGCAAATGTCGCACGAGCGGTTCCGTGCACACTTTGCCCTACCGGATGCCGAGAAACTGCAAGCTACATACTATGGCCATTTGTTCCGTGTATTACCTCTCTATGGTAAGATCTACTTGAGCAATCGCTACTTTTGTTTCCGTAGCTTGCTACCAGGAACGCGGACTAAACTCATCCTGCCGCTGCAGGATGTGGAGAATGTCCACAAGGAGAAAGGCTTTCGGCTGGGATACTCGGGGCTCGTGGTCATTATCAAGGGGCATGAGGAGATATTCTTTGAGTTCAACCTGGCGGTCGACCGGGACGATTGTGCGGTCACGCTACTGAGGAGTCTAGAAACGACACGGTACTTGAAGGAATCCGGACGTCTCTACGAGGAGGAGGAGGCTGAGGAGCAGTCCGCCCTGTTTGAGCATAACGCACTCAAGTCGGCCCGCGAGATGGGTAATCCGGACCACGAGCCGCAACAAGCTCTGCGCACGACTGGCCTCGAGCATGTTCCAACAATACTCGAGGGCCCGGATTTGTCGATCATCAGCTTCAAGCCCAAGGAATCTATGAGAATCACTTGCTTGACCATCGGCTCACGAGGCGATGTGCAGCCATATATCGCGCTGTGCAAGGGGCTTATTGCGGACGGACACAAAGTAAAGATTGCGACACATCAAGAGTTCCAGCCGTGGATTGAGTCACACGGCATTGATTTTGCTGAAATAGCAGGCGATCCGGGCTCGCTTATGCGGCTTTGCATTGAGCATGGGACATTTACCCTTGCTTTCCTTCGCGAAGCCAACGCAACCTTCCGAGGGTGGCTCGACAGCCTGTTGCACTCTGCCTGGGAGGCTTGCCAGGACACAGACCTCTTGATCGAATCGCCCTCAGCCATGGCTGGTATTCACATCGCCGAGAGACTGAGGATACCCTATTTCCGAGCCTTCACCATGCCATGGACCCGCACGAGAGCGTATCCGCACGCATTCGTCATGCCAGAGTCCCGGCTGGGAGGTGCCTACAATTACATGACATACATCATGTTCGATAACCTGTTCTGGAAAGCCACATCCTACCAGGTGAACCGATGGCGGAACAACACCCTAGGTCTTCCGAACACGAGCCTGGAGAAGATGCAACCCAACAAGGTACCCTTTCTGTACAACTTCAGCCCAAGCGTTGTGGCGCCCCCGCTGGACTTTTCTGACTGGGTGCGCGTGACTGGGTATTGGTTCTTGGACGAGGCAGGCGGCTACGAGCCGCCGTCAGATCTCGCCGAATTCATCAGGAAGGCGAGGGCTGATGGCAAGAAACTGGTATACGTCGGCTTCGGATCTATCATTGTGGACGATACGCCCAAGATGACGCGAGAAGTCATTGATGCAGTCCAGAAGGCCGACGTTCGCTGCATATTGTCCAAAGGCTGGTCCGAACGTGGTACTGGCACAGACGGCAGTGCCCCAACACCACATCGAGAGGAACCCGAGATGCCGTCTGACATCTTCGTGATCAAAAGTGCGCCACATGACTGGCTCTTCCGGCAGATCGATGCGGCGGCTCACCACGGAGGCTCGGGTACGACGGGGGCCAGTCTCCGCGCTGGCATTCCCACAATCATCAGACCCTTCTTTGGCGACCAAAACTTCTTTGCTGGGCGAGTGGAAGATCTCGGCGTGGGCATTGCACTGAAGAAATGGGGCACCAATGCATTTGGCCGGGCGCTCTGGGAGGCTACGAGGAATGAGCGCATGATTGTGAAGGCGCGGGTGTTGGGTGAACAGATCCGCGCAGTAAGTCTTGCCAGGAGTGTACTCTGTGGAGCATATGCTAACGTGGTGTAGGAGGATGGGGTTGACACGGCCATCCAGGCCATCTATCGCGATCTTGAGTATTCCAAGAGTCTCGTCGAGCGCAAGGCTGGCAAGAATCATCCCGTACCCGCATCGACCAGCGCATCGCAGGGAGGCGATTTCGACGACGACGACGAGGAGAGTTGGACATTTATCGGAGCCGACGAGCCCGATCCCGAGTCTGTCACCAAGAAGCTCAGCGAGGGACTTTTCCTGGATGGCGCTGTCGGCTCACAGCTTAGAAGTGGAAGACCAGCTGACGCGGCGAGAGACAACAACTAGGACGGCGTTTTCAATGACGGAGACTCTGATTTCCGATGGTGCTAACTGCTTGCTATTTTTCATTTTTTTTTGCCTAGATATGGCGATTCTCAGCGCATTGAATCTGGGGTACTGATATTACTGCACTTTTTATATGGTCTCGCGTTTCTGCGCTTGGGAAGGATACAATTGGACTGGCTAGACGATGATACGACATTTACAAAGACCACTTATTAGCTCTTTATGAAGCACTTGCCACTCATGGCTATTTTGTCCCTCGATCTTCGATGGAAAGCTGTAGGGGCTATGATGAGGCGCCCCCTTTATACCGGCACCGCGACACTCGTTGATGAGGTTCCCTACCACATCCGTCGTCGTTTGGCTACTGCATGAACACGTCACGAATGGGATACATATTGCAAGCACTGGAGGTCTCCGAATCATAACATTCTGTCTTGCCATTAAACTAAATGCAGGGGGCAGAAACCGAGCCTAATCTAGCGGGTCCCGTGAGCATTGTGCAAAGCTTCTCTGCCACAGAGGCTCCCTGCCACTATGTCAAGGCCCGTTTAGTTGTCCTTCTTGTCGTCCTCAGGAGCCTTGGCGTCCTTGGCGGCATCCTCAAAGTCCTTGATGGCGTCCTGCAGAGCCATGGCGGGCTTCTGCAGGCCGCTGACCTTGTCGCCCACCTGGCCGACGATGGTGTCAAGGGCCGCGAGCAGCGAGCCTAAGAGGGATGTAAGTTATGTGGCTCAACGCAGATGGGGCGTGTCCTTACCGAGGGTGGCACCACCCTGGGCCATCTCCTGGCGGGCGGCCATGTCCATCTTCATGTTGGCCTCGCCCATCTTGTTGTTCATCATCTCGGGGCTCATGGCGGCGGCAGAGCCGAGGAAGAGGGCGGCGGCGAGGGTGGAGAACTGCATGACGGCGGTGTTGGGATGGTGTGTAGAAAGTGTCTGAGTGTAGTGGAAGATTGGCTTGGAAGTTGTGATTGTCAAGAAGCAAACCGAGGATGCAGCAGCGCCTCGAGCTTTCTTATACCGACAGAGAACAAGGCTGATGGCATGCGTATTGCCCAAGGGCCGCGCACGAACTTTGGTGATCGCTTGAGACACCGGCCCGGGTATCGTGATCGTCCTCAGAAGGCCATTCCTGTTGCGATGTGATGCGTACGTAACACTTGGCCTTGTGGTCTAGATGATTTGGATCAGGATTGACGTCTGGGTACGAGAATATGCAGTGAGAGACTCTTTTCTGCGAGGAAGAGCAGATTCTGATCAACACTGCCCTTCCTAGCTAGGCACTGCTGGGTTCCAGTCTGCTGGCTTAATCGTCATGATCTGCTGTACGTTGCTTCCTGTACAGCCATCCCTGACGACGAAACAGTTTCTTGGAACGTAATCAAGCGCCCAGTCTCCGTGCTAACGGCAGTTGATGAGCGGGCGATGCGGCCTCATTGGTTGGTCCGAGACACGAAGGGAGGACCAGGAATGGTACGCAGTTATTTAGGGAGGCATAGCGGATGGATTGTGCTCAGAAGTCAGAGCACGGGACCTGCTTGCAAAGAATTTGCCGGCTTCTTGATGTTGACATACCATCTGAATTGTGGTGAAGGGTAAAAATGATCATTCACACTACGCAGACCTTTGTGTTTTGGAACATGAAGTTTGAACAGTTGATCGCATCATCTGGGCTGATTCCCTCGAGAGTTAGGCAACGGTAGGCTACCCTATACTAGGCGGCAGCACATCAAAGTCGGTTCCAAATCCTAGTGTCCCTTAGAAACCAGATATTTTCTGTGAGAACTGGGCTCAATGAACCTTTCTGAGGTCCTTTTGCTACCATAAAGGGGGTTGTGGATGGTGAATATCGATGATAGCTTTTGTACGCTTCCCGTTGTGGGATTGTCGGAGTCGTGAAGCAATTGGAGTGGCTCGGAACTCGGGAATCCGAGTGTGTAATATTGCATGGTCAATGCGATGCGTCGTTCCTTGCGTAGCGATTTGTGTATTTCCCTCATGTAGAATGATCCTGACGACAACACTCCACGCAGCACATCTCCGCAGGTCCGCCGGGTCTTGTGCCGTGGCTGTCAGCCAGTTGCATATTGATCACAAGACTCATTGGTCTCAATGCGCATTAGACCGTGGACTGTTCGACACTGGAAATAGACTAGCGATGAATGTTGATGAACGATGACATCAGTCAAGCTTCTCAACACGCATTACTCGACTATTTAGCAAGGTACATGCACACAGACTCGCGTGATCCGTCAAGTCCGGCTGTTTGTCCACCAAGACCTGTGTGTGATAAGAAGCAGGACTACCAGCTCCCCCAGGCCCCAGGGTCCAACCACTTCATAATTCCTCCTCATAAAGAAACACCAGAATGTCGCCTCGCGGACTTGCCATCATCATCGGCGCGGGCCCCACGTCCGGGGCCGGCATCGCGCGCGTCCTGGCCGACCCGCAGAGAGGCAACCTGGCCGTCGCGCTGCTCGCCCGCAACAAGGACCGACTCGAGTCTCTTGCGTCGGATCTACGCCAGTCGTCCCAGGGCGGCGTCTTGCAACCCTTTGCGACCGACACGCAGCCCGCGAACCTGCGCCATGCGTTCCGGCAGATCGCGACGCACCCGGATTTCCGGGGCCTGAAGCTTTGCCTCGCCGTCTATCACGTCAAGCACGCCGACAAGAAGCCGTTCCTGGAGGAGACACCCGAGGCCTTCAACGAGAGCATCGCTACATACTCCACCGGTGCCGTCGTATTTGCGCAGGAGGCGATCCAGCTCATGTACGCGCAGAACGGCGGGCAGACCAGCCTCAAGGACACCAAGGGTGCGGTCAAGGGAACCGTCATCTTCACGGGCACGCTGGGCGCGCTGCGCTGCAACCCGACCTTTGCGTCGTATGGCGCGTCGCGCGCCGCCGTGCGGATGCTGGCGCAGGCGGTCGCCAAGGAGCACAGCAAGTTTGGCATCCACGTGGTGCACACCATTGCCAACGGGCCCATTACCGACGAGGACAATGCGAAGACGTCGACGGGCGTCAGCATGAGGGCGGAAGATGTCGGGAATTTGTACTTGTATCTGTCGAAGCAGCCATCCTCTCTGTGGACTCATGAGCTGGACATGAGGCCTGCGCAGGAGTCGTTCTGATGGAGGTCCTTGTTGGACGGCGGGTTCTTTGGTCAGTGGAACTGAAAACGATGGAAATTACATTTACTGTATTTATTGTTAGGGTCATTCAGATAAAAAGAGCATCTTCTTTCAAAGCGTGCGCTCTAAATGGTTAATGCTCCACATTCTTGTGTGAGGAGAGAGCATATCAACCCGTTTTATATTAAGGACAAGCCCATCAGCAAACTTTATTGTCTATCTCCAGCTCCATCTCGTCTGTATGAGAAACGTGGATAGACTTAAATTATGGAATTCCATATGGGGAGCTGGGCCAACCACGTCCACCTTCAGACGAGCAGGCCAGGGAGGATAAGCCGGGACTACCTGTGGACCGTGAGAGGTTTTGGCAAAGCAGGCGTCTTGTGGAACTCTTGTGGTAGAGTTACCAGGGAATTAAGAAGGAACCAAGTGAGATATGAAGAGAGGGAAGTATGAGTGCGTTCCAACGTTGGGAGTGAATGCCAGCAACGCTCCTTCAAGGTGGCTTCCTCGTGTGATGTTGTCGTATGGCATGTCCTGGGCCCAAACGTGAGGCAATCTATCCGATTATGGCTTCGACGATCTTCATGAGAAACCACATTGGCAAGTCCAAATAGCACGTACTCCATTCGAAAGCTTCCATGTCGAGGTCTCCGGCTGGGATGGGGACTCCGGGCCGATACAGTGGAGACCACCGGAGCTACGGGGTCCCGACTCCTGGTGGCCCCGGAAACATCCCGCACAGGCCACCGGAACTAAGTAGGGCAGGTACTTTGATTACCACTTCGCACCTATACCAGGGCCTGTAGCGACATGCTGCGCACGATGAATGATGAATGGTGATGACCTGGTGCAGGGTAGGTAGTACACAGCTGGCCTTGATCACACGACCAACAGGAGGGCAATCTTATCGCCGGCCAGGAGCGGATGGAATAGTGCCTCCATCTGACCGATGGACACTGGCTGATTCCTGATTATCCGAGGCTGTCGACGGGTGGATGCGGCAGCAGTAAGCATATCGACGCCACTGCGTGCTGACCTGCCATTCCGGCGCTAGATCGACGTGTGGTGGGCTTGGCCTTGGGGACTTCTGGGCGATGGAGGAATTGAGCATGCTGATTCGCGGCGGCGGCCAACAATCATATGCATGTGCCAAGAAGCATAAAAAAGTGCCGTCGACGGACTGCCACCGTTTCCAGTGTCCACCCCCGCACGCGCGAGACACAAGTCCCTGTCTAGAACGAATGGAGGAGGGCCCGATGAGGCAGTTCCCCTTGCGCATCGACTTGGAATTTGGAGCCGCGCTGGACTGGCGCTCCTCGCCAGGGCCATTGGCGAGAGATAACGCGATCAGGCAGGCAGGCAGGCAGGCAGGGGTCAGACAGACGGCCACATGGATGATACGCACAGACTGGAATGTTTGCTGGCGTACGTACAAAAGTCATGGGTGCGCCCACCAAGACGGTCGAGTGTCTATCCCTCTCCTCCGCATTCTCTCCTCGTCTTGAATAGCAACCCACTCCAAGATGAAGTCCACCAGCACCCTTCGCGGGGCTGCCGCCGCCGCCGCCCTGTCCCTGCCTGCCCTGAGCCAGGCCAAGAACTGCTCCAAGGGCTGGGTCGACTCGGAGAAGCTGCAAGCCCTCATCAACCTCGAGGACCTGCTGGCCGGCTCGCAGAAGTTGCAGGACTTTGCCGACGCCAACGGGGGCAACCGGGCCTTTGGCGGTGGCGGTCACAACGCCACCGTCGACTGGCTCTACGACAGCCTCGACAGCCTCGACTACTACGACGTCGTCAAGCAGCCCTTCACCGAGCTCTTTGCACGGGCTGAGGGCGTCCTGACCGTGGCGGGCGAGGAGGTGGACTCGTCGCCTGCCACCTACACGCCAGGCGGCGAGCTCAGCGGGCCCCTGATCGCGGTCGAGGGTCTGGGCTGCACCGCCGAGGAGTTCCCCGCCGAGGTCGAGGGCAACATTGCCCTGCTCTCGCGTGGCACATGCTCCTTTGGCGCCAAGGCCACCGCGGCCAAGGCAGCGGGCGCCATAGGCCTCGTCATCTACAACAACGTGGAAGGCTCCCTGGCCGCCACCTTGGGGGACCCCTTTGGCGACTACGCGCCCACCGTCACCATCAGCCTGGAGGACGCCCAGCCCATCCTGGAGCAGCTCGCGGCCGGCGACGTCCAGGCCGAGCTGAGCCTCGACGCCCTCGTCGAGTCGCGTGTCAACTACAACGTCATTGCCGAGACCAAGGCCGGTGACCACGACAATGTCCTGATCCTGGGTGGACACTCGGACTCCGTCTTTGCCGGCCCTGGCATCAACGACGACGGCTCGGGCTCCGTCGGTGTCCTCCGCGTGGCCGAGGCCCTTGCCGGTTTCCGGATCAAGAATGCCGTACGCTTCGCCTTCTGGGGCGCCGAGGAGTTTGGCAAGCTCGGCTCCTACTACTACGTCAATCAGCTGAGCACGTCGGACGTGGAGCTGGCCAAGATGCGCGCCTACCTCAACTTTGACATGGTGGGTGTTTCCTTATCTCCCAGTCTGTGATTCCTCTTTAGAACTCTCGCTGACGACGCAGATTGCCTCCCCCAACTACATGTACGGCATCTACGACGGTGACGGCAGCGCCTTCAACCTGACGGGCCCCCCCGGTTCCGACGCCATCGAGAAGGAGTTTGAGGAGTTCTACGACCGCAACGGCGCCGGCCACGTGCCCACCGACTTTAGCGGCCGCTCCGACTACGCGGCCTTTATCGAGAACGGCATCCCCTCCGGCGGCTTGTTTACCGGCGCCGAGGGCGTCAAGACGGAAGAGGAGGCGGCGCTCTTTGGCGGCGAGGCGGGCGTCGCGTACGACGTCAACTACCACCAGGCCGGCGACGACATGAGCAACCTCAACCACGAGGCGTACCTGCTCAACACCAAGAGCATCGCCAACTCGGTGGCCAAGTACGCCATGAGCTTCGAGTCCATCGAGCCGGTCGACATGCGCAAGAGGCGCTGGGCGTCGGACCACGCCCAGCTCTGGGAGAGGTCGGGCGTCCACGCGGCGGCCACGCACGACCATGTCGGCCCCTGCGGTGTCCCTGGCAAGTCTCATTAAGAGTGGGAGGCTGAGTGTGTTTGCTGCTGTTGGGTGCATGTGAGCGAGGCGCGGTGGTGAATTGGGTAGACAGACATTGATGTGTAGATGAGCAATGAGAAATATAGCATAGTCTTGAACCCAGATGCTTCCGAGGCCTCAACAAGTGCGCGATATACACCATGTCTTGACCTTCCTCATCGGGCAAACTTCACGGTTCCTCTTGTTCCTACATCGGAGTAAGAGGGGCGAGTCCAGTCTAATGTATTCAGTTAAGCTAAAAGATAAGGTTGTGGAGAAATGACGCCAACCTCCACCGGGTATAAGTTGGAGAAGTTGCCTCACCGACCGTGGCATGGACTCTCGTTCTCTCTCTCTCTGATCTCCCAGCCTGCTGCTCAGTCGACACAATGGGCATCAACTTCATCCTCCTCGCAGGCCTGCTGGCTGTGACCTCTGCCTCCGCTCAGGTCATCTACGCCGGGAACCAGGCCACTGTCGAGCAAGACTCGCGGGCAAGTCTCGAGGAACTTTGCGCCACTGGACGAGATTGACATCCTCTCCCCCTCGTTCAAGAATGATGACTCTGTTCCCGAGGGCTGGTCGAACGGCACCAGTGGCCCCACGCCGCAGTTTGTCCTGGAGAACTTCCTCCAGACACTGGCGTCGAGAAACGAGTGGATGAGCTACCACGTTGCCCACTTCACTTCGGAGGAAGGGCGGTCGTTCCCCTATGTCTACCTCTCCAACACCGACAGCGGCGACATTCTCGAGAGCTACGCCAACGGCACGGACGACAAGCTCAAGATCTACCTTCAAGGTGGCGTCCACGGCAACGAGCCAGCCGGGGACCAGTCTGTCCTCGCAATCCTCGGCAAGATGGACGCGAACCAGACCTGGGCGTCCTCGATCCTCGACAAGGCCGACATTCTGGTCCTGCCGCGCTATAACCCGGACGGCGTGTCCTACTTTCAGCGAGAGCTGGCCACCTCGTTCGATCCGAACCGCGACCACACCAAGATGGCCCGCCAGCAGACGCGGGACATCAAGAAGTTTGTCATGGACTTTGCGCCTCACGTGGCCGTCGATTTTCACGAGTACACAGCGTCGCGCGCCTACGGTGCAGACGAACAGTGGCTGCCCGCGCAGGACGGCCAGTTCTCCGCCATGAAGAACCTCAACATCCACAAGGACATTCGCGCCCTGTCCGAGGACCTGTTCGCCAACAGCATCGCCGCCGCCATGGAGGCCCACGACCTGCGCTGGAGTCCCTACGTGACCGGCACCCTGGAGACGGACGACATTGTCCTCGACGAGACGACCTCGGACGCCAAGATGGGCGACACCTCGATTGCCCTCAGCCAGGCGGTCATGTTTCTGTACGAGACCCGCGGTATCAGGCTGGCTGACCAGCACTTTCAGCGCCGCGTGGCGACGGGTGTGGTCATGCTCGAGGCCCTCCTCCAGACGGCCGCGGACAACGCAGAGGACGTCTACCGCACGATCGAGTCGGCGAGGGCGGATTTCATCGCCAACGATTACGACATTATCATCACCGACTACCCCGAGGAGACGCAGATTGACTGGACGTACATTAACGCGTCCAACGGGAGTCTGGTGGACGTACCCGTCACGTTCCTCAACACGACGCCCCTGCACGCGAACCTGACGCGCCCACGACCCGTGAGCGTGGGCGACGAGTACCCGGTGTACAGGATCATGGGGTAATGATAGCCCTTAGGGTAGGCAGTTAAAAAGGGGAAGATGTAAAGTGTCCTAAAAGAGCTAGTCCGCCGGGACCCACCCTGGACATCTCCGCTCCGTGCCCCGACCGGCCGAATAGATCAAAAGGGGATTAGCGCGTCTCACGTCTCGACTTCTTCTACCGCAGGCCAGGGGCCGGGCATGGCCCAGGCTAGAATTAATCAAGTTTGCCTGTCCAGTCCGTGGCTGTGCGCGCGTCTCGCTCAATCTTTACCAAGTGCTGACAACATCTATAACGTCTCGCATGCTGGGTGCTCCGTGTCCAGTCTGCTCCTCACCTGTGCCTCCATCGCCCCCGCTGGCCACGCATCATGAGACTCACGCCCCAGGACGCTGGCCCCGTGTCGATGAAGCAGGAGGATGCTGGTGATGGACCTGATGGTGGCGACACTCCGGCCACGCAACGCCAGAGACGGAACCACACGCGCAGCAGAGATGGCTGCCTGACCTGTCGCAAGAGGCACAAGCGCTGCGACGAGACCAAGCCCGTCTGGTGAGTAGAGGAACACTCCCTGACTCTGACTCGATTGCATGTCGTTATACGCTGGGATGGAGCAACATGTGATTTGATAACGAGTGGGTTACGATACGATCTCTCCTACCACTACATGTACCCTGTACAAGGCCCTATTCATGAGGAAATCAAATCTGTCGCATATGAGACGTGCAGTCTACTGACATGTCCGCGCAAAGCATCAACTGCTCCACGACGTCCCGCCAATGCGAGTATTCGCAACCCAGTGTGCCCCTGAGAGAGCGACGTGCCACGGAGCGGGCTGGCGTCCCGGGCCTCCAGCAGCCATGGACAGTGTCGACACCAGCCTCGGAGGTTCAAATCAAGGCCAAGTCTGCCAAACCAACTCCCGCACCTCCAAAGAAGCCTGCCACAAACTGGCAGAAGCTACTCGGCAAGTCGGGCGACCCGTTTAGCACGTACTCGATCGACATGCCGCTGGAGTCCGTGACGCTGCTGCAATACTGTAAGCCAGATCACCTCGTGCATGCTATCACGGTCTCCGCGAGACCGGTCCTGCTCACGCGCCTCTCCTAGTTCATCGATCTGCCATGGACCACGTGGACGATCCGCGAAAGAACTCGTAAGTTGTCCAAGAGTCTTGCCCACTCCCCACGCTCACATGCCACCCATCGCAGTCTGCGCGCGGTCATCCACGACCCGACCGCCCTCCGCTCGGCCGTGCTCCTCGCCAGCGTCCACTACGCGTGGAGCACGGGGCAGCTGGCCGATTTTGCCAAGACGTACTTCTTCCACAAGGTCGAGAACATTCGCCTGATCAACACGAAGATACAGCGCACGATGCGGACGCGGCTGGAGCTCTGCGACTGCATCAAGGAGGTAGCCACCCTCGCCATGGTGGAGGCGTTGTTGATCTCGGACGAGGTCGCTGCCGAGAGTCACATACAAGGCATGCTGGCTTTGCTGGAGGCGCGCTCCGCAATCCGGGACGAGTTATCGTCCAGCGACACGCAAAAGACCCTCCACGAGGAACTGTGTGACCGATATGTTCTCTTGTACGTCTCAAAGCCGCCCACCACACTTGGGAAACTTTACTAACCATGACAGCGTCAGCATGCTTGTGCAGGGCGTCAAGACGCGCAACGCAGACCTCGTAGACGTCAGGAACAAGCCATGCATACAGCCCGACAGCCAGATGGAGGCGTGGATCCAGGAGCGCATGATCGGTCTCAAGGTGGTCTGCCTGATCCCGAACCTCTTCTCGCCCCCGCCGGCGTCCACCGTGCCCAGACCCATCGACGTGGTCCGCAGCCTCGAGATCCTCCGCTCCATGACGCACGCCTGCGAGCTCAAGCACCGCTGGCACGGGTCCGAGGAATACGAAAGCGTGAGGGACATTATGTGGAGTCGGCACTCGGCCACGGACATGTGGTACATTGGCATGGAGAACCACACCGATTCGCTCCTGGCGGCGGAGGAAGAGCCACGGCTACCTTCGGCGTGGAGTGGCATGTACGCGACGGTGGCGGCGTACGAGAACTGCGTGATCGAGGCGACCAATGCTGGGTGCGTCATGGATCAGCGCTTGTTGGGGCATCACCTGGCCATGGTCGACATGGACCTACAACAAGCCCGAAGGTGCTTGAAGGAGGATCCCGTGTCTTCCAAGACTTCGCAGAGCAATCTGTGGCTCTGGAAGGCTTTTACCGGTGCGTTCAGCTTGGGTTGTGTGGAGGGGCCTCTTGATTTTGGGAACAGGGCCCTCAGGGCGTCGTTTGAAGGCCACATCAGGGAGGCTGCCCTTGCTTTTGGCATCGAGGGCTGGGACGGGGCTCGTCAAAGGCTCGAAACGATGGCTTGGCCTTCGAGAGCGTACAAAGAGACGCAGTCTATCCAGACGTGGTACCGAGCCATGCTGGGCAAAGCAGCCTCGGCCAAGGACACAACGCCTGCCTGATTCGATATCATGAGGACAGCATAGCATCGGAGTTTTTTTTTTTTTTCGTTTCCCAGCATAGATCAACGTATGGCAGAATAGTATGACTAGACCAGGTGGACCTGGACATCTCGCTCCAGGATTGTCCGCAGATCGTGCGAGTCGGAACCCGCCCACACGCTCTGCACCACCTTCAACGTCCGCAGCAGGGCCACGAGGACGTAGAGCTGCTCCGCTTCGTTCAGCTCCTCCTCCACCAGCGTGTCCATCAGATCCGCCGCCGCATCGGCAATGTCCTGCCACCCACCCTCCTCCGCCGACAGGTCCATGTTCTGAAAGTCGAGCTCGTGCTCCTCCACGAGCAGGGCGATCAGGGCGGGCGTCTGCTTGAGCAGCCTTCGGGGCCCGTTGGCGATCTGATCGGTGCGTCCCACGTATGACAGCCACGCGTCGATCCGCATCAGCTCCACGTTAGACTCCTCGACATTGTCCTCGTTGTTCCGGGTCGTGCTGACTTGCCACTCGTACGAGTGTAGGAGCTGCAGCGCGGGCACGACGCCCTCCAGTACAGGGATGTTGACGCCAATGTACGTACCCTGGGCGACGACGCCGCCGCGCGCATTGAGGGCGTAGGCTGGGAACGACGTCGTCCTGCCCTCGAGCATCCAGTAGGCCGTCTCTTGGAAGGATCTGTACGTTTCCATGCTTGAACCTGTATAGAGGAGCGACTTCTCGTCGAGAAACCCGAGCAAGGCCTCGAGGATGACCGTGATGCCGCCTGCAGCAGCTGCTGACAGCGGCAGGCATTCAGCGTCGTGCCAGGGCGTCACCCATTGCCCGCCGGTGATGTCCACCTGGCTTAGCCAGAACACATCGACCCTGGTCATCCTCATGACCTGCGTTCGAGCCAGGTTCCTCTTGTGCCGGGCTTCGCCCCTCGCCAATTTGGCCTCCTCCCTCTCCTTCTCCCTGTCTCGAGCCTCGTACGCCTCGTCCGTGACCGGTGGTGGTTCCTTTTCAGCTGCGTCAGCGGAACTGTGGAGCGAATGGTAGGTCAGCAGCTTTGGGATCTGGTCTCCTCTCCTTTCGGCGGCTGCTTCTTCATAGGGTGAAGTCATCGCGCCCTGCTCGACCGACTGCTGGACAAGAGACATGTCCTTTTGTATTGCGTCCATCTTGACAGCTCTTGCGGCTTGACGCTCTTTTGCAATCCTCTTGCGTTCCGCTAACGGGTCTGTCGTGTTATCACGCTCATGCCCTCCCTCATCCTCGTCATCAAGCATGAGGGATGGTGGCTCGTTGAAACCGGGTGGAAGAGGTGGTACTGGCGATTCGGAATCCTTACGGGGATCTGCGGGTGGCGATGAGGTCGTCTTCTCGGCCACGGGCTGCACAGATTCTCCCTCGTCATCGGCATCCTCGACCTTGGGCCTCCTGTACGACGACGCATGGACATTCCCAGAACGTGCGTGGCCTTTAGCGGAGTGCTTTTGGTTCGCTTCACCATCTGGTTCTGGAATTCCTCCAGACCCAGCCCGTCGCTGTGGTCCGCGCCGCTTCCCGTATGGACATGGAGGTGGTAGATAAATGATCATGACCCAAGCGCCATCCGCTGGTTTGTGCTCCACCAGTTGGTAAGGGTCGGTCCTGGCTAGACCTCTTCGCTCACCATCGCTGGGGGATGTCTTTTGCTCCAAATTTGTTCCCTTGGCAGAGGCCTTGGTTTTCGTGACTGAGGCGACGTGAATCTCATAGCCCGTCAAGCCTTGGTGATCCTTGATCCATCTTTCGTCCAGTCTGCGCGCCGTGCGCCTCTTAACCCAGTGGTAGTACTGATTCGCGACACTAGGGACGTCCAAAATCCTGCCCAGCCAGGGGTCGTCGACGGTGCCGCGCGGGCTTGTCCTGCTCACCCCGAAGGCCTGCGGCACCGGGGGGCACAGAGTGGTTGGGGTGAAATGCAATATGGGTCCCAAGACAGGATGGCTCGCGCTGGTCAAGCTCCCAGCTGGGCCCTGCATCGACACGGACTTTTCTTCAAAGGATGCTCTCGTGACAACCATGCCCGCTGTTAAGCCCATGATGACAATGTCTCTCATCGAGGTGGGCATCGGGACGCTGACGAGGTCGCTTGGGCATCGATCGACGTCGCATTCGACATAGTCCACCCGTATCGAGTCGCCGCATGAACGTTCCACAGCTCGGCAAAACGAGACCCAAGAAGCTTCTCCTGGCGGGACGGTCGATTTGCGTGTCTCCTTTCCGGCATGCCTCTCCACTTCGCCCGCCTCGGGCGCAGGTCGTCGTCTGCGGAGAGCTTGTTGTCCAGGTGAGCTCATTTCATTGACCGTTTGCCCTGAATTTACTTCTGTTAGAGCATCCCAAGCTCTAAGGCACGGGAGAGGGTGCTCCGCAATAGCACACGAACGCCTGATAGCTCCGCCGCCAGATCCCCAGTGACGCGGCTCGAGAGATATCTGTGGCATGCTGTACAGCACACGGAAGCGGAACTGCGACATCTCCCAAACGCGACGGCCTTGGCCCGGCATCGGTCCGTACACGACACTGTCACACAGACGGATCTGCTGGCCGGTGATAAAGTATTGCTGGGTAGCCTGGGCCACGGCGATGATCATGGCGACAATGGCGACGACAAGCGCCGCAACGCCTGCGATGGTCGCAGGGTCCCAGCCCATGATGAGGACTGCGATTGAGAGTCTTTGGGGGGTGACTTGGGAACGCTTGCTGTGTACAGTATGTATTGCGCCCAACCAGACAGAATCTGGGTTGATGAAAGTCTATTACCAGCTGTTCATCGTGTAGAAAGCGCGTGACTGAGGCAGACCTCTCATTTAATCACATCCTCCAACTCGGAACCGGCTGCGGCTGAACGAGTATTGCAGCCAGCCAGCATCCTGCCTTGGACGTTCGAGGCTTTCAGCATTGCTCAGGTAGAACGCAGAAAACGCCCGTATTGTCGATAGGCGTTTTCAGCTGCACGCAGAGGCGTGGGATCGCATGTCGGACTACTAAATGGGGTCTGCATGGGCATTTGAGGCGCGGAAGGACTATCTTTACCAGAGTTGCATTGCTTTTTGTCGCACGGAAAAATCAATTTAGGAGGAGGATGTAAACAAGAAGTTTGCAGGTTTCGTCGTGTTTGGAGTACCCAAATACGGATTGGCAGCGCGAAACACATGCACGCTGAAATTATGTCACACTCCAAATTCCGTAGACGCCTTTTCTACATTTCAAGTTGTGAGAGCCTCGTCTTCGGGAGGCTTCACAGTCTTCAGCTAGACACATCATCGTTCTTCGCACAGCCGTGGGATGAGGTCACGAGCAACATGACCAGAGTAAGGCTGCCGACCGTCGCAGGGTAGTCTGTGAAGTTCCGTTAATTCTTATTAAGAACCTGTTAGAAGTAGATCTCCAGCGGACTGTGAGCAAACAGAACTGGATAAGAGTACTGGTCTAATAGAGCAAGGCGTCTAGGGTAGGAACGCGGGAGGGTGGCCTACGTAATGGACGGGGCTGGGCCGCTGGGCCGCTGGGAGCCTGGGACGGACCGCCAGGGCCAGGCATCCAGTCATCCGTCATGGAAATCTGGACCTGGAGCGACAACCTTCACCACGCCTGTGCGCAAAGCGCGATCACTTCACAGCTTCGCCTGCCATCACTCTCCGCTAGTGTGCTGACTGGCTATTAATCCACCACCAAGCCAGAAAGGCATACAGAGACAAGACCGCCCACACCGACCAGTCACGACTGCGGCAGCGCGGATGCCGCCCTGCCTCGCGCGTCGACCAAAATGCAGCCCTACTGCACTGGCGTCATGCGCCCAATCAGCACTACCGCGCCCGCAATGGCGATCACAAGCCACTGTCGCCTGGCTCTGCCCTGACCTGAGCCCCGCGGATGAGGCATCGGATCCCCCTCCTCCCGGACTCGACAGAGTCGGACAGACCCAAGCACACAATACTTGACGCTCAGCCCAACCGTGACTGAAGTGCAGCGCCAACACTACAGATTCAGTCAGCTGCGTGTGTGACTCTTGACTGTCCAGAACCTTGCAGCCTCGTCCACTGGGCGTGGTCGTCGACTTGGCCAAGAGTCCAAGGCCAGGAGGCTGTTCCTACACACACGTAGCAAGACATGTCAGTCCTATGAGTCAGGGATATATATCTGGAAGAGTCTCAGCCTCCCGTGCACGCACCTTTCACACCCCTGCATCCCACAGCATCTAGTACAACCGGATCTGGCACTACCTCTCACCAAATAGCCTCAAGATGGGGTCCAAAACAGAGAAGGAAGAGCCACCCGGCTATGAAGCGAGTGAGTTCCAGGCGGTCCTCACCGACGCTCGCGCACTCTACCGCGAGACGTCGGGAGACAACCTCGATGATTTCATGAGCCCGCCTATGCGCAACTTGTCCGACCTCAAGACGCAACTCGACATCTCCAATGAGCACTTTTCTTCCTTCCGGGCCAAGAGGGCGTCCCTCTTCGGTGCCTTGACCACCATGCTCAAACCCGTCGAAATCGTTGGAGAGGTCGTCAGTGGCGCCGCGGGCGAGATCTTCCCGCCAACGCAGAGTATCTTCTCCGCCGTCATGTTTCTCGTCAACGCGGCGAACAACGTGTCCTCGACATACAACTCCATTGTTGAACTGTTCGGCCAGCTCAAAGACTTCACCGCCCGCTTCGACGTGTACCTCCAGCACAAAATGTCGACGGCCCTGCGCGAGAAGGTGGTCCACATCTTCAGTGCCCTCTTCCAGGTCCTTGTGCTCGCCACCAAGGAGGTACGTCGCGGCAGGGTCAAGTCCTACTTCCGCAACCTGTTTGGCGCCGACAGCCCCGTGCAAGAAGCCCTCGTCAACCTACAGAGGCTCACTCTCGGCGAGGAGAGACAGGTGCTGGCCGACACGTACGGTGGGGTTTCACGGATCGACACCAAGACGGATCGTGTGGAGCACATGGTCTCGCAGATGAGCGAGAACATCCAGGAGATGAGAACAGAGTACAAGGAGAGAGCAACCGTCGCGCATCAAGATCGACTGAGGGAAATCCTCGAACCGTCTCCCTTCCCCGAGGACTTCAACACAGCATTCGAGCGGAATCGTGTACCAGGCACGGGCAACTGGCTGTTGGAGGACTCGGGCCTCAAGGCGTGGATGCGCAGCGAGACGCATTACCTGTGGATGTCAGGCGGCCCAGGCACAGGAAAGTCATTCTTAGCCAGCCGCTTGATCTCGTGGGGCACCGACAACCTCTCGCACCTGGCGTACTTTTATTTCCGCGCCAACAACCCAGAGACGAGGTCGGTTCTACAAGCTCTGCGGGACGTTGCGTATCAACTCAGTGAGAGTGATGCGTTGTATGGCAAGCAGATTGCTCGAAGAGTGCATAGCAGCGACGACATTAAGACCATTCCCAGCGCCTTCCGACGGCTTTTTGTGCAGCCGTTGGAGGAGGATACTCGTGGACGGTCATTTTATGTCTTTCTCGACGGAATTGACGAGGCGGAACCAGATGAGTTGGAGGAACTGCTACGGCAGCTCGAGCCGCAGGAGGACACCTTGAGACCACCGACACGGCATTCTAGAGTTCAAATCGCCCTCGTGGGCAGGTCGTACTTGACGGAGCTGGTCACCTCCTACCTGGACCCGCCCTCGGCGCAGCACAAGCTCACCGTCGTCCATGTCACGCCAGATCGAAACGCAAACGATGTGCTGGCATACATTGAGGCCGAGGTGTTTTCGTCAAGGCTCCTGAACAGAAGCACCCTGGATTTCAAGAACCAAGTCATCAGGGCCATGGTTAAACGCGTGGATGGCCTCTTCATCCTGGCCAAGTTTATGCTGGCGGACATGAACCGCAAGCGCAGGCCGACCACGATCCTCAAGTCGCTCGAGTCGTTTCCCCGCGAGATCAATGGCGTACTGAAAACAACCCTTGCCAACCTGTCCGCGACAATCTCCGAGGAAGAAGCGACGGACCTCAATGAGATGCTTCGCTGGGTGACCTGCGCCGAGCAAACCCTCACACTCGAACAGCTCGAAGCAATCTTGATACTCCGATTCGGGGATCCCCCTTTCCGGTTCGAGGACACACTACGCGGGCAGTACGCCTGCTTCTTCGAGCTCGAGCGTGAAGATGGCCTCACGACCGACGACCTCGTCAAGAGCCACGAGCGCGCGCAAAAGGGTCAGCAGGAATCGCCCACGGGCCGTTTCCGGAGGTCAAGCTCGACGGGCAAGAAGGAGTCACCGCAAAGAGCCGTCAGCCCTGCGAAACGCATCGCCTACAACCGAAGGCGGACAAGTCCTGTTACTCTGAGCGAGACGAGCCCGAGTCGAAGGTATAGTCTCTCTCGCAGCCCTGCGCGAAGGCCCGAGCTTCTCGACGCGGGAGAAGAGATGGAGTTTCGGTCCAAGAAATCGACAACCATGGTCACTTTCTTCCATGCCTCCGTGCGGGACTTTTTCCGCGACGAAGATACCTTATCCGCTACAGGGGGCACAAAGGGACCACAGATAGGATTCGACATCAATAAGGCACGTCTGCATGTCCTTGAGACATGCCTGCGCATTTTTAATGACAAGCAATGGTTCGACAAACATAAGTTGGGCGTAAAAAGATATGCTCTGAGACAGTATGCTGCTTGGTATTGGCAAGAGCATCTTGCCGTCCTCTCGCCCTCCGCGGTCAGTGTCGAGGAGAAGCGCAAGCTTGGGCCGCAAATCTATCGGATGCTGACCCAAGACGACATCATCTACGACTGGAGTGTTTTGTACGAGCAAAATGACGAGGGTCTCGAGGTTCTGACCGACAGCAACATTTCTGCCCTCAAGGCCTGGATGAGTGACCCAGATGTTCTGTCCGGCCTGGGCCCAGAAGCCCAACAATGGGCCAAAGGGTCCGTACAGAAACCCACAGGACTCTTCCAGCAGATTGGCAAATTTTACGCAAGAGCGTGGCTCGACGCGAGCTTCAAGCAGTATGTGCCTACTCGCTTCTGCTTCAAAATCGTCCAGAGCATCGCCTACATGGAGGAGGGCCACAAATGGTCTGACTCACAGTGCCACTGGTCGGCCATCCCCGTCGTAACGCGTATCGACAAGGCGACAGAATGGGCCGCCTGCGAGAAGACGGCCCATTGGTACCGTCGCGTGGGCAGCACCTTTCTCACGAGCGGCATGAACGAGGAAGCACTCCAGCATTACAACAGCGCGCTGAAGCTTGAGCCAGATAGCGTCGAGACCCTGGGGCGGAAAGCGTTCTGTCTCTCCGTTGATGAGAGGTATGGTGAAGCTCTGCACCTGGCGCTGAAGTGCGAGGCCAAGGAACAGGAAATTCTTGAGAACGGGACACCCACTCTACCGCAGCGAGGAGCAAGCCAGTGGCGGCTGTACAAGGATCATTACCTCATTGCGCAATGCTACTACCGCGCGAGAGAAGTAGACCTTGCCGTTCGGTACTTCCACGAAGCTCTCGATAGCGCTGAAAATGCGGCGCTTGACTATCACGAGCGGTTTGAAGCGGCGACTAGCTTTCTAGACGTTCTAGCAGCCGAGAACATGCACGAGGAAATGATGAAGGTCATTGAAGACATGGCCCTCCAACCCTCGAGCCGCACCCGGGAACAGAGTCGTCTCGTCGACTTTTTGTGCGCCAAGCACAGCAAACCTATAGTTCTCGAATGGCTGCCCAAGGCCGCGTGTACGACGGGCAAGACCGATTTCCTGGTGGAGAGGCTCGAGATGAGCATCGACGTGGCGCACGACAGGCGCGATACACTCAAGGAGCTCTATCTTCGCCTCGCCATGGGCACAGCGCTCGTCTACAGCCGAGACTTTGACGAGGCCATTGAGGTCTTTGAGCAGATCTCTCTGGTAGAGTATCGACCAAGAGGCAATGTCCCTACGAGATCAGCCCACGCGGTTTCCTTTCAGAAGCTGGCGTCGCTGTACAAGGGCATGGCGTTGCGGGCGGGCATCACGTCGTCTGGTGCCGATCGCTGGATCCAGAAGCTCGAGTATGTGCAGGCCAAGCAAAACGCTCATCGGAACCTGGATCTACCAGCGAGCATGCTCGGCTCCGACGTCAACGCCGCTGCCATCTATCTAGCGCTATTTTACCGCCTCCGAGGGCGGGAAAGGGACGCAGAGAAACTGCTGTCGGCGCTCATCCTCGAATCCTGCGAGATTCTGGAGGACGAGGATCTGCAGAATGATCAGTTCGCGCTGGAGAACCTGCTGAAGCTGTTTGTCGCAGCGGGAGACGACGAGAACGCCCTCGCCCTGGCCGTGTCGATGCGACGTCTCAACCCAGAGGCCTCGCTCAGCACACCCGGTGACTCGCCAGTGCATACCCGCCTCGAGCCCAAGCTGCCCGATATACAATCGTCCAGCCGATCCTGCGCACACTGTTTAGAGATTGTGCCATCAAACGCCGAGTTTTTCATCTGCCACTTTTGCCTCGATGCTTTCTGCGGGAGATGCCTGCATAAGAAGATACAACCTGGGACCGATAAGACGAGTCTATGCCAGCCAGACCACGAGTGGATGGAGGTGCCGCCTCTGCAACGAGTTCTCCATACGGGGCAAGTCCTCAAAGATAGGGAGGTGATGAGCTATCAGGATTGGAAGCATGCCATACGGGAGAGATGGGAAAAGGGGGGGTTGTGATGGTTGACGATTTTCACGTTCTACGACTGCATAGTTGCATGGTAGCTGGCGTTTTGCATATCAAGTCTCGCTTTTACTTCGACTGCGTGTCTTGTAGAGCTTCAGGCAATGTACACTCGCCGTGATCGTGCCTGGGGGTGATTCTCAAAGCACCAGGATGCTAAACCATGTGCGGATGGAAAGACTGCGGACACTCCGCGACGTTGTTCGCGATCAACAACGATTATGACTCCATTTGGGTGTCGAAGGATCCCAGCTGGAGCAGAAGCGGGCGATTTCGGTCCACTAGAGACTGATCAACTCCAGGGTTCTTTTGAAGCGAGGGCGGTGAGATATCATCACTCACATCCCCAGTCCCGACGCGGGGAAATCTTGGAGAGGAGGGGAATATGTGGAGGTGTGGAGGATATTCGGACGTCAGTCGGCCAGAAGACGCGGGCGACTTCCGAGTGTCATGTACCATCGGCCATCAATCCAGCGAAGCCTTCATTGCATGACGCTTGGCGTTGCTGTTGGCTGGGTGTTGTTACATCGTGATTGAAGCGGTTTGGGTGAGACACGCAGCTTCTCTTGTCTCGTGCGGCATACAACCCAAACAGTGCTCGTGATGCAGTTGGGCGGTCCGCTGGGCGAGACTTGCCTCTTGGAGTTATGAAACACCTGATTTCGGAGAATATTTGATCTGGAGAGATTATTAGCACGTCCACTCCCATCACGCCGGATCCGGTCACCAGTGACTTGCGTACCAGAGGTTCAAAGTTCAAACTTCAACCTAATCACCTGGCCACGTGCCTGTGCGACATATCCAAGACCCGAAAGCTAAAGTTTTCGAAACATTCCAGATTGAGGAGCCTCCCGTTGTGAGCACACCAGAGTCCCGTGTGGCCGCCTCAGACCAACATACGGATCAGCGGGCTGTGCGTAATTTCGCAGAGACAACGCCTTCTGCCGCCCGTACTGTGGGCATCGGCTAACATTAGCTTATCTAGCTGCTTCAAGAAGGTAAGATCATACATATTTCCAGCCGAGAGACTCCACCCAGTCCGGCAGATCGATGCCGTCCCCGCGCCGGGCGTACAATAGGCGAGACTGACTGATACGCCTGGGACTGTGGCCTTGTATAAGAACGCCTTCGTCACGCTTGTCTTTCTCCGACTTGACACTCTCTCTTTTGACTATCAGGACTTGATTTGTTGTTCCATACCCTCCTTGGGTTTTCTGTCTGTGCCATGTCGAAAATGATACGCACGCTGTTGAGCGTGGCTTTGTGGGCCTCGTCGTCACTTGCTGTTGACGACGTGGTTGATGTTGGCTATGCATCATACAGAGGCCAAGAATTAGAAAACGGTCTGTCACAATGGCTCGGCCTGCGGTATGCAGCGGCACCTGTCGGCGATCTCAGATTCATGCCTCCTCAAGATCCTGAAGTCCACGACGAGATACAGCCGGCAGACAAGGTTCGCTTACGCCTCCTATGAAGAAAGAATCGTACATCTAACAAGAAAAGGTTGGTCTCTCCTGCCTGGGAACAAACAAATTACCAACTCTGAACACGACGTCGGAAGATTGCCTGTTCATGAACATCATGGCACCCACCAACGCTACTTGCTCCTCAAATCTTCCCGTCTTCTTCTACATCCAAGGCGGCGGCTTCAACTCCAACTCCAACCCCAACGTCAATGGGACAGGCATCATTGACGCGGCAGACCGGGACCTTGTGGTGGTGACCATCAACTACCGCGTCGGTCCGTATGGGTTTCTCACAAACAAGGATCAAGTGACCCCGAACAACGGACTTCGCGATCAGGTCAAAGCATTGGAATGGGTGCAAGCCCACATCTCCAAGTTTGGAGGCAACCCTAACCACGTTGTTGTAGGAGGCACCAGCGCAGGCGCTGCAAGCGTCATATTCCACCTGACGGCCAACAACGGATCTGACAGCGGTCTTTTCCACGGGGCCATCTCAGAGTCGGCATCACTGGCCGGACTGCTTACCGTCAAGGAGTCGCAGTACCAGTACAACAACTTTGCCACTCGCCTTGGCTGCACCGGCAAAGACAGTCTCGAGTGCTTGAGGAACAAGACAGCCCTCGAGATCCAGGAGGAAAACTTCAATATCCCCCTACCGGGAGGTTCGAAGCCACCTGCGTACCAGTGGTTGCCGGTCCTGGACTACGACTTCATCAATGATTACACCTATCACGCCTTGACGGAGGGCAAATTCATCAAAGTACCGACAATATTTGGCGACGACACTAACGGCGGCACTGTCTTCACTCCCAAGAATGCCTCCACTCAGGCGGAGAGCAACCAGTTCATCCTCGACGCGTACCCTACCATCTCACCCGAGATGTTTGGCGAGATCAACGATCTCTACCCCAATCCGAACAAGACGTGCCCAAACAATGGCTGCTTCTGGCGTCAGACCAGCAACACGTACCAGGAGATCCGCTACATGTGCCCAGCGCTGTACGCCAACTCCGTCTACGCACCCTTTGCCAAGTCATGGGCCTACCGCTGGAACGTGGAGGACCCGGCACAGATCGCCCAGGGGCTGGGCGTGCCTCACACGTCGGAGCTGGAGGCCCTCATTGGCGCCGAGTACACAGACGAGGAGCCGAAGAGCTACAAGATCGGCCAGAAGAACCGCCCTGCCACGCATGTGATACAGCGTTACTGGACGAGTTTCATGAGGACACTGGACCCGAACACGTTCCGGCAAGAAGGGGCCGTGGAGTGGACGTCCTGGGGCAAGGACAACCAAGCGAGGGTTGTCATGAACACGGGCGGGAAGACTAACATGGAGGATATCGATGAAGGCCTGCGGGAGAGGTGTGAGTACTGGTACAAGCATAGCATGGAGATGAACTTGTAAGAAGGGGGAAGGGTGGGTGAGATCTTTCCTGTATATACATCTTGGCCTGCATTCTACGCAAGCATACAAAGGATACGTGAGAGGACGCGGTGGCAGCATCGAAAAGTGACAATGAATTTGCCTCATCAACCAGCTGTTATTGGGATGGTCTGCCCTTCTTATTGTCCACTAGGCTTCTGTAACCAAAGGTGAGCGTGTGACATATGACGCACTGCCTGTTGTCTGCGCCAAGTGCCAATGGCTCTGTGAATGGAGAGAAGAAAACTCGAACTTTTCGACGACGAACTTTGTATTGACCTTGATGGCTTTCTCGGGGAACTGGACCATCGTGGTGCGGATTTCGCATGTGGCAGTGGTGACTGGTGAGTGTACATGCACTCAGACGTGAGACGACATCGCCAGTGCGTCCTTTCATAAGACTGTCTGTCCTATACCATTGGCTACATACATAGAGGAGGAGTTCCAGATTCGATCTTGGCGCATTTCTCGAAGTGTGCTCTCCTGGAGTGAACGAGGATTGGGAGTCGGGCTGAGGGCAAGCAGTTCACGCGAACGTAGTAGGTTAGGCGCAACGAATGTGTTCTACAGTCCCAAATCGTGATATGCAGCGGCCGACGCATATGTATCGTTGCGGAAATCGCGAAGAAAATCCTGGGGTGAATTTGGATTCAAGTTGGCGATTGAAGCATTTATTACCGAGGTTGCGATGAGGTCACGGCAGAAGCCCAAAGCCCAAGCCCAAGCCGGCGCGAGACCGGAGTTTTATTATTCGTCAATCCCACCTCCCACCAACGTCGGCTTGGACCTCAACAACCATCTTCAGACGACTCAAGATGGCGCCCTCGCTACCACAGGATCCGGCCGATCCCTCCAAGAAGAAGGCGCCCAGCGCCCTGCGCTCCATCATCGCCGGATCTACCGCTGGTGCGCTGGAGATTGCAATCACCTACCCAGCCGAGTGCACGTCGATCCTATTGAGCGCCGTCTTCAATTTCCACTGACCTTGTCGCAGTCGCCAAAACACGCTCGCAGTTGAACCGACGCTTGGAGGCTGGCAAGAAGCTTCCCTGGCCCCCATTTGGCTCGCAATGGTATGCGGGTTGCACGACCCTCATCATCGGCAACTCGGCCAAAGCTGGCATCCGTACGAACCTCCCTCTGCCTCCACGCCCTAACCTCTCGATCTAACAAAAAAACAGGCTTTGTCGCTTTCGATCAGTACAAGAGCATGCTGGCTGATGAGAATGGCAAGCTCACCGGCCCGCGCACAGTCCTCGCCGGTTTCGGCGCCGGCGTCACAGAATCGCTACTCGCAGTCACTCCTACCGAGAGTATCAAGACAACCTTGATCGACGACCGCAAACGAGCCCAACCACGCATGCGAGGCTTTCTGCATGCTGTGCCGATCATTGCAAAGGAGCGAGGGCTCGCAGGGTTCTTCCAGGGCTTCGTTCCCACGACCCTCCGCCAGAGCGCAAACAGTGCCGTGCGCTTCGGCAGCTACACATCCCTTCGACAGCTCGCCGAGTCATGGACCGCACCAGGCGAGAAGCTCGGCACCATCTCGACGTTCACCATTGGTGGTCTAGCCGGCTTGATTACCGTTGCTGTCACCCAGCCTCTGGACACCATCAAGACCAGGATGCAGAGCCCCGAAGCCAAAGCAGTATACGGCAACACCCTCCGCTGTGGCACAATGATCTTCAAGAATGAAGGCATCACCACATTCTGGAGTGGCGCGCTCCCTCGTCTCGCCCGATTGGTTCTCAGTGGTGGTATCGTCTTCACCATGTACGAGAAGAGCATGGAATTGATGAACAGAATGGACCCTGAAATGCGGTACATCTAGACCACAGGGAAAAGAGAGAAAAATGGCGTTGGGGATCTTATAGACATTGTTGGTGTTATACATGGGATATACAAGGGTATCTTCATTATTGTAACCGAACCATTCCCGACAGCTTCTTCCCTAACCGTTCAAACCACGTTCGTTTCGGCGCCTCTTCGATCTCGCGCACGAGATCCGCAAAATATGTCGGTTGGCTATTCGGCTCGAGCATTCTTCCGCTCAACTTATACTGCACGCGCGTGATTAGCCGCTGCCTGGACGTGGGGGAAGGACGGGGCGTACCCTATCCATGAACCTGTTCTCCTGGAGCATCTGTAATGATCTTGCTCTGAACAGCTCTTCGGCCTCCTTGGAAGGGTTGTAATTCGCGAATCGTGCTTCAAGGGTCTTCTTGAGGACATCTTGGATTTGATAGTCAGGTCGCAGCTCCTGCTTCGGGAATTTCGAGAGCGCCTCGGTGGCAATGCGGTACTGTCTCGTCAGCTGAGTTTCATCAATGAGCAGCCAATGAGGCATACTGAGATCGGTCGCGCCATGACTGTAATTTGTGTTATCGTCCAAAGACAGGTCGTGGGTGGGCGTAGCCAAATATGCCCAGCGCAACATCACGACGTCAACGACAAGCTCTCCCTCAAAAAAAGCCCACCACGCGCGCGCGCGGTCCATCGCGAAGAGCCGACAGCCGCCGGCACCGGAGTAATGCATAGCCGAAGTCTACTTAGTCATGAAGGGACTTTGCGGACTTCAGGCCTGATTCGGTTTAGGCTGGGACTCCTCAGGCAGCCACTTTCCTTCCAACGCTTTCTGCGCCACAGTTGCATCTGGGCCAGCGCCACGACGGCTGACCTGACTCCGCTGTCATCGGGTGCCCGTCTGTCCGCTGCGTACGTCCCTCCCATCATGGCGTACTGGTGATAGATAGACTTCCATTAACCTCTGGCCACTTTCTTCGAATCTCATTTATCGACGCTCCTTGACCATCCTGATACCCCCTTTTGCGCGATTCTTCTTTTCATTTTGGTACCTGCTCCGGAGCGACAGAAGTTACACAACAAGTGTCGGCCTCCCGACTGATTGATTGTCTTACCCCCTTCCCAGTCGCCGTTTCATCGAATCTCGTGATCAATACCAGCATCATGGCTGGGGGCTACGAGCGGGTAAGTCACCTCGACTGGCCTCCCCTCGACAGACACTGATAGATCCAGGTCAACGCTCACGACGAAGAGGACCATGGCCTCTCTCAACCGACCCCGTTCTCGCCACCACCCTCATTCCACTCCCGCTCGTCATCACCCAACAGTCGACGACATCAACAGGTCGACTCTACCCTCGCCGACGCTTTCGACGACGACGATGACAACACCGACGACGAATCCGACGACAGGCAGCGTTTAGTGAGGCAGAATTCCATGCCTAATAATGCCGGAGCCTCATCGCCCGCCGTCGCACAACCAAGTCATCACTTTGCGAACCCAAATGCCGATAACGTACAACGCACTACGAGGGTCATGGGCGGTGGAAACGCAACCGATGGTGTATTCGCGAACATGTCTGCCAGGCCCGAGAGGCAGGATGCGGAGAAGGAAGAGCAACCACCCGTACGTTTCCATCGGATTGCGGCGTAGGATGACGACTAACACAGTTACTAGACCTATGAGCAAGCTGCTGCCGACGCAGTGCCACCATATTGGGAAACGACCATTTTCGCGCCCGGCCTCGGCGGTGCCGACGAGGTCTATGTCGACGGTCTCCCCGTTGGCTCTGTGTTCTCCTTCATCTGGAATGGCATGATCTCGACCTCCTTCCAACTCGTCGGCTTCCTGCTCACGTACCTGCTCCATTCGACCCACGCTGCCAAGAATGGCTCCCGCGCCGGCCTCGGCATCACGCTGATTCAGTATGGGTTCTATATGAAGGCTGCCCCGGTCGGTGATGCCCCCTCCAACATGGGTGGCCAGGATGGCTACGCCGCGCCACCAGATCCCAACTCGCACGACTTCGACGAGCACGAGGTCACCGACGGCGGCGACAGTCTGGATTTCTCAGGCGGTGATTGGCTCGCGTATGTTTTGATGATTGTGGGCTGGTTCATTTTGATCAAGAGCACTGTGGAATATCTCAAAGCGAGGCGGCACGAGCAGCTGGTGCTCCAGACCCACGATCGGGGTCTGGGTGTGCCGGTCATTGCGCAGGACGAGACGCCCGACAGAGTTGTCTAAAGCCCTTGTTGAATTTTCATCGTTTTCTTCTTTTTCGGCATCATGGTAGCAATGGGAGTAGAGGTGGCGTTTGGGTTGGATAAATGGGTTACGTATACTACACGGCTAGCGCCTTTTCTTTCATAAGTATGGTTACAGAAATGCTGATTCCTTCATAATGCAGAATTGCCCCTTGGGACTGTATCAGACTTGTGCTTGGCCACTGTGCTACGCGTTGTGGTAGGAAGGTAGTCTAGATTGTCGGATGATCGCAACTCAGTGAACCCCCGCATGAGCTCATACATACAACACCATGCGATCAACCTCTGCGACTGGTTTCGTGACTTCTCCATCGTCAGATTCCCTCACCAGGCGAAAATAGTCATTCAACTGTTGCAAAGTGCGCAGAGAGATTCAAACTTGAGTGATAATCATTCGCGCTCGACGTGCACGAACTCAAGCTCGCTGTTTATCGCCACTTCACAAGGCCGGGCTCCCGCCAAAGAGACCACGGATCTATGAGACCGCTGCTGTATCGCCCACTCACAAGATTGTCACACGTACTTCGTCGTCCTCTGAACATGGCTTGGCGTTGCTCAGGTGACTCGAACCAGGAACTGGTCGACAACCTCTATGATGCTGGCTTGATTAAATCGCCCATCGTCAAGGATGCTTTCCTCAAGGTTGACCGTGCCGACTACGCACCGCACAACCCGTACAAAGACTGTCCTCAGTCCATCGGCCACTCGGCCACAATCTCGGCCCCGCATATGCATGCGTCCGCGATTGAGTATTGTCTGGCGCACTTGAGTCCCGATAAAGAGAGAAGGGTTCTTGATATCGGGAGCGGCTCGGGATACTTGACGCACATTCTGGCGGAGATGGTAGGTGACAAGGGCACTGTAGTCGGGCTGGAGCATATCCGTGAGCTCAGAGACCTCGGCGAGCATAATGCGCAGAAGAGTGCTCGGGGTCGACAGCTGCTCGAGGCAGGGAGGATCAAGTTTCGGCATGGCGATGGCCGAAAGGGGTGGGTGGAGGATGGGAAGAGCGATTGGGACGTTATACACGTCGGTGCCTCGGCGAGGATTCTGCATGAGGAGCTATTGGACCAGCTGAAAGCGCCAGGATGGTAAGTTTTATGCTTTTCCTATTAATGCCATCAGGCTTCGAGACTTCCGACTGACGAGCGCAGCATGTTTATCCCCGTGGATGATGAGCATGGCATCGACCAGAGTGTTTGGCGCATCGAGAAGGATGCCAAGGGCGAAATCACGAAGCAGCGACTGTTCGGTGTACGATATGTTCCATTGACGGACCCTCCACGTGGAAGCTAACACTGCTGCTTGTATGCAAATTCGTATTCTAGTCTAGTAAAAAAAAAAGCATATCCCACTCATGTCCTGAGTAGCCAGATCCAGCCCAGCCATATTATACCAATGCCCAAGACCACCAAACGCCGACTCCAGACCGTTGCTCATATCATAATGCATCGTTTTTCCCCGTTCGTTCGTTCGCTCACCATTTACATCCAGTTGATGGCAACAAAGACAGCCGCCATGCCCATGTAGACACCAGGGGCGGGGTGTGCTCGCCTGTCGGCAGCAGCAGAGGGGATGGCGCTGGCAACGCCCTGCTCAAAGCCAACGTCGTTGGCCGTCTCAGTCGCGGTCTCCACGGGACCAGGGACAACTACACTGGTCGAGAAGATGGGCATGAATGTGGGTGTCGGCACTACTGGCAGGGGAGTAGAGAGTGCGGTCGTCAGAGGAGCCTCCGGTGCAGGAGGGCAGTAGTCCGGGCAGATGGGGAGGCAGCCGGCGTCCGCTCCGCCATCGCAGGAGGGACAATCGCCAGCCGCAGTGCAGGGCTGGCAGACGTCGGGTGAGCACTCGGGGCACTCTTCCGGAGGGCATACGCCAACGCGCTGTTGCGCGGGCTGGGAGGTAGCCTCGACGGGCGCGGCTGTCGAGGCTTGGCCGCAGCCTTCAGGCGGGCAGACGATAACTGTCTGTGTAGACTCGGGGACGACAGGCAATGCGGAAGACATATGGTCCTCGGCGCAATCTTCATTGGTGACCGTGACAACGACTTGACGACGGACATGGTCCCGGGGCAGGATGGGGCAGAGAACGCCAGGAGGGCACGGCGCGAAGCCGCCAAAGTTGGTTGGCGCCGCAGCAACTGTAGAGGAGGGTGTAGGCGAGACCTTGGTTGTGAGGCTCTGTGCCGAAGTGCCTGTGGCCAGGCAGAGGCCGATGAAGATGCTGATGAGAGACATGTTGGCGATTGTCGTGGTGCTGTGTACTTTGTCGAACGTTGAGGGTTTGACTTTAGGTCAAGGGTGTTCTTGCTAGGTTGATTGTTGCTGATGAGGATGATTCGAATGTTGAGGGATAGAATCTGTCCAGGGTTATATACATCCCTCCAGCCTCCCTTTTCGATGTCGCTACATCCTGGATATTCCATGTGTGCTGCTCAGCCATGGCATGGAATACAACGTGATGGGCACTGATGGCGGGTCGTCGGCCATGGCGAGGAATGGCATATCAAGGGCTGGGTACCCGTAGTGTGGCCATAAGGCTGGGAAGCTGAAGATGATGAGACATTCCTGTTTGAGTTTCTGACGTGAGTGGTCAATACGATTTGGAGGTGAGGCTGGGTGGTGGACAGGAATGGTAGTCGACGCGCGGATGCATTCCAGTGGAGAGGCGGGTGTCACCGTGAGGCACTCTAGTCTCTGCGTGGTAGCCAGGGTTTAGAATGAAATATTTTATTCATTCACGATGTCGTCACGTTCATTAGACTTCTTCGAAGATGTGTTCTTTTGAGAGAGAAAAATGGCATTTCCGAGCAAGGTGCAATGGGAGTCGGGAGTCGGGACTCGCGACATGGAGTCGCTTGCGCGCAATAGGAAATTGACGTGTCACGTGTGTTGCCCCCTATTGTTTACGGCACCTTTCGCCAACGCTCCCCCAACGTTTGTTTTATACTTTGATGAAAACTTCTAAATTTATGAATCTTCGATTTAACCTCTTTTTTACTCCCGTACGTACCTTCATCTTGTTATTTTAAGCAATAATCCTATTCTCAAACGCATACTTGTGTCTCATCTCACATCAGGTTCTTCGGTTTATCTAGGATCTACTATGGGAGGTCCGATGTCCTTCTCTTGTGCTCACTCCCCCGAAAGTACGGTCCTACTCTCGTGTCTCCCCTGACAAACCTTCTAGACTATGTATTGTAGGCAAACTTTAGGCCATTAAGTCCGCGAGCTCGACAATAGTCAACAAGGAACATGCCCATGACTGTAGATAAATATCAGTTTCCACGAGATGGTAGATCCATGTCGGGATAGAGAATGATGAAAGAAACACGGATTGATCCCTCACTAGTATAGAGCTTGACGAAGAGGCCCAGTCGATCCTGAGCCTTCGTGCGCGCCGTGTCACGCGAAAGAACTGTGAATCCTTGAGCTAATATTTCCTACGAGTGGCCGTAATACATGTACTTGGCGATGTGCTACATTCATTTTAGATAGGCTGCTTACATATCGCCCTCTCGAGACGCCACTTCATGGTGGGTTTGCGGTGATTTAGCAATATGCTTACCTAGTACGTCCCTTATAGTTTCATCTAAGAGTACTAGTACTTTAGGATTCGCGCGGCGCCGTATAGTGAACTTGAAGTCACTATGAGTTCGAAACTAGATAACAAAAGGTTTAGACATCAAGGTTATTGTGTTTTACTTTAGCATATAAATCTACGGGTCCCAGCTGTCGGCTCAATACTCTTTCTCCTCTTTACACAATACCTTCCCAAGCCATCATTTGCAATCACGAAACATGGCCAATCGACGTTACATCCAAAGGAGCACCGAAGATAGTGCAATCTCTGAGGGGCTCACTGCTGATATTGAGCGAACCAATACTCTCTCTAGGCTTCTTGATGCTGAACGAGATGCTGTCCTCAGATCCCAAGGTTTAGCAGATGATGACAATACCCTCGCCCTGACCCTCAAGCGTCTTCTGTCTGTGCGATCAACCACAAGCACCATTGCGACAGTTTCTTCTTTTGCCAAAGACCATCAGGATGCTCTTCACGATTCAACTATTGGTTTTCGGAAGATTGGCTTCGGACAGTGTGGCCTGGTTTTCGAACGCCCTGGTCGGGGCTATGTCGTGAAAATCTGCAAGCCTGGATACTCGGACGGTCTGTGGGCAGATTGTGTCGCCCATGACCGAGTCCAGACAGCGTTTGATGGACAGAAACTTGGTCTAGGCGTCTGTGTGCCGCATCTGTACGCCTGGATTTCGAAAGGGGCTATCTGGTGGGATGTCTACGGCGCTTTGTATCCGCCTTCAGATCACACAGGTATGTTGTTGAAGCGATGGTACAGTCTGCGTCGTCATCGATTGTGAGATACTTTGCTGGCCGCCAGTCACTAATAACTTTCGCGCTGCAGACTTCCCCTTACCATGTCGCGCTCTCCTCTCGGAACGAATTCTCGCTCTTCCCAAGGTCGCTCGTTCCGCCCTGATCGAGCAATTCTGCCCTGAGGATCAGCGGGAGGCTGTTGCGCAAAATGATTCGAACCGAGACTGTCTGGCCCGCGTTTACCTTGGACGACGATCGGACAGCAAGCCTTCGGCCAATTTCACGCTTCGGAACTTCAACATGCATCTTGACCAGATGATCTCAGTCGGCGCTCCAGTCATTAAGTACGCTGAAGCGATCGCTGAAGCCCTGGCAGTCATTCACTGGCAATCAAACGTTGACGGCTTCGACATTGAGTTCGTCCTCGGCAGCGAGCCACTCGCCCCAAACGAGAAGCCGCCTTTCACGATGCCGCAGGGGCCAGAGCATTCCACTGATTTGGAGATATGCGAGACTATCGACGAGGTTGATATCGATTTCCATCAACGCACTATTCGTCTGTGGGTACTGGACTTTAACTTGTGCAATTGCTGGGAGGAGAAAGCCGGCTGGGAGAACCCCGAGATGCTGATTGATCACTTGGTCTTTTCATTCTTTGAGAATGACCCGTATTACCCGCTGCCCCTGGCTGAGCAGGATCTGGACCGCGAACTCTGGACCACGTTCCGTGGCGCGTACCTGGAAAAGGCATCCGAGATCTTGATGCCAAAGGACAAGCGACTCCACGAGCTTCCCACAAAGTTCATGGATGCTTGCGTGGAGCGTGAAAGGCAGAAGTTAGCAGAGGGCCGTGGACATGGCTCGAGAGACCACAAGCAGTAAATCGCTTGTGTCGGAATCTAAAGACGGAGTCCAGTCCTAGTGGTATACCGAGTAGTATTGGCTGCAATATCGTCTGACAGTTTGTCAAGTACAGTCTTTCGGCTCTGGTGCCTGATATAAGCCAGGGATGCTGAGAAGTTAGAACTCACTGAAACGTTGGTCGTGACATGCCCGGTGCACACGCGAAGGCGCGTGGCGTCACTGGACCCTGACAGACGCGTCTCACAATTAGCGGCACTTGCCCCGGATGGGCAAGAACCAAACAACGACGCGAGGTTCTCTTTCTTTTTTGCCTTTACTTTCCAGAGACAATAATCGAATTATTCCAAAGTCCCTAAATTCTTGACTCGTCTCAATACTGATCCTCCATAAATACTGAATATTTACGTTTCCTCTATTGATTCATCATGGTCACGGTGCCCGACAAGGCCTTGGGCCCTCGTGATCCCAACGCTGGAGCCGCGTTCCCACCCGGATCCATCTTCCCCCATAATCCCCAGGAACTGCCAGCCATAGCTGCCCGAATGGACAAGGAGAACAAGGTTACAGCTACCGCCAAGTCCAAGCCCAACCCCAAGAAGCGCAAGTCTGATGCCAACGACGAGACCGATGTCAAGGCCCTGCTGTTCCCTGACGATGCGCCTTACATCGACGAGGATGACGACCGTCTCCGGTACCTTGATCCCAAGGGAATACTCTTGCCAACAGGTCCGACTGAAGATCAGGAAGTGGCTCAAATCGGGTGCCATGAAAGTGGGCGAGTTCCAGCGGGCCATTGGCGTCAGCCAGCACAGCTACAGCAACTTTGTGAACCGCACCGGCACGTGGAACGGAGAGGGCTGCGACGCGTATTTTGCCGCGGCTCGGTTCTTCCGCAAGCGTGAACTGCAGGGCTTGCCCATGACGCTGCCCAAGTCGGCGAAGAAGGCAAAGACAGGCACGGACGCCAAGTCCACCAAGGCGAAGGAGCAAGAGCTGCTGGATGTGAGCGGCGTCACCTTGCCCGGGGAAGAGGAGATGGCTGTGCCCGTGTTCGACACACCCAAGGAGGCGAGAAGGAAGATCCGTGACCTGCAGTCCAAGGGCATCTCGCAGGCGGCTATTGCACGAGCTCTCACCTCCGCTTTGCCGGCGGACTGTGGGAAATCGGTGTCCGCACAGAACCTGCGCACATTCCTCGGCGGAAAGGGTGTCATGGGTGGGAACACTACCATTGCCTTCTACGCCGCGTACGTTTTCTTTGAGAAGAGACGGCTCAAGGCAGGGAAGTCGAAAAGCAAGACCCGAGAGGAGATGGAAGATGCCCATGGTCCCATGGGAGTGGACATTGAGAACAACTCAAACGGCACCTACTGGGTGATGTCCTCCGAATCAGAGCCATACTATGACTCGTACGGCAAGTTGCGGACCTACAAGCGGCGTTAGGCTTTAGAGTGCGTTGTACGTGTTTTGTGGTTGTATCCGAGGGTTAATGGGAGTTTTGTCGACTTTGATATAAGTGGCGTTGCTTGGGTATATATTTCGAGATCAATATTGCCTGGTGGAATTGGCTCTATTTGTACAATTACTTGGATTCTACACACTTCAGTCCTGTCGCCAGCAACACACCACCACACGGTCAATGATTCTGCAATGAGGCAATACTCAGACCTTCGAGGCCACCAGGCTCATGTAGATTCCCCACAACAAGCCAACGAAACTCAAGAAAACGATGCGTCTGTGGACGGGAATGAAGGAGAAGCTGATGATCGACGCAATCGGCCAGATCTTGTACCCAGCTACGATGATGGGGATGGTTTCCTGAAGGGTCATTAGCTTCCACTGCAAGCAAGCCTAGACAGCATATACGAACCGTTTTAATGTTCGACATGATCTGCTCGCCGCCCTGCCCCTTCATGATGCCCATGATGACCAAGAAAGCAATGGTGTTCATGATGGCGCCCATGGTCATGCAGTCCACAAACCACTTTGTGAGGGTGTTCCGCAGGCTGAACCGCTCCGATCTCTCCTGACCACGCTGCGCGCCCGGGTCGCCGTCCAGGATGCCCTCACCGACGCCAGCTTTCATCTCAATGTCATCCTTGCGCTGCTGGGCGGCTGTCGCGGGCAGATACGCCGGGAACGTCTTTTCGAGCAGCTGTTGCCAGACGAAATTGGGTGGCGCGGTGATGAATGTGAGTGCCACAAAGCGAAGGAGCTGTGTGAAGTCAAAGACGAACGAGCGACTCTCTTGGCGGGCCTCGATGATCTGGGCGAGCAGATTTGAGACTGTCGAAAGCCCGGCGGCCTGGCAGGTCGCGGTGACAATGGGCGAGGGCATTTTAAGAGATGGTGTCAGCACGATGAGTCGAGATGTATTGGTGTAAGAAAGGCGAGCGATGGATGAGTTCAGGGACGTTGTTCAATTGACAAATGTCCCATCGGATGAGGTGAGACTCGTGTCGCCAACCGTCACGTGAGTGTCCAATTTATCTCGGGGAAAAAGATTGGGACACACCCACATTACCGTCTAGGATCATTTATGGTGTTTTCGCACATTCATAATTGGAATGAGACGTTTGAGTAAGGGACTTGGGGGATGAATCGTGAGGCCCAAATTCGCTGCTGTCTGGTCCCGCCAGAAACATCTAAATTCACCGACACGCAACTCCGAGATACGTCTACGACGCGTCACCACGGCACCCACGACCGTATCTTGGCCAAAGCCTTCGCGTTCACTTCTTGGACCTCCCGCTTCTGCCTCTCTCTCAGGGCATCGGCCTCGTTGATGAACGGAAACTCGACATCGGGAATGTCCTTGCCCAGGAACGAGCACAGCGGCTCCCATCCCTGCCCGAGACGGTACTCCAGCAGCCTCTCGGGGGGCACCAACGCCTTCATGCTCTCAAAATGCGCATCGTAAGTTTCCTTGGCATTCCTCTCGATCCCAGCCAGACTGTTCGCGCCAAAGAAACCCCCCAGGACCTTGCGCATCGCCGCCAGCCCACGATTGCCAATGACAGGCAGCACGCAGTACAGGAGAAATGTCCCCTGGAGCGAAAAGACGGGCGCCGCGACGCCGTCGCGGAAGCTTGGCCACCACTTGTCAAAGTCGCGCCTCACCACGACGACTTTGGCCTCTGGGTAGGCCTCGACCAGCTGCTTTGCGAAAGCAGCGCCAATCTCCGTGACCGCCCCGTACTGGCCGTAGATGTCGTCCCACTGCGCGCGTGTGAACAGAGCTGTCCCGTCGCTGGCGGTTCCCTGAGGCCAGGTGGCATCAGCCGCCTTCTCGAAGAGCGCCCATTGCTCTGGCGTGTCAAACATGTCGAGCGAATGGTGCGGGCGAAGGCCAATGGTGTCATAGGCGGCGGCCATGGACGCTGTGCCCATGCGCCACAGCCCGATGGATATCACTTGCGGCGGACCACTGGTCTCGCTTGCGGGCATCGTCGCGAGCTTGGCGGTGCCCTCCATTGCGGGGAGATGAGTGGTTGGCGGATGGATGGGCCAAGTTGGTGTGCTTTGATGAGAAATAGAGTGCCCAGTCTCAGGTCAGTGTTGGCTTTCGTCGCACGTGAGGGTCACTTTGAGAATGCAAGGTTCGGACTTTGAGATGTGCAGATTGAAATTCAAGCCCACGTATTTGAAGGATGTGCTCGCTCTTGGGCAGTAAGCGCTAACACAATCAAGCATTGCGAGACCAGGGGCCCAGCTGGCTGGGGGCCAAGATGTGTTCCACAACGGGTAGGGTGATCAAGGTCGTGTTATACATGGAACTCATACCAGTCAGACAGGGTCTTCAACCTCGTCGGACCTCCAGAGTCCGCACATGTACTCTACAGCTTGGAACCCTCCTCTCGCTTCCTCATCTCTCTCACATCCTTACGCAAGATCTTGCCCGAGGGGCTCCGTGGGACAGAATCCACAAACTTAATGCCGCCCCGCAACTTCTTGTAGTGCGCCACCTTGCCCTCCACAAACTGGGCCAAGTCGACCTCCTTGACCTTGCCGACGGCGGGGGGCGCCAGGACGACGTAGGCGCGCGGGACCTCGGTGTCGTCCTGTTGGATGCCGATGACGGCCGCGTCGAGGACAGCGGGATGGGAGGCGAGGAGACCCTCGAGCTCGGCGGGTGCTACCTGCAGACCTTTGTACTTGATGAGTTCCTGTTTCCATCGTGTCAGTCAACCGTGGCCCCATCATCTAGGGTGCTCTCGCGGTGCGCTTACCTTCTTCCTGTCCACGACCCAGAACTCGCCGTCGTCCTCGCGCAGAATGTCTCCCGTTCGCAACCACCCATCGCTTGTGTAGGACTCCCTGTTAGCCTTGTCGTTATCGTGGTACCCGGGGGAGACAATGGGCCCCTTGATTAACGCCTCACCCGCCTCGCCCCTCTTCACGTCGTTGCCGTCATCATCCACGAGTCGCATGAGGACATTCGGCAGCAGAGGGCCCAGGCTGCCCATGCGCACCGTGCGCCCGGGGGGAATGTACGTCGCAGAGCCCGTGGTCTCGCTCATGCCCCACGTCTGTGTGATGCCCTCCTCGAGGCCCAGCTTCTTGCTGGCGGCGTCCTGTAAGTCACCGGTGAGGGGCGCCGCGCCGCTCATGGCGCCCTTCATGAAGCGGAACTGGTCCTTGACGGCCGGGTGCTTCGCAATGGCCATGAAGATGGGTGGCACGGTGAAAAAGACAGTGATACGGAGCTGTTCCGCGTACTTGACAAAGTCCTCAAAGTTGAAGCCGGGCATCCAGAACACCGTACCGGCCTCCCAGACGGGGTGGACAAAGTAGCCCATGACGCCGGCGACGTGCGCGGTCGGCAGATGGCCCAGAGTCCTCTTCTCGTAGCCCGTGCCGGTGGAGGCGTAGTAGGGCCGTGAGAGACGGGTGGGTATGACGGTGGACGCAACCATGTTCATGTGGGTGATGAGCACGCCCTTGGGAAGGCCAGTGGTGCCCGACGAGTAGAGCATGCAGATGGTAGTCTTCTCCAGCTCTCTCTGATCGGTGATCCGTCGCCAATCCAGCTCGTTCTGAAAATCGCATTTCGTGCTGCCGTCGAGGCTACCGAGCTTGACCTCGGGGTAGCTCTCCAGCACGAGCACATTGCGCTTAGAGAGGCCTGCATCCTCCGCTGCCTTCTCGGCCAGTTTGACGAGGTCCTTGCTGCAGACGAGGAGCTTTGAATCGCCTTGGCGAATCTGCCTGGCCAGGTCAGACGGTGTACCCGCGCCAGAAGCAGCTGAATATACGCCCTCGGCGGCAACAACGCCATAGAACAAGGTCGCAAGCGCAGACTGCCCAGTCGACACGCTCACGACGACATCCTTGCCCGCCCCATGGGCGCCTATGCCGTACTCCTTGCGCAAGAAGTGGGCGAACTGCTTGGCGAGAGTGCGAGAGGCTGCCTTGGTGAAGAAATACTCGGGGTGGGCAGCTTCGGCGTGTATAGGCGTGTCCTCTTGGGCAGCACACTCGTCCAATTCTGTTCATGTTCAGTTAGCGACGGTGGTGCTTGGGGCCAGCCATTGTGAATCGGACATACCGAAGAGCAGCGTCAAGAGGTCAACGTTGGGGACGTGGACCTCATTCCCTTGGTTGTAAATCATGGTCGGCGAGATAGTGGTTGCGAATGGTTGTCAATTCCATCAAGATGACCAGAGTCGGTGAGGTCAAGCAAGCAGCTGGTGTCCAGTCCGTACTCGTAGCGAGCACCCCCCGACTGTATGTATCACCCAGTCGCCGAGCCTCGGTTTGGATCTTGCTTTTGGGGAGAACCCCGCACAATAGATACGCGAAGTCGAATGCATCTTCTCAGCCTGTCGTTCTCTTAGAGGATGGGGCGGGACTCCGCGGGAGACGAGTAGTGCGCGGCTATTGGCAGGGGTGGCGCCGTAGCCCCATGGGGACACCAGCTCGTTTAATTCGTTTCCGTGCTGCGGTGGTGGAGATCTCATGGGGTTCAGTGTCTTGAAATGCGGAGTTGGAGAGTGAAGACGGAGGGTTAGAGACGAGTTGGAGTTGGAGCACGAGGCCCGTCCTTGTCAATGTGCGTGACCTACCTACCCTGTGTCCCATCATCGTGAGCTGCTCGCAGAGTTTTGCAAGCCGCGTCAACGGTTGCTCGAGCTTGAAGATCAGCGTCCTTTGCTTTTTTGTTCTACAAGTGTTCTTGTTGTAACCTGAAAGTTGAAAGCGTTTACTATTTAATGTTTTCTAAATCATTCCAGATGTCCCTTGGCAGCTGCAACGACCGCTACACATGCCTAACTCATATCGGGTTCAATTGACACTGGCAATGATACATGTTTCATTCTGACCATCCTTTCTGAGCTCGCTCGCCTGCTACGAGACTTCATTGGCCTGAGAAATATCGCGACTCATGAGCTTTGTAGTTTGAAGGCTTGTTGATCTAAATTGTACTCTCAACGACTGCAGATAAGGCCAGGCAGCCTGTGGGGAGGAAAAACACGCTAATCACCATCCACACGAAATGTTGAGATTCGGATCATTATCACGCCACAGTCACACTCACCTCCAATTCCTCAGGTCCAGCCTGCAGTTGAGCAACCTGTCGATGGAATACTCATGACATGAATCCCTTTCATCTTTTTCGTGGTGCGGCACCCGCGGACACGTGGTTTCCGGTCGGACGCCTGTCCTCGTTTCCCGAAGTCGGCGAGGATGACGAGGATCTCGTCCACCCACGCGACTGCAGCGCCACGGCCAAACCGGGCTGCAAAGTCTTCAATGTGCCAAAGGAGGATCTGTCCAAACGAACCGAGGTGTTGATCACTCCCGATGGCCTCGGTCTCGTGGATGAGGAAGGGCAGGCCCTGCAGGACCAGGTGTTGATTTTCAAGCACAGGGGCAAGATGCACGCCATAGACCACGTAAGTTACCGCACCTTATCGTGATGATGACGGGTATCTGAAATTTTTCTCAAAGAAATGCCCTCATTCATCGTTCCCGCTATCACGAGGCATCCCCTTTGACATCGAGGACTTTGGCGTCGTCCTCAGCGCAGGCATTACGTGTCCCAAACATAGCTGGTCGTTCGATCTATTCACGGGAAACGCAGATCGCGGAGGCTATAAGCTGCCGATATGGGAGGTCGAGCTAAGGGACGTCAAGGCCTCTGACCCAGGTTCTGATGAGCCACACGATAAGGAAGTTTGGGTCCGAAGGAAAGAGAAGAAGCGAATCGGCTAAGGCAACACCAAGCAACAAGGCAGAATATTCAGAACGTCAACGGTGTGCTGCATTCGTATCAGCCATGACTGACCACCGCAAGGCTCACAATGAGCCGGATGTCAATCTGTTGGAAGCCGAGTGACGCGGTACAAGCCCTTCGAATAGGATGTCAAAGGCTGGAATTGGCTTATCCCGTTTCACAACATGCGGATTGGAGCCGCCTTGATGGAATTGGAAGCGATATGCGGCCATGATCAATTGGCTCGCCCTACAGTAGGAGTCATTGCTCAGTGGCGGGCTGTCCGTATGTTCGATTCCGCCACCACTTCTCTTGCTGTTGGTTCAGACCTCAACACGCCCGACTGATCGTCGAACATGGTCGCATCAGATCACGCCAGCGCGCTCGCTCCAGCACGTCTGATGAGGAGTGACTGCTACGGGGTACACACTCGAAAAAGTCCACTGGAATCTGAGGACGCAACGATTGGCTTCATTACTCGCGATACAAGATATCCGCGAGCTGATTAGAACAGTTTCCCAGAGTACAAGTTATACTCGATGCCCCGGTGCCGATTGCAGATCCCCAGAGCCGTGACAAGACGGCAATCCCGTTCTCGGCATGCAGTAGTGCAGAACTCCAACGCAAAAACCCCAGATAACGTCGGTCTTATCAATCGAGGAGGTACACAGGTCGCAGGGTCTGGCCAGTAGGAAGTCGACCAACAAATATGCATAGTGACATGTTGGTCGTGTGCGGACGTACAGACTCAGCGCCACCGGCTTCCCGCCACTTGTCCCACTTCAGGAAGGATGAAAGACAATCGGCACTTGAAGGAGAGCTAGCAAGGAGGAAAGCTACCTTTTGCGGTAAGGTTAAAGAGGCAGAACACCGTTGGCAGGCATCCAATGCAGGGATCTCGTTTGCCCCCCATGAACGGACTGGATCGTCCCGATGAACGTCGCCCAGGGGCCAGGATGCTAAATATCACTGGGTAGCATCCCCTCTGCACACAGTTTGGCCCCCATCACTCGCTCTCTCGGCCCCTATCTATAGGACGGCATCAGGATGTCGACCAAGCACAAAGAAGCAGGCATCACGCCTATTCAGGGCGAGGCTGTCATTTCATCGGAGAAGCTGTCCGCCGAAAAGACGAACGACGCGGAATTGATCCCCATAAACACGGGTACGACCTCACTCGAGCACGAGTTCGAGCATGAGCTGGACGTCACCGAAGATGACCTCCTGGAAGCCAAGGCTGCCGCAGCGGCCATGTCCCTGGACGACGTGGTCAAGTTGATGAAGAACGTGCGGAAGATTCACGAACGCGACCCAAACTTCCCACATCAGGTCCTGCTGAGGATTGACGACTTCTTGAGTGCGTCCATTATTCATATTCAATGAGATTCATCTCCCGCTGACCAGCAACAGATAATGACGACGTCTTGTCCAATCCAGAGAAGCATTCCAAGCTCATCTATGAGATGAAAGTCGAGGGCTCTCTCATCACCAACAACTCGCCCTATGCAGAGGTTCGCGCCGTCGTTGACAATAAGGATGACCCGAGCATGCCCGTGTCTACGGTCAGGGCTTGGACCATCGGCGTCTTCTTCTCAATCTTTCTGTCCTTTGTCAACCAACTCTTCAGTGTACGCCAGCCACCCATTGTCATCGACTCGAATGTTGCCCAACTGCTCGCCTTTCCTCTCGGCAAGGCCTGGGAGAAGTGGATGCCGGCCGCCAGCTTCAGTATCTTGGGCACCAAGATCCACCTCAACCCCGGGCGGTTCAATAAGAAAGAGCACATGCTCATCGCCATCATGGCCAACACAGCCAAGATCCTGCCGTACACCACCTATCTCATCTGGTCCCAAGTGCTGCCCATGTACTTTAACCAACAGTATGCGCGGTCCTTTGGCTACCAGATCCTCATATCGCTATCCACCAACTTTGTCGGCTACGGCCTAGCGGGCATGGTAAGGCGTTTTGTCGTCTATCCGGCGTACTGCATGTGGCCTGCGTCCCTGGTCACCATTGCTCTGAATGCAGCCCTTCACGATGAGAAGGAGTCGACTGTTCTCGGACCATTCAAACGAATCTACACAATGTCTCGCTTCCGGTTCTTCCTCTGGGCGTTTGGCGCCATGTTCATCTACTTCTGGTTCCCCAACTACCTCTTCCAAGCGCTGACATACTTCTCGTGGATGACCTGGATCGCACCCAACAACGCCAACCTCACCACCCTCTGCGGGTTCCAAAAGGGCACCGGCATGTTCAACCCGTGGCCCACATTCGACTGGAACGTCATGATGTTCGACGCACTCGATCCGCTCATGGTCCCCTGGTTCAGCACCGTCAATCGCACGATAGGCATGTGGCTCACGGGGCTGGTCATCCTGGCAATCTACTACAGCAATACGTGGAACACGGGCTACATGCAGATCAACAGCAACCGCACCTATGATCACTTCGGTGCCCTTTACAACGTCTCCAGCGTCGTCAGCCCTCAAGGCCTGTTTGACAGACAAAAGTACATTGACTACTCGGCACCGTATATCAGCGCCGCCATGGCCACTGTGTACGGGGCGTTCTTTGGCATCTACACCTGCACCGTGGTGCACGTTGCCCTCTTCCACCGCTATGAGATTATGACGGGGTTCAGGAGCGTTTGGGCGACTCTCCGGCGCAGCAAGTCGGGCGGCGCGTCCGACGATGGGGAGTATATGGATGCGCACTCGCGGCTCATGCAAAAGTACCGTGAAGTGCCGGTATGGTGGTACATGGGCACGCTCGTGGTCGCTGCCGCCCTCGGCTTCGCGGGTGTGGGCGCGTGGCCAACGTACACGACCTTGGGTGTTGTGCCATATGGTGTTCTGCTGGCGTTGGTCTTTGTGATTCCCGTGGGCATCGTCAAGAGCATGACCGGTATTGAGGTGTCTCTCAACGTGTTGGCTGAGTTTATTGGTGTAAGTTGCTGTCCAGCACTTGCAAGTCGTCTGGACGGTTGCTAACTTGTCCCTCAAAGGGTATGATTGTTCCAGGGAACGCTCTCGCAATGAACTACTTCAAGACATACGGGTATGCTCAAAATCCCCACGACGATCCCGTGAACTTGAACGAAGACTGACTGTGAAAGCTACGTGACTTGCGCCCAGGCAATGGGTTTTGTAAATGACTTGAAGGTAGCTCACTACTTGAAGGTAGGTGTTTCCTCCAACTTCACATCCCTTCGCCGTTGACTAACCAGGAAATGTAGCTTCCTCCGCGTGTCACCTTTTCCGGCCAGATGATCGCCACGCTGATCTCAACATTTGTCTCCATCGGCGTCCTCTCGTTCCAAATCGACATTCCCGGGGTGTGCACCGCCGAAGCCCCCATGCGCTTCACCTGTCCGGCCCAGAACTCGTACTTTACATCCTCCGTCCTATGGGGCACCATTGGCCCCGTCAAGGTGTTCTCTCACAAGGGCCAATACGCGCCGCTTCTTCTAGGCTTCCCACTCGGCGCCATCACGCCCGTGATCTTCTGGGGTCTCATGAAGTGGAGGCCCCGCAGCCGCTGGGTGCGTCAGGTTCATCCCGTGGCATTGTGGTACGGCGGCGTCTTCTGGGTGCCCTACTCTTTCAGCTACGCCTGGCCCGCGGTGCCGGTGGCATGGCTCAGCTGGATCTACATCAAGAGCCGCTTCCTTGCGTTCTGGAGCAAGTACAACTTTGTTCTTTCGGCCAGTTTTAGTGCCGCCATTGCCATCAGTGGCATCGTCATGCTGTTCAGTGTGCAGTGGGTTGGCGCCACGGTGGAATGGTGGGGGAATACACAACCGTATATCGGGTGCGAGGGCATTGCCTGCACATTGAAGAGCCTTGCGCCGGGAGAGAGGTTCTACCCCTGGTGGAACGGCAACCAGACACTGGCACCTTGATACGAAAGAGGTGGACCGTAGGTGGGCGAGTGCATTTCTTAGTGGCCCTGATATACCCAGTTCGAATCCATGATTTTTACGAGTGCACTCTTGTGTGTGGTTTAGGAGAGGTCATGCTGTCCAATGTCTTAACCCTTCTACTTGGCTGAAAAATATGACCCGTTCGTGCCTCCTCGACGCTTGTTGTCCGGATCCGGGTCCAACTCATTTCAATAATCACGCCTTAAGCTCAAACAACACGAAAGTGTTGTTCGTACCTTGCCTTAGCGTTCTAACTTGAGGCCCAAGATGAGAAACCAGACCTTTCCCCGATAAGGTGTCCGTGGAGCGAATTGTAATTAGAGTATGATTAGCCTATTTCAGCTTCCCACCGTTGAACACTAACGTGAGATGCTTTGCGACTATGCAATGTCTTGAAGAGGATACTGCTCATGGACCAAAGTAATTTGAGTCTACCTGATGCGCAGCCATGCCATCAACAAACCAACCTCGTAATCTCACACAAGGTTTGGGCTGCGCCGTGCAAAAGTAGATTCATTTCGAAGAAACCCAGAGGAATGTCGTTTCAGTATGGCAAATACGGCCAAGTTCTTCATGCGGACTTTGAGGCAACAATCATCTGATCAAGAGTGCTGGCTCAGGGCCCCGAGCTCCGTATCAATGTACGCTGTTGCATGAGCAATTACTTCCACGCTTTACCTGTCTGCTCGTTCCGTACTTCTGAAGCCGTGGTACTTGGACAGGACTATTTTCATAAATATGATTGGGGCCGGAATTTCTCACTCAAGACAGCGCCGAAGCTTCAACGTTGCTCAACTCAAATGGCAACCTTAAGCCGCCTTAGCAAAAGCTTGAAACCTCGCGACAACACCCTATTGTCGCTTTTGACAGATCTAGGACAGGTGGCTTTATATAAAGGTGCGCACAATTGTGTCTTCAAAGCCTGTCGTCCAACACCCTTCATGCTCCGTCAACTACCCATCCTACAGAAACAACAATACCTTCCATCTCTTCTTTGTCGAGTTTCGCTGGATACCATTCAACAGAAACAAGTCAACGTCGGGCCTTTGCTTACACAAGGTCTCTGTCTCACAGTGCTGCTTCGCGATCTCGACACCCACCAGACGACAGTGCACACTCTACCCCTGAAGCCATGCTCTCACCACGGGATCAAAGCGCATCAGACGCGGCCCCGTCTCTGCACACACGCGCCGCCCATGCACCTACATACTATGCGCCCTTGTTCTTCGGAGGCGGTCTCATCGTATTGGTGCTCCTCTTCGGCGCAATCGGATCGTGTGCTCGTCGGTATATGCAAAATCGAACGGCTACCCATTCGCCAGCCCCGTTCCGCTTCGGCAGACTGCTATGGTGGCGGTCTCGAGAGGCTAAAAGAGAGGACGCGGAGCCGGGGTTGGTCGACGACAGTGAGGCTGAACAAGAGTATCATATTCAGGTAAATACTGCCCCTCGAATCTCCATTTGTGTGAGTCGTTTTTCTGACGAGCGTCATAGTTGCAAGATGTCGTGCTGCTGCCTTATCCACGGGGCTACCGCCATGAGGAGGAGGTGCCGGTGGCCAGGATGACATTTGATCCAGAGGACGGGCTTATACCGCCGCCAGACCGCGCATATCATTCACCAGCATGGATATAACAAGCTCGCACTGGTTCTTGGACATGCGTTTTGGGTTCAGGGGACATTGTCAGAAGCAAACATTGGACTTGGAGTCTTGGATCCACCCGCGATCTGGGGTTGGTGTGGGGACTCGGGAGTCACGTCACAGCGATGAACGAGGATTTGAGCTCGAGAAGAGCATTTTGGGCATCATCTATTTTTCATTTTCACAATAAATACTGGTGTATATCGCTGTCAAGTCATGGTTGTTTTCGGGTTAGAGAAAATACTTTAGCAGGCGGGCCCTAGGCTTTCTTGTCAGGGGATCTCACCTCAGTGCTCACGATGTCGGCCGATACCACCCCGCCTTCTCACATAATACCTTCAGTATTAAGGATTCGAGACCCCTCACTACAGTCTACATGTAAGCATCAACAATCTCGCTTCCATCACGTCCTACTACCCGTCACAATTTTATTCTCTGCCTGTGATTGAGCCATGGCAACGAATAGTCCCCAAATCTGCCTTGTCGGCGCGAATGGCAACCTAGGGTCCGTCCTGCTGCCCGCTCTCCTGGACGCCGGTTTCCCAGTCACGGTGCTGCATCGCTCCAACTCTACCAACCCGGCGCCCCTGAAGCACGAGAACCTCTCCTTGCTGCCCGTCGACAAGGATTTCCCCATCCCAGAGGTCACCAAGGCCTTGAAACCGTTCAAGGTCGTCATCGCTGCATTCCCACTGCCGAACCAGTTGCAGCTCCATCTGCGTCTGGCCTACGCTTCCGCGAGCGCTGGCGTGGAGCGATTCATCCCCGCCGACTTTGGGTCGTGCGACGCTGCCAGTCCGGAGGCACTGAAGAGACTGCAGCTGTACAGGGACAAGGTCAAGGTCCGTGAGCGATGTGAGGAGCTCGCGCGGGAATTCAAGACCTTCTCGTGGACCGCCCTTGTCTGTGGTCACTTCTTCGACTGGGGTCTCCGAGCTGGCTTCCTGCACTTTGACATCAAGAAGCAGGAGTCGCTGATCCTCGACGGAGGGGACATTCCAGCCTCAGCTTCGACGCTGAGACGCGTGGGCGAGGCCACTGTGGCGGTTCTCAACAGGCTGGAAGAGACGAAGAACAAGACGCTCTACGTCCAATCCTTCAACCCGTCGCAGAACCAGGTTCTAGCCTCGCTGGAGAAAGCCACAGGCGCCAAGTGGAAGGTGAACCAGGCCGATAGTCAAACGTTCTTGGAAGAGCAGCAGAAGAAGGTGGATGCCGGTGATCGACATGCTGTAGAAGATGTCGTGTTTGCATTGGGGGCTATCGATGCAGACTGGACCAAGAAAGACGCCTTTGCTATGGAGCTACTCGGCTTGAAGGACGAAGACTTGGATCAAGTTGTGAAGGAGGTTGTCGATGGCTTTGCCGGGTGAGTAAGCAGCTTCAATACACATTGGGCTTTGACGTCTTCCAGCACAGCTTGGCTTGGGCATTTTCTCGCTCTCCTCCACAGAATCTTCACAGTAGCCACGCGACATCCTCTATTCAATTGTGCAATGCAAACATGACGGTCCGCAGCTCTTCGAAAATGAGGCGATGCGCTTTCCCAGACGCATGGGCACAAAGAACCGAGGCTTTGTTGCTTCACGCAAGAAGCAAGCAAGCAAGCAGCTGAAATTCTGTGCCGGGGAATGTGCACCATGGACTTGTTGGAATGGCATGTGCCAGTCATGGCAACAAGGGATGATGCTCAGAGGGCGGGACATGTCTCAAGCCTGATGGCATATATAAGTCTGCCGCTCTGCTAGCCCTCTTGAGTCTCCCCTCTATCCACATTTCCTGCACTTGGAAGAACATCTCGAATCGATATCCACTGTCAACAATCAACATGAGGCTGCTTGAGATGTCAGTACTTTCCGGGGCCTTTGCCTGGTAAGCCTAATCAACCTCCGCCTGATACATGTCAGTTCCATCATCTCACCCCCCAGTGCCGCTGCGAACAATGCCCCATGCCCGACCGTCACCGCCATCTCAGCCTGTTCCACCTGCATCGCTCCCTTGTGTCTGGTGTACTCGACCATCACTCAGGGCTGCGACTGTCCAGAGGCAGTGCCCACGGTCACTGTTGAGATGCCATGCTCAGATAAGAGGTGCCCTGGAGGATGTGGAGGGACACTTTATGCCACTGCCACGGCGTCGTGCGAAGCGCCAGCACAGAAGAGTGGCTGAGTTGAGGACAATGACCGCCGACTTTGTCGCTCTTGGCCAGCTATTGGCGCAACAAGGTCTGCATATCGCCTGCATTAGCTACTAACTCGCGAGGACGATGTCGAAAATAAACATTGGATGATTTAGGGTCGAAAACTTTCGAGACTGGTCGTGTGAGCTTGTCGTTCAACTGAGCTGGGGCTCAGCTTCGATGTGATGCTGACGAGGTCACAGCCTTGTAGTAACAGCAAGCTTCAGCTGATGACGCGAATTCGAGATTTGTGATGATGAGCCTACCTTACAGCGGGGCTAGGCTCGATTGAGATTCTGCCGTTAGCGGTGAAAAGGTAACACCGGAAGGGTGAGAACCTGAAA